TGGACTGTTCGGGTGGGGGTGTCTGGGGTGGTGGTGGATTGTACTACAATCATCCTTAAGATGGTGCAACAGTTGTGGAAAAAAAATCGTTGTTTAGGAACACAATTTATGCATTATTCCTGTGATTCAAATAATTAAAAACATAATAAATTCATTTTGTAGGGTTATTTTAAAACTTGGAAAAATAATTGAAATTCAATATAAGATAGTATTGCTACACTGGGTATTAAATAACAGTTGTCTAATGTAAAGTAGAAATGTGGAGGCTGTAGAGCAACAATTAAATGGCGCCTGTTCAAAATGTCCCCTGTCACATATTAATGGGAGTGAGGAATGCAGGAGACCTAAATGTGAATGCATCTCTATAAATGGTAAAATCATACTTTTCACATGCAAAATTGACACATCTCAGCAATCCCGTATAGGTATAATGGCAAAGATCATTAGTGAATAAACTAATTCGCCACACGATTGCCCATGTTCGATAACATTAGCATGCACGCTATACACATACCGACGGTGGCATCTTGGCTGTTTGACAAGCCTATGGCACATCCGATAAGTATGGCGTAAAGGATTTCTTCCACACTCATCTGTACATCTAGACGACGGAACTGTAACCAAGGGTTAGAATGATGAAATATGGCTTCGTTTTATGTAAATGTTTGATATTCATATCACAGTTTAACCGGTTCGTGTGTGTTTTTATAAACAAAACAATAGTCCCAAACTGCAAGCATGTGATCTCAGTGCTTCTGAGTCTGTATTTGTTTTAGAATTTTTTAATAATACTCAGCTCCAAACTCAATATGGCCGTATCACAATGATGCAAAATATCAAGCTCATATGCAGTAGATGAAGGGAAACTCGATTAAAATTCAAGCAAACAATTGTATAATGACTAATTATGAAGAAAACCAAAGTGGGTATAAAATGTGCTTTAAGGGAAAAAATGAACGCGCAATGTAAATATTCGATGAAAGCAATTAATTTGAATAATAAAAAGTTTACTGATGAGGATATCAAATTCATTTTCTATTTTCATTCACGAATTGATGACAGGACATAAACGATATAACACTGCACATTTGGTTTTCTTCAATAGCAATCGACCGATTATTTGTTGAATTCAGAAGTCACTACTTTCTTTTTTTCCTCAAAAACTTCAAGATTTTCTCAAAAGCAATGAATAATTAGAATAAGATCTCCATAAAAATACAATGAAAAAAATGCCATCTAAATATTCTGTAAAATGACGTTAACAAACATTCATGTGTTAGTTGACTGCGCACGCAATTTAGTTTCGAACAAGATACATTGTCTCATCATTAAAAAACACATTCAGAACAAATATAAACGTGTTAAGGTGAACATAAAACAAGATCATGAGGCATAATGATTTTCTTAAAAAACATCATAGCGTACATGTCGATTTACTTACAAATTGCATAATACTAAAAAGCGTTCTAAATTGATCTGGTCTATGCATTAATTACACAAAAACCCTTCAATACCCGAAAAAAGGTTATCTTACCTGCTGCTCAAGCCCTAGAGTAAAAAGACCCAGGCGGATTCTTTCACCTTCTAAGGGTGACAAGCCATATTTTGCTCTTTCTTCTTTATATGGATATATTTTACTACTGATAAGACGAGCCAACCGTAATCCATTAAGGGAATCACACCTCTCTTTAAAGAATGTTACCGTGTTTCAAATTGCGGTTCTGGTTGTTTTATGTGAATTTTTAGGAGAGATAAAACATACCTTGGGTGTACCAAGACACTTTGAACATATACCGACATATCAATACGTACATCAAAAGCATTGTTACATATCAATACGATGTTTATAGTCGACATGTATATACTGAATAGATATAGAAGTACCGTAGAGAGGTGTTTGATATGCGTAGTCTAAACCTATCAGTACTACACACAGTTAGAACATTTCACCCCATGTTGCAGTAATTTAGTTTTCCCCTCACATAAACTGTAAACTTCTAATAGTGTTTTTAAATCACTTTTAATTGCCGACCTGGGAAATGCAATTACTGAAAGTATCAGTGTGTCCTTAAAAAACCTCTGGTGTTTCTATTTTATAGCACATACATTTGCTTACTTCAGCGAGACTAATTTCATTTCAGAACATATAAAAAGTTGCGGTAACATTAGTGGTACTTGAATGGAATAAATTAATTTGCATAACATGTAAACAAAATCTTTTTATTTCTAAATTTTTTTCAACGACTTCAGAAATGAGTTGATATTATCCCATTGATGAAGCTGTGGTGTGCTTTTGTTTTTGACCTCAAACTGAGCGGAAAATAATTTTAGTTAGGTTTTGGCAAGCGAAATGAAATGATTTAATTTATGTTGCCAAATGTTCACAAGCACAACGGAGCTCTGTTATTGCTCCAAAGTAAGTAAGATAAGTCCATATGACTGAAAATTGTCATTTATTAATGACGAAAACTAATAAGATACAAAGTTACAAAACTAGGGGAGATAACATAACATCCCCCAAACTATATGTGCCATAATATAAAAATAATGAAGTATGTTAATGAGTGTAACCAAGATTAATTAAGAAAAAAAATATGAGAAATCAGAACAGCTATAGGAGCAAAAAGTTGGCACAAATAAAAATAAAAGGCTGTAAGATGTGAGAGAAGCTCACATCCTCGCCAACCGATTATGAAATTAAAAAAATTCAATTTTACGGGCTTACAAATTGTCTCATCTTGTAAAAGCCGTTTCCCTCACTTTTGAGAAATGATAACTGTCTGCCAACAGAAGTTGAAGATGTTGTATCGGCTTATTTCGCCCAAACATAAGGTTTTATAATGCATTACATGAAGTCATCCTTTGTACGATTTTAAATGTATTTTGCAACATCATATGAACTTTGCTGCAAGGAGTATGTTCTTAATTAAAAGTCGGGGGAGGGGATCCCTTGGGGTGACATACGTGTATAACACTATAAAAAAAGGCAATACCCTTTCAATGAATATAATAAATGTTGTTTTAAGCAAAGTGGATTTACATTTTAATACATGCATTCAGCAAAATATTTCCAATATATTTGTCCGAACGACACCGCAAAGTAAATTAAATCAAATCAATCAGACGACAAACACCAGCAGGCAATTTTCGCCGTACTGTTTATTTCGAAAAGTGCGCTTTCCTCACATGCGCATACATTTGATTCCTTTCCTTAAAATAAGCATCAGTAGCAGAATAAAAATCTAATATTTATATTATGGCAGAGTATTTTGTATGAGTTTATGATTGGAACTCCTCCTTGTCTGCCAGAGTAACGTGAACAAAAGCCACTTCCATACAGCGTGGAAAACAAATTCCTTAAAAGTGCACCAACAATTTAAAATGAGGACACTTAATATGTAGATTTGTTTTACTCACAAAAATAAGCGGCTTAATTTTTTTCCGTTTCTTTTGAAGAAAAACATTTTACATTACTTCTCAAAAGAATAAAAAACGACGCGACGTTAGCTAGCTGTCTTTGCGAACAGTCTAAAAGAGCCATGCCAGATTTACCGGTTATAGGTGTCCCAGTTGATTGTCTGTAGGCAACGGATTCTATCTAGAGTAGTTACATTTTTAGACGGAAATAGACCAGGGGCTCGTTTCGCAAATCATTGATATCACACTAAATATCTTTGCTTGAAAAGCTGTCTGAACAATTCCAGCGCTGCAATCCATTGGATCACTTCGTTTGGGACTCTTTATACCCGAGTGTGTCGGTTGATAATGACGCTTGTTAATGCTCTCTATTTTAAAATCTTGATAACGTATTATTCTGACACAGCTCAGGGCTTGTACTATACGTGTGATAGGCAAGAATGCGGAGGACCACTTCACTACTTTTTTAAAGAAGACACTTATCCTTCTATCCTTGCACTACGGACTATGATTTTTATATCGAGTGTCACAGCATCAACTGAGTAAAAAAAATTAGTTATCATTAGTTTAAATTTATTCATACGTAAAACGGAAATCCCATTTTTATATAAGAAGATAGTTACTTCTGAATAAAATTAAATATGTGTCTTTTAATATAAAGATTTTAAGTGAGCGACAATGCTTATCAACCAATCATAACCACTGGACCAGTTTTTCACAAAGATGTAAACCACCCCACCCCTTTCCCGTCATCTCCACTCTGTATGTCATGTGCTTATGTTTCCTTTAAAATATCAAGTACAGGTATTAGCGCATTTTGTGTTTTTTTATTTATTATTGACAAGAAATAGCTAACATGAAATAATGACAACAAGACATTGGTTTTGAATTTTGTAATAGCTTTAATTCATGGCAGTAAAAATGCAATACATAATACGAGCGGTTTTAATTGAAAGAAACATGGTGCTATGTTGCACACATAAGATCTTACTATTTTAATTTCTGCAACCATTGATATAATATGCCAAAGCAAGGCATGCTTATTATGAGGCCAGATTGGCACGAGTGTCCTCCTCCAATTTCATCTGTCATCTAGGTAAAATACATCTAAAACCGGTCTTCTGTTGTTGTCGTATTTGCAGTCTAATTTGTATGTAAAATATCAATCCTGACCACAATGACTTATTAAATAAATATGTCTAGATTGCGCAAATTTCTCGAATCCTGTCATCTGTCAAGACACTGTAGTACACAGAAACCTAGGAGAAATAGAAAAAAATTGATGTTTACTGTTGCACTAATCTGTATCTAAACGTAAGCACTGGTGCAGTAGGTGTTAAAAACCGATTTTCAAATTATTTCACATTCAAAATAAAGTTACGACTATCTGTCAAACAATAAATAGCATCAAAAAGTACCTGATCAAATTTTCCCTTGAAGTTGGAACCAAAATTGTCCATAGCCTCATCTTCAAAACAATTATTGCCCAGGACCCAGGCAGCCTCGGTGCGTTTCATTTGTCCTGTGAAATAGTAAAAGCTTGACATTGTAACATAGTCCCTTAGATCTTGGAAACCGTTTAGCTTTCAGCCAAATATATTTCCTTGGTATACAGATGACCAATGTTATATTTTTTTTAAATAACCTGGTGTACTAAAAACATATTTAAGATTAATCAATTACCTCTTGCTTTGACTCTCTGCACTTGCTGACCGTCCAGATACAACGTCATACGCTTACTGTTGTATGTCATTACCACACAAACCCAACGACCCTGAGATCCGTTATCCTGAAAAATTAAGGTTGATAGAGATAACAAATGACCTCGCTTCCTTGATTTTCGATATTCATATTAAGTTTTAAAAAACTGAATCCGAACAAATACACAAAATTTTATCAAAATCTAAAAGGGTCATGTGTCACCCTGTTTTCGACCTCCAGAGACTATTCCCGCACGAAAACGCAGTAGATGCTCCAGCGCAGTAGACTACTGCAATCATACTGCAAATATGTCTCAAATCTGCTTCGCATTGGGAGCTAATTAGCATATTTGAAACATGCTTCTATCATGCTGCTAATCTACTGCATTAATGCTCCTCCTCTGTACAACCCTATGTAATTTTTGAAGTAGAATTGCAGTAGGGTATACTGCATTTCTACTGCAAATATGCTCCACACCACTACTGCGTTAATGCTTCTTTGCTACTTCGATACTACTGCATTTTCGTGTTTTAAAATTTAATTAAAAAAATTAATAGATTAAAAAAAACGTGCAAAAACATCTATATACCAAAAATCATTTTTTTGTGTAAAGCATATACCTGTACTTACCACTCCTACAGGATCAATTTGGTATGTTCCATTGACTGTTGTCATGCTGACACCAATAGCGCCATTAGAATAAAAGATGTCAATAGATGGTGGAATATCACATTTGCCGTTGTTGAGGAGAGCAATCTTTCTGCCGGCCGTATCGACGTCATTATCAAGCCAGTAGAAGAAATGAATGGTGAACGGTGTCTGAGGGGGACTGTTCTTGAAAGACGGCATTTCAACGTGACCTGGAATTACCAAGGCGATCATCACTGACAAAGAATAAGGTTGATAGTTGACCTTACAAAACAACGGCATAATTTAGCACATGGTCCCCAAATAAGACAAATAAAACAATACAATTAATTGTCTCTTTGGTGCAAGCCATTTTCATTGCACAACACTTCACTCAATTCACGATTAATCGGGAAAACTTACCTTCTCCATCCAGACACACGGCAGATTCTCCCACTGCAGATACACGTGTCACACCATCAGAGAGGTAGTCTGAGCACAGTGTTACATTTCCTATCTCACTGGCCTCAGAATACGCAGTTTTGCCAATTGAGGCAAAATCTTCTTCGTATGGGAAGATGATACCAACGTTGTCTGAGATAAAAAAAAGCATTTATCTGATAATTTTTTATCTATATGTTTTGAGCGTATTTGATTTTTGAAAAAAAAAACATGTTTACGACTCTTTTGTCCCTTTCATAATGATATTTGCAATCAAATGCAGATACGTTATAACTCATACCTGGCGCTTCACATCTGCAGGCACTGATACTAAAGTTGTATGGGAAGCAGGAAATTGGTCCAACTTCGTTATCTGGCCCATAGCGAATATAATATATTGCCGGGTCTTCCAGAACATTCACCAGTGTATTGCCAGCGTTGTCTGTGCATTCCTCTGGAAGGTACACGTGAAATGATAGTAGCATATATTGCATTTAAAAGTTTGACACACACACACACACACACACACACACATATATATAACCTGACATAAATAAATTACCTGTAAATTTACCAGGCAGTTCTAAAAATGACAAAATTATTCATCAGTATTGCAACCCACACTTAGGCAAATATACTGTGAAAATAATGCATTTTGCAAAGACTTATCGATTGCCTTACAACAGGATAAGGAGACCAAGAATTAACAGTTCAGTGTCCCCAAACTGTATTTTAAAGGAAAACTACATAGTTTTCTAAAGCTCTTTTGATAATAGCATGCCAACGTATATTTTCTTATAAAGAGACTTACGGTCTAATGTATAGTCGGGGAGTGAGTCAGGCTGTGTAGTCGTCTTTTGGGTGGCTGGAATGAAAGGAGAGATATGTTTATTTATAATGCAAACACTTGAGATGAAACTCTCAGAGCTTCACACACATTTTGCCTTACTCTCTGAAACAAACTGTATCGGAGGATTTGCAGAAAACGACGTGCGTCAATGACACTGATTATATAACGTATTTACTTACGGAATGGGCAGTGCGGGGTGCCCATGGGTGGCTTAGGTGCGGTACCTTTGCAGATTGCTCTTGGATCGTCACAACGGGCACATGTTTGCATGTCTTGGTCCCACACTGTTCCGATTGAGCAGTTGCGTTCAATAACATCATACATCCAGCCGTCTGGGCCTCTCTCGGGACGTCTGATACACACCCAATAGGACGTACAGCTGTAGGGATTCAGTACATATCCAAGGGCTCCATTTTCGGTCAGAGGACCACCATTGACAACACACTTGCCGCAGTGCTCTGAAAAAATATAACAAAAAATGGACCTCTATCATTTAAAATTATTACAACTGACAGACAAACAGACAGACAGAATGACCCAACAACACAAAAAGGAGCGGATTAAGGTAATATTGTCTTATGCACTAAAGCACTTTCTTTTAGGCAAATATAGGGCCTATTGAATGTGGTATCTTGTTGCATTAAGAACGATTAAAGTAGAAGTACAATGAAATATCAGTCTCTTCTAATCTGTTATGTGTAATAAGAAATTAAATAAAAAAGGGAAAACAAAAATAACTCTCATTACGTGCACACTTATAAATGCTAGGCCACGTGATTTGAGTGGTCTTATGCATCAAAATAAGAAGTGTATTCTTACCAAAATTCACATCAAATGTTATAGAAACGCAATACGTCGGTACTTTTAATTTTAATTTTAAAAGTAAAAAAACACTCTTTCCTTTTATCATTTTTGTGATAAATTACCATTGTTAGAAGAAAGAGCATGGAGAAGCCTGGTCTACTGGTAAATGCTTAAATGAAAGAAACACTAAGCATCAATCAATGATGACGTGTCAGATAATTGTTCTGGAATAAAGGAGCATCATTATTCATAAAGTTTTAAGAAACCTAAATGAAATACTTACTATCGATATCCACAGAAACCGGAGGCACGTAAGGAGTGGTAGTCGTTGGGGTGGTTGTGGTTGTTGGAGCCCTGGTTGTGGTGGTCCTTGGGGTAGTGGTAGTAGTAATGGTGGTAGGTCTTGGGGTGGTTGTGGTTGTGGTTGTCGTAGTGGTAGTTGTCGGGGCAGCTGGAACCGTCACGACTAAAAACAAACATAACCAGTATGATTTATTGATTTTATTGAAAAATTAATGAAAAGTAATATGAATAGATGGACAGGCACATGTCGTTAATTCATAGAGACGAAAATGACAAAGAAAACAAAACAAATAGACATATTTTATTTGCTTTAAAAAATGAACATTGCTTTTAAGTAAATGATGAAGAAGGAAGGAATAGAACACATGTATAAGAGCTGCTTACCGCTTGTACAAATAGATCTTGAAATGTTATTCCGAATGTCAAACAGTTCCTCAAAATTTTTCACAACGAAAACCTTTTTGTCATCTGTTGCAGCAGCTCTTAATTCATCTACATTGACCTGTAATGGACAATGACAGACAGACTGTTGAATCAAACTTAGGAAAAAACGCTACTGCCAAAGTTGCTTTTGAATATCGATTTTAAGACAGGCATGATACTCTTAGTCGATATTAACCAAGGGGATGTTTTAAATTTCTAAAAGTAAGTACATTTAAGAACGTTGTTTTCTTATGAGTAGTTTTCATATTTACATGTGTGCCAATTCCAATGGCATAAACGATGTTATCTTCCTTTTTTAGTTGTCTGGATGCAACCAGAGTTCTATCCGGGTATGATGATTCACCATCTGTCATCAGCACAGCAATATTGGTGATGTTAGGTCTGTCCCCAGCATTATAGTTGAAGACCTGTACCCTGGCTCGAGAAAGGGCCAAATGGGTGGAAGTCGAGCCAGGCTTATACTTCACCTTATCGACAGCTTTAAGAACATCCCCTTTTTTCCCATATCTTTTCAAATTAAATTGCAGAGAAGAGGAAGAGGAAAATGTTACAAGCGCCACTCTAACATACTCAGGGCCTACATCAAAGCCATTGACCATCTCTTTCACAAACCGCATTTCTGTCGTGAATTGTTCTTGTCCCAAACTATCAGAAGAATCAATCAGGAATGCGATGTCTGCTTCACCTCTACAAGCTAAGCAAAAAAGTGTTAAATACACACTTTTCAAGTTCCTAACACCAAATATAAACGATTCGCATTGTTAAATATATGACACACCTTTTTGTCTAACATTTAATCAAGCTAATCAGTATGTTTATTTCAAGGTTAAATAATTTGATGATTGTTAATATATACTTACCAGTTTGAACGTCCTGAGATGCTGCAATTCCAATAAAAATGACCATAACGACAACGGACATCACGTTGTCAAACATCTTGTGCAGAATCTAGGGGTAAATTTACCATTCTTAACGTAAATAGTGTAATACCTAAGGTCAGATGTATTTTAAATAGAGGTCTGAAACGGTATCTAATAGATTTCCTCGCGCAAAGAAAGATATAAATCGAAAGCCTGTGAATTTTTCAAACTGAGTTTTTACCTCATCTAATATCACTACAATTAAACGACACATTATTTCAAAATTTTTAAATGATGCTCCTTTTCATTATAACTTAGTGCGTGTTCAAACCAAATATGACCAAGCCTGGATAGTCATCTTACTTTATGCCTCCAACGCCGAAAAACAGTCCAATTACACCAGTAAAAGTCTGCAGTTTTTAAATAGTCTGGGATGATCTCCAGGACATAAATTACATGCAAATTTCATTTTTTAATAACTCAGATAGCCCTAACCTGATCTTTAACTCTGGAAATAAGCAATTTTAGCCAACTTCTATTGGTTAACATTCGCATGGTACCCATTTTGGTAAAAATTAGAATTCCAGAAATGCATGGCGAATGATAAAGAGGCGGGCTTATAGTTTCAACGTCTGGTGCATCTTGCAAAGTAGTTTAAAATGTCCACTTTTTTGGTTTTTCCTCCTACAAAACTATGAGAGATAATATCTTAATGTGGTTGTAAAATTTCTTTTGATAAAGCTATTTAACCACCTTATGTTTTTATGTAGCGGTTTTGGCAATTTTGTTTCTAAAAATTAGGCTACCCACAAGGAGTCTATCATTTTTACAGTCTGATCACACCTTTAAAAACAGATCATTGTAGAGCATGCACATGGTGTTACATAATTAGGTAGAGTTTTTTTTTTACTTTGTAGTACATGTATATTAAAGAAGTCAAGGACCACCTCATATTTTGAGCATTTCATTATGCTGTAGATGAGGTCAACATTTGGGGAAAACTAACTGATGGAAGGCACTTAACACAGATATACGTTTCCTAAGCATGTATTTAACAAGCCGTGCACGGGAATTTTAATTGCTAGCTCTCGAATAAAGACATCTTAACAGTTGTGCCAAATGTGAGGTTGAAACATTATAGGGTGAACGTGGGGTCAAACAGATTTCAAATTATTTTAATGAAATTCAATGGGTACCACTAATGTCTAGCGTTCTCTGCAGCTATCCAACTGGTAAAACGCAAACTTTCGATACTGTCCTTAAATGGCCCCCAATCTGCTTGCAACTAAACGTGACAATGAAAGGTGTTAATCACTTAAATGGCTGGCAACTAAAAGCATGTAGTTGGTGCATGCATTTAAATTTTAATGTCTCTTGCAGCACAGCTTCGTTTTTGTCTGTGTAGAATTTTCAACAATTTTTACAAAAAGGAAAAAACAATGTGTCCAAATGTTCGTACGGCAAATATGAACGAAATAAATCTTAATGAAAAGGGCTTGAAATGTGCATCAAGTCAAGGAGTGATCCAAAGGTTTTAGCGCAGAGGGGGTGTAGTTGTAGAAGTACTGATCTTGTTAGAAGCTGAACACCTTACCTCATTACCATTAAGTGCACATGAAGAACTTTTGGACGATGCGCCTTGTCTCCTTCATCGGCAGAATTGAGTGCCCATATCCGCTGCAAAGTCACGTAGGCCATCCTTGATATTTTAACTGCAACAGATATAAGGTTTGCGTGAACTTCCAAAGTTTATAGTGAATTTTTTTTATAAATCGTGAAGAGTAGATGACATGGTCAAAATGACACGTGTGAATTATAAGTTCATAAATTCCAAGCACGTTTATCTTCAGACGGTGGTTATCCCTTATTTATACAATGCGACAGTTGAGATGAATAAACAGTTATTTGATTTTAGTCATTCTACATTTATAGGTACCTGCAGAAAAGGCTGCAATTATCTTTCGGCGATATTTTCCAATTCCCCATAACAAGTAATCGAAAGTGCTACATTTTCAGATACTTACCTAAAATTGTCAGCTGCATATAGTAGGCACGCCCAGACTTGTCTGGAGAAATCATAAGAAAGCTGATGTATTCTTTTTAAGTCCTAATCAAAACTCGTAAAAAATCCGTTGTCACAGTTATCTATGGAAACCGGTCATCAGGGACCGTTTTATTCTTGCGTGTGATACTTATACTTAATAGTGAAAATCATATCCTGTATGCCCTCCACACGACTTGAATTTTCATACTTAAAATTAACTCAAACATATCCATTCCTACGCGGTTAAATAAATATAACACACGCAAAAATTGTAAAATATTGTCTTTTTTAAAAAATAACGATATTTTAAAACGCGTTTATGCAAAATGTGGATACTGAAAATATATTACCCGGAAACATTCCACTGGTGATGGAAAATTTATTTCCAATGACATTTTGGGATTCTAAGTTTTTGAATTAAACAAAGCTAATATAAGAGATGTACGACCAGTCTCTGTTGCCATGTCAGTCAAACATCATTCGAAAAGTTAATCTTAGATTCGGCATCCAATTTACGTGCGTATAACATGAAAGCAAATAAATAGATAGAAGAAGTTCCCTTCACCTCCATTTTGTATACTTTAAAACCAGAGACTTTTGTTCATAGCAGTTGGGAGATATGTTCACTCCATACTGATTCCCTACAAAATACAACAGCTCCACGGAAATATAACAAAAATGTCTTAAAGACAGTTGATAAGTAGCTCGTTCAATGTCAAAAATGAGTCACATCTCAATAGTATATCTTGACACGTACGGTGGTGCCAACTTGGAGTTCTAAGTTTAGATTGTGCAAATTTGTTGAATCTCATCATCATCCAGGACTCTGTAGTAAACCGAAACCTGAAATAAGAATGCAATATCTTTCAAGCTGTACAGTTATTTGGCCTACCGTTACTTTCTTCTTTTAAATGAAGCTACACTTCCCTCCTTTTTCGCAGGTTTTAACGCAGTTATATTACCAACCTGGTCAAATTTTCCTTTGAAGTTAGAATCAAAGTTGTCCATAGTTTTATCTTCAAAACAATTGTTGCCAAGGATCCAGGCAGACTCGGTACGTTTCATTTCACCTGCAACGTGTAAATGACGCATTCTATTATTGAGCAGATAATAAAATCATTTGAACTCGAACGGCAGCAAAATTGTAATTTTCAGACAACATAATTTAAAAGTATTATACCTGCAGATCACATAATGGATCAATATTTTGGTCAATTTTTTACATTTGGTCTGGCTAAGGGAAACATATCGTCCCCTGTTTGGGCCTGTCGCGGTTGTAAAAAGAGCACGAGGTATTCAGCGGAAACGATCAACATAACATAATTTTACCTCTTGCTTTGACTCTGTCCACGCGCTGACCGTCCAGATACAGTGACATGCGCTTACTGTTGTATGTCATTACCACACAAACCCAGCGACCCTGAGCTCCGTTAGCCTGACATGAAAATTAATTCATATAAGTACATTTGACGGAACGCCCTGGACAAGTTTTATAATTTTTATTTTCGACCTTACAGCGACTAGTCTAATTAAAAAAAATACGGACACAGCTAGATATGGTCTAATCTAAATGGCCTTTTCATTGTGGGGTTAAGCACATGCAAATTATATACCTGTACTTACCACTGATACAGGATCAATTTGGTATGTTCCATTAATTGTTGTCATGCCGACACCAATAGCGCCATTGGAATAGTAGATGTCAATAGTTGGTGGAATATCACATTTAGCGTTGTTGAGGAGAGCAATCTTTCTGCCGGCCGTATCGACGTCATTATCAAGCCAGTAGAAGAAATGAATGGTGAACGGTGTCTGAGGGGGACTGTTCTTGAAAGACGGCATTTCAACGTGACCTGGGGAAGATTTTATCATGTCAAATACACTCAGGAGACCGATGCAATGGACATGAATACGTATGAATTCTTTGTGTACGCAGACACACACGTCCTTTTTTACTGTATGAGGAGGAGAGAGAAAACCGTTCACCTACCTTCTCCATCCAGACACACGGCAGATTCTCCCACTGCAGATACACGTGTCACACCATCAGAGAGGTAGTCTGAGCACAGTGTTACATTTCCTATCTCACTGGCCTCAGAATACGCAATTTTACCAATTGAGGCATAATCTTCTTCGTATGGGAAGATGATACCAATGCTTTCTGAAATCAAGATAGAGCGAAGTAGGCCTATAGATGAACTGACAAACCACATAAATATAATGTCGTTTAGGATGTTAATCCGAGTTCAAGACAATTGTAAGGTTTAAATTTACACACGACGCCGTGTATGCATTTAAACACTGTATGGTTAAAGAGAGGTAACTCATACCTGGCGCTTCACATCTGCAGGCACTGATACTAAAGTTGTATGGGAAGCAGGAAATTGGTCCTACATCGTTATCTGGCCCATAGCGAATATAATATATTGCTGCATCCTCTATCACATTCACCATCGTATTGCCAACAGCATCTACGCATTCCTCTGGAATAATTATATAAATTGGCGCTAGAAACACACAACACTTCTATTTATCTACTTTTTAAAAAAATTTATTTAGCTTATGATGCTAACAAGCCCTGCTTTTCCATTTTCTCTTTTCAGTGATCGTGAAACAGATATTGTGAATTATAGGGAAATTTCCGTTATTTTTTCTAGTTGTCGCGTGTATTTACTTTTACTGTATTTGGGAAACTTACGGTCCAAGGTATAAGAAGGCTCAGGGAAAGGTGGCGTGGTAGTTTTTTGTTCAGCTGAAATCAGAATTAGGCTTTTTGATATGAGTGCATTTTAAACATAAATCCAATTCGAAGCCAAAGTGTTCTGCAAAATTTCTGAAGCTTTTTAAATGTACTGAAAGACAATAAAATCGTACTTAAATGATTAACTTAAGCTGTGATTTGAGCTGTACTGAATTGTTTCGTACTTACTATTGCCCAAAGCTTAAATACTAAAATACTTATGTAATTAATTTGTGTGGTCACAAGTACGTTGTGCTTATTTCAAAGCATCTTCAGGTACTTACGGAATGGACAGTGCGGGGTGCCCATAGGTGGCTTCGGTGCAGTATCTTTGCAGATTGCTCTTGGATCGTCACAACGGGCGCATGTTTGCATGTCTTGATCCCACACTGTTCCGATTGAGCAGTTGCGTTCAATAACATCATACATCCAGCCGTCTGGGCCTCTCTCGGGACGTCTGATACACACCCAATAGGACGTACAGCTGTAGGGATTCAGTACATATCCAAGGGCTCCATTTTCGGTTAGAGGACCACCATTGACAACACACTTGCCGCAATGCTCTGAAAAAATATTACAAAAAGAGACATCAGTGTATTTTTAATTTTTTAAGCTGGCTGGCAAAAAGACAGACAGACAGAGAGGCAGACGAAAACCTACACGCCAACATCTTACTACATAAAAAAGAGTTACGTCAAGTAAATATTGCATAATGTACAAATCCAAAGCACTTGCATTATTATGTTTTGCTCATGTCTTTAGATAAAGATTGTGTGTTTTATGTGCATCAGATACAACTGCAGTAGAAATACGATTAAGAGTGCCCGACCCAAGCTGCAAGAAAATGCCAGGGCCATTTGCTGCGGGTACAGTTAAATAAAATCAGATTCATTTCACTTTGAAAGGTAAAACAACCAAACTAAAATCCCTGACCAGCCGCACGTTTTAAAATCCTGGCCCACCTATTTGTGGAGGTTTCCTGTATGAGAATAAGCTGTGCATTCTATCCAGATTTCACATGCAAATAAACGCGTTATATAAATGTGAAATTTAAACCTTAAAAGTAAAAGTTCCCATGTCCCATATACACAGCCTGTGTAACAACAGTTTTAATCAAGCAAAGAAAGTTTCATTTAAGATGCCCCGTGTCTCAAATATTGCCTTAAATGCATGAAAATCTTGTAGAATCTTGTGGAACCTGAAATTTCTCACCATTAATACTATTCACCAAGATGAGAATAACGTTATCCAAACAACGTCATATAGCACAAAACGTCAATGAGAACAACGTAAGACCTAGCAAAAATTATTTTCTTCGATTACGCTGATAGTAAAAGAATTACACCAGAAAGAATAAACAATGTGCTTGAGCTAATAATTTTAATGTGAACGTAACATTATAATTAGTAGTTGACGGCATTATAATTAGTAGTAGTCGCTCAAAATTATTTTGGCTAAGACGACTTTAACCACATGTAACAGGGGCGGATTTAGGCCGTCTTCTGGGTCTTCAAGAAGACGGTCAGATTTTCAAGTTTACATTGACTGATATCTATTTTTTCTGTCGGAAGACGGTCAAATATGTAGGATGGATCAGCAAAGATAATTTGGAAGGCTGTCAGAAAATATCTCTGGATCCGCCCCTGTGTAACATTGACGCTAGGTGTTATGATAAGGCCTAGACCATAATAGAGACCAAGAATTGAATTGGACAAAAGGTCCGCCATAAGTCACACATCTGCATTTCAATGGGGCTAAAAACACTTACCGTCGATATCCACAGTAACAGGAGGCACGTAAGGAGTGGTGGTCGTTGGAGTAGTTGTGGTTGTTGGAGCCCTGGTTGTAGTGGTCCTTCGGGTAGTGGTGGTAGGTTCGCGAGTGGTGGTAGTAGGTCTTGGAGTTGTTGTTGTAGTGGTGGTGTTTGGCAATAATGTCACAACTGTGAAATGAAATTAGTTGAAATAAGTCAGTATCACACAATAATCATTGCAAAGTATTTTGGAATGGAAGGGGTTAACAGAATTAATCTACCAGTACAGACATATATAATACATGAACATAATAATCACACTTTTGGCACCTGTCTATCTATCTATCTATCTATCTATCTATCTATATAGGCCTACATATAATAAGTTAACTTGCTTACCGCTTGTGCAGATGGCATCTGCAATTCTAGATCTGAACTGCAACAGTTGTTCAAAACTGGTGACAATGAAGACTTTGTCTGAATCTGTGGCCATCAGAGCAAGCTCATCCTCATTTAACTAGGAAAAATATACAAAAACATGAAGGGTTATTCAGTATAATTTTTGACAAGTTTGTAAACGAACTCTAAGAAAAAAAGGCTGGAATGATATACAATATTATACATATCGTTAAGCAGCGTTTTACCTCTTTACCAATTCCAATAGCGTATACAATGGCTTGCCTCTTCAGCATTTCGGCAGCTATTTTGGTTCTGTCAGGGAACGTTGACGCGCCATCAGTCAGTATAATAGCGATGTTGACAATGCCTCTTCTGTCACCAGGTGGGACAAATAGTTGTAATCTCGCACGGCTAAGACCAAGATGCGTAGCTGTAGCCCCAGGTGTAAACGGGACATCATCAACTGCTTTAAGGAGACCAGCCTGTGTTGGATGTTCATTAAGCTTAAAGCGCAAGTCCGAAGACGATGCAAATGTCACCATTCCCACTCTGACGTTGTCCGGACCAATATCAAAACCACGGACCATACGTGAAACGAAATCCATTTCGGTTTTGAAATCAGCTTCTCCAAGACTGTCGGACGAATCAACCAGAAATGCAAGATCGGCCTCACCACGACATACTAAAATATGAAGATAAAAACAATGTCATACATATATTTGTCATGCAGCATACCAAACACATATTTGTTATGTATAATATACTTTTTATGAACAAATAGTAAAGGAAGCTCTGCAGCATTTTATGGCCAAGTATCGTTAATACTTGATAAGAAATTGTAGTCTCTAGTCAGATAACTCTTTCATTGAGTATATTTGAGTTTACAACTTTCTAGATGGCCAAAGTCTTATGAAATTATAGATGAAGTAAGGACAATTCGGTCTTATTTTTGCGACAAATTATCACAAATGTTCTCTTTTATATAATTTACATTACATTTTAGGGATTTGATCATCTAAACTGTAGTTTTTTCACCATTTGTAAAAAATATTAGAAAAATTAAAGCGGTAAAATTTTACCTACCTGTGATAACTTCTTGAGCTCTAGCAGACTGACAAATAAGGGCCACGCCCAAGACGGACAACAGCAGTCTTATCTGCATAGTGAGATCAGTTACTGGAACATTAAATATAGATTAACGAACAAATTGGAACTATTTTTATGTGATGTTTAATAAATAAAAACAAAAAGCCATAATTTATTTTTCATATTTTTGGTACCCACGAGTTCAACCTTTCGATTTCGAATTGTATTATTTGTTTTGAGTGCCGTTAAAACGTTTAGAAAATTTTGAATTTTAAAGTTTTCAATTCCAAATGTTAGGTGGGTTTTTAAGTGTAACTGACACAACTGAAATAAAAAATAATTGAAAAATGAAATTTAAAAGTTTGACAGATATCTTTTCAATGAACATCACTAATGAAATTCTTTGGATATTTTTTACTCTGAGATTAACATAAAAACTTCTTATTTAAAATAATGGTGGTTAAAGACTATTGGAATTGTTCGTCAGCACATTTTCGTTTATTATTAAGTTTTCATAAAATAATATATTGCAAGTATGATATTTCAGTCAAGTCAATAGGTATCGTGCGCACTAAAGCTTTTGGAGCACACAGTGAAGAGATGACAAGTTGACGCGTTTACCGAGCAGATAGGTAAAATGTTATCTGGTAAGCAATTAAATACATGTATTTTTATGACATCCTTATTTCATCGTTTCATACTTAACATGAAAAATGTTGAAATACTAAATATAAATCAATAAAAAACATTTCATTAAAATTATATCACTACATACAATGACTAGAGAAAAGAAAGAATTTTACATTTAAGTAAAAAAAAAGGTGTGGTAAGGACCGACTTACCAGTTGAAATGATGAATAGATTTACATAAAATTGTTGAAATGCTAATTATATATGAATAACAAAACATTTCATTAAAATTATTTCACTATATAACTTACCATGAGAAAAGAAAGAAATTTTGCATTTAAGGAAAAAATCATTGTGATAAAGACCAACTTACCAGTCGAAATGATGAAGGCAGACGGTCAGTGTGGGTCTGATTACACAGCGGGTGTGCCGTCACCTCACACGCGCAATCAGCTTTTAAGCCGACGTGTTGCAATCACATGACAGTTTTCTTGAAATAATTATGCTAGACTCTAGACATTTATGCAAGTAGAGTCATCGACCCAAGACCAGACAGTCTTGGTAATGTTACTAATGCCGTATGTTTAAGGTTTGCAAGCATCTCTGATAGGCTTTTAAATTCCCATTTCTTCACCTGATGTACATGAGAACGAAGATATCATACCACTTTAATGGTTGCATTTAAACAAATGCTTACTTATGGCTACAATTCTGACTGGAACCACGGTATACACAAGCCCTTTTTTAGTTGCTTTAATCGATATTTATGAAATTTAAAAGAAAACAGCGCCACTAAGGGCCTCAATCATTCACTTTGACCATAACACTAACACCCTTGCAAGTTTATTTACAAGTGGTAACGGGCATTGCGATCACGGTTGTAAAATTAGTCTTTCGTCAATGAAAGGCTAGATCTTAATAAACTGGCGAGTTAAAATCTCCTCTGTAGCAAAGACATGAGTAGAACACGCGTAAGATGTATGCAAAATAGCAAAGGTAATATCTTTTCTCTGTTGAAGTGATTAACTCATTTGACGAAACTGGTATCTCATTTCCCAATTAATCTGGCCTGGCTTTGAAATTTCAAAACAATAAGATCAAAATAAAAAAAATCAAAACGCGAGTAGACGATGAATAAGATGTAAACTGAGGTGAACCGTAAATGTACTTTGTGTCCAAACCGAAGTAGCGACATAGTGCTGTCATCTTCACAGGACACTATTTGCGCATCGATACCAGAAAAATGTTGCACAGCCATAAAGGAAGTTTTAATGTGGTGCTGGATCACCGTCAGGTTGAGGCGGGGACAAGCGTGGCAAATTTAGTTACTTAAATTGACATTCCACAAGTGACAGAAATGACTAGAATACGTATTTTCGTCAAACAAGTTTTAATAACCGTAAAACATTTATTCGTTTCCATTCGTGCTACAGCATAAGGCAGTTGAATAATTTATTGCAATTATTTGTTAGTTATATCTATTAAATAGTTATTGAAATTATTTACTAAGTATATTCATATACGGATAACCTATCATCTAGCATATTTTTTATTTCAAATTGTTAATGCACAATCAGGAAAGTTGAATACCACAGTAGTGTCCATATCCATCTTTGACTCAAACTCTCTTTATTGAGAGGAAGAATTGCAGGAAGAATTTTTAATTTGCATATACCAGGTCGTATGATGGCACCATTTGCCTCTCCCACACCCACACATACATGTACGTACATGCACTCAAGACACAACTATTTAATTTATCACTAATGTTTGCATAACTATTACTGATACATCGTTGTTCCTTCCATTATGTCTTTTATTGTATAGTTTTGTGCAAGGGTTATTAACTTTTGTTATTAACACCAATCGTCTTTAACTAAACTTTCCTTCCATAGATGCAAGGTACCTTAAATTTTTTTCTTTTTTTATAACAAACGAGACACTTGGATGTTGGTTTCTTCTTTCCAAGTCACGGTAGGTAGAATGAAATATTGACTCTGACCATTTGCAGTGGTTTTGAACAAAAATTGAAATTAGCGAATCTTCATGGGATATTGAGAAAATGTTTGGTACTAACAGGCTATGGAAATCCAAACATATTATAGCACATAACCTCCAGTTTGGGACGACATTAACCTCCCTTGACATTAACAGTTTGCGTGAAAATGCAATTTAAAGAAGGGCATCAATTTAGAGAAATAAAATTTCGACTTGAGAAACGAACGGTGTTTTATGGAGAGTCCGAAATTGGTTTATAATATCTGCCCACAGGGCATGGGCATCAGACATTCCATTAAATTTAATTAAAGCTATTTAAAGCGCGGTCACCATAACTCGTCCTCACTTTTAGCCTATCATTTTATCGTGTGTCACGTGCGGTGCCGCTTTGAGTACAAAATGTTCTATTTTAGAAGACGTTATAAGATTTGTAAGCCGATCACCATTCCTTGATTCCCCCCAAACTTTAAGACATTAAAGTTTCTTGTCCTTTTCTTTTTTATATCCGTTTGCTTGCCTAGTTTCGTGTTCACAAACTGTGTAAATGGCCACATTATTTTTGTTTATATTTCTTTCATCTTGGATTTGTATGTATCAATTTTACAAGTCACGAGATCACAAAAATTGTATTAATTAGATTTCTACCTTATAACAGCGTTATTTCTCACTTTTATGTTGGGTTGTGTGTCGAATCTCTTTCTTTATTCTTAATCTTGTTATCATTCTTATAGATTACAATCTTCATCCCTGATGTTCAGCGAATAGGATTTCTTTATCAGAAATAATTGCAAAGTGAAGCAATGAAGTTAAGTGAATTTGAGGTGCAGAAAGAATGACAATTTTCATATATCTTTATTTCAATAGCATCATTAAATTAAGCGAATCTTCAAATATGTTAAATCTATGCATCTCATGAAGCAATTGTAGACCTTATGGAACAAGCCTCCTGCGGACTGGCTAATTACTGTCATTTCCTCAATCTGTCGTTGTCTAGTGGTCATTTGAAAGTGACGGTTTTTCCTGGCCAAAACGCCTTAAGCAATGCTTTAGATAGTCATATCGACTTTAATTGTCCATTTAGTAATTAAACAAATTGGAATAGTTTCTGCCAAATGTCAACAATATATATAAAGATAAATGCTCGATGTCCATCAGATAACATGATGGTTAAGGACTGTCCAAAATGCTCATAATTATAAAAAGAGAACGAACTTGCCTGTATCATGGTGTAATGAAACAGACTTAAGTCATCTGTGCCGTAATGCCTGAATCTGCCGCTTAGATTGTACAGATTCGTTGGATCTCGTCTTCTCCCAGGATCCTGTTGTACACGGAAACCTGGAGTGGATAATTTGCCATGTCATTTGTGTTTTAAATACACCAAACAAAGCAACAGACAAACTTTTAAAAAAGGAAGTAAAATTTAATATGATATCATACACAATGCTAAAGCGAAAGCATGCTGAAGGTGAAACAAATCGAGTACGAACCTGATCAAATCGGCCTTTAAAGTTAGAATCAAAGGTGTCAATAGTCTCATCTTCAAAACAGTTGTTACCAAGGACCCACGCTGATTCTGTTCGCTTCATTTCACCTGTGTCAGACAAGGATATCTCAATTTTTATCTAGATTTGACATGTCACGTAGTAGAAACAAAATCAAATGTCAACCTTAAAATTGGGTCACATTAGAACAGCTGCAGTCTTTGTAGCACTGAACTTAAATAGTCTTCGCTATTCTACCCCCTGGCTTAACTATTATTTTACTACGGGTAATGTCATGAGTTATACTTTGTTTGAATAAAATCAGCAGTTTAAATTGTGTCAGTAAAAATCATTCATTTAAATCACCTTTTGCCTTAACTCTCTCTACTTCTTGGCCGTCCAGATACAAGATCATGCGATGTTTGTTGTATGTCATTACCACACAAACCCAACGACCCTGAGCGCCTTTGTTCTGAAATGGAATTTAATTTACGTAAGAACAGATTAATGAAACAATTCTTTGAGATAGAATAAAACACAATACACGACATTTCCTGTGTAGAAGCTTGATAGAAAAGATATACTGTGTCATTTAAAACCCTGATCACACATGTTAATCTTTCTGCGTGTATCTAACTACTGTACTTACCACTCCTACAGGATCAATTTGGTATGTTCCATTGACTGTTGTCATGCTGACACCAATAGCGCCATTAGAATAAAAGATGTCAATAGATGGTGGAATATCACATTTGCCGTTGTTGAGGAGAGCAATCTTTCTGCCGGCCGTTTCCGCGTCATTATCAAGCCAGTAGAAGAAATGAATGGTGAACGGTGTCTGAGGGGGACTGTTCTTGAAAGACGGCATTTCAACGTGACCTGGAATTAGTTATTATATTTGAATAGGGATTGCCCATTAACGTCTTCAATGGTGTTTGTTATACTTGTACATAAACACAATGTCATACAAATTTACGTCATATCGTACACAACTGCAACAAAAGAGGGAGTGAAGTGTTTCAATCCACACACCCACCTCGTCCGTCCAGACACACGGCAGATTCTCCCACTGCAGATACCCGGGTCACGCCATCAGGGAGGTAGTCTGAGCACAGCGTCACGTTTCCCGACTCACTGGGTTCAGAATATGCAATTCTGCCAATTGAGGCAAAATCTACTTCGTATGGAAAGATAATACCCAAGTTTTCTGAAGAAATAAAAGTAAAAATTTACTATAGAAAATTGGTTGGACGCATTATATGAATATTTTGAAAACGTGTTATTGGGACAAGGCCAATGATTGTTTTATTGGATTTTCACAAATATTTCAGAGTGATGTTTGCAGTCTAATTCACATATTTAATAAACGTTCTTCTAAAGTAAAAGAAAAAAGACATTTAAAAAAAAATATTCGTCAATATTTATTTGAATTTTTTCAATCATTTAGGAAGTTTAATTTTTTTTCTTTTGCAATTAAATGCACATACGTTATAAATCATACCTGGCGCTTCACATCTGCAGGCACTGATACTAAAGTTGTATGGGAAGCAGGAAATTGGTCCTACCACGTTATCTGGCCCATAGCGAATATAATATATTGCCACATCCTCTATCACATTCACCATTGTATTGCCAACACCGTCTGTGCATTCCTCTGGAAGGTACAGGTTAAAAGGTATTAACAATGCATACTATTTTGACGTAGTAATAAAGAGCATTTTCAAAAAAAAAAAAAAAAAATTAAAAAACATGTAACTAATATTGTAAAATTTGCAAGAAACGTCACAATAACCACTTGAACTCATTTGGTAATGATATATATATATATATATATATACACTAGGATACACACTAATATACTTACGGTCTAATGTATAGTCGGGGACTATGTCAGGCGGTGTAGTCGTCTTCTGGGCGGCTGAAATTACAGGTTTATAAATAAATATATATATGAGATTAAACTCACATTTTGATTAACACTTCACATTCTGGTTATCACTCATATTTTGGCTTATTCTCTGAAAGAATCTATGTCAGAAGATTTGCAGAAAAGACAAATCTGCAAACGACAGTGATTATATTCAAAACATGTACTTACGGAATGGACAGTGTGGAGTACCCATGGGTGGCTTAGGTGCGGTACCTTTGCAGATTGCTCTTGGATCGTCACAACGGGCACATGTTTGCATGTCTTGGTCCCACACTGTTCCGATTGAGCAGTTGCGTTCAATAACATCATACATCCAGCCGTCTGGGCCTCTCTCGGGACGTCTGATACACACCCAATAGGACGTACAGCTGTAGGGATTCAGTACATATCCAAGGGCTCCATTTTCGGTCAGAGGACCACCATTGACAACACAGTTGCCGCAGTGCTCTGAAAAATATTACAAAAAGAGACATCGATGTAAGTTTAATGCTTTATACTGGCTAACAAGCAGACAAACAGCCATAGAGGTAGCCAACCAGCCGAGAGCCAGCCAGCCAGCCAGACAGACAAAAACCTGTACCGTACGCCAACCATACAAAAGATTTTATTTTTATGTATTGCTCACATTTTGAGATAAGTATTGTGTGTTATATGTGCATCAGATATAATTGCAGTAGGAATACGATTAAGAATGCCCCATCCAAGCTGTAAGAAAATGCCAGGGCCGCAGACTATGGGTACAGTCAAATAAAATCTGATTCCTTCACTTTGAAGGGTGAGCAACAAGAAAATAAAATGCCTGACCAACTGCACGCCTTGTAATCCTTCCCCAACTGTTTGTGAAAGTTTCGTGTTTCCAAATAAGCGGTGCATTCTAACCAGTTTTCACTTGCACATAATGTGTTACATCAAAGTGAATTTTTGACTTAAATGGTAGAAAAAAATACGATCACCTTATTTTGAATGTCCATGTGCACTATGACGATTAAGAGTTTGTATATTCAATATACTCAGCCTTTGTAACTTAAGTTTTTATCAAGTAAAGAAAGTGTCATTTAAGATGCCCCGAGTCACACAGATTGTCTTAAATGCCTAAAAATATTGTTGATCTCAAATGCTTCACTGTAAATACTATTCACCATAATGTTATCCAAACGTCTTATAACACGAAAGATCGAATGAGAACAATAAAAGGACTAACAAAAATTTTCTTCAATTATGATGTTAGTAAAACTTTACACCACTTATTTTAAATAATAAACTACGCGCTTGAAATATTAATTTCAGTGTGGACGTTGCATTATAATAAGTAAATTACGGCGAAATTAGTCAGTCAAAAGTGTTTAGTCTAAGACAAAAGTGCTTGCTGCAACTTTTACTATCTTAACGATACGTGTTATAATTAGGCCTAGACCAAGACAGAGACCAAAAAATGAATTGGACCAAAGGTCCGCCACAAGTCACACAACTGCACTTCAATGGAGCTAAAAAATACTTACCGTCGATATCGACAAAATCTGGAGGCACGTAAGGAGTGGTGGTCGTTGGAGTAGTTGTGGTTGTTGGAGCCCTGGTTGTAGTGGTCCTTCGGGTAGTGGTGGTAGGTTCGCGAGTGGTGGTAGTAGGTCTTGGAGTTGTTGTTGTTGTGGTGGTGTTTGGCAATAATGTCACAACTGTGAACAGATATTAGTTGATATTCGTCAATATCACATGATAATCATTACAAAACATTTGGGAAATGAAGGAGTTAACGAATGAAACAAGTAGTACAGACATAAACCCCGAGTAATACATAAACATAATAATCACGCTTCTGTCTATCTATCTATCTATGATTTGAACTTGCTCACCGCTTGTGCAGATGGCGTCTGCAATTCTAGATCTGAACTGCAACAGTTGTTCAAAACTGGTGACAATGAAGACTTTGTCTGAATCTGTGGCCATCAGAGCAAGCTCATCCTCATTTAGCTAGAAAAAATATACAAATACATTAAGGCTGGAGACTTATGGTTGTCAAAGTGCCCTTTTGATGAGACTGAAAACAAACTAGAAGGAAAAAGGCTGGGAGTAGTGTAAAATTCATGCATAGCGTAAAAAAGAGTTTTACCTCTTTACCAATTCCAATAGCGTACACCACGGCTTGCCTCTTCAGCATTTCGGCAGCTATTTTGGTTCTGTCAGGGAACGTAGACGCGCCATCAGTCAGTATAATAGCGACGTTGACAATGCCTCTTCTGTCACCAGGTGGGACAAATAGCTGTAATCTCGCACGGCTAAGAGCAAGATGCGTAGCTGTAGCCCCAGGTGTAAACGGGACACCATCAACTGCTTTAAGGAGACCAGCCTGTGTTAGGTGTTCATTTAACTTAAAGCGCAAGTCCGAAGACGATGAAAATGTCACCATTCCAACTCTGACGTTGTCCGGGCCAATATCAAAACCACGGATCATACTTGAAACAAAATTCATTTCAGTTCTAAAATCAGCTTCCCCAAGGCTGTCTGACGAATCAACTAGAAATGCAAGATCGGCCTCACCACGACAAACTGAAAAAGAAACAAAGTTGTCATGTACTTCAAGGCATTGGCTCGGTTTGTCTGGGTGTGTGTGTGTGTGTGTGTGTTGGATGGTTGTGTGGGTGGGGGCTTTGACAAATGATTAGGCCTACAAAACCTTTGTTAGCAGGTAATAAGTTATAAATGTACATAAAATAAAGATATCAATGTCCAAAAATACCTTTTTCAATCTGACGTAACAGTATGAATTTTAGGTAAAATATTTTATTCAATTTCAAAAGTTAGTGTGAAATTTAGCTTTCCTACAATGTTTTTGGTACTACAGATCATTGTTTTATAACAGATGGTCTAATCGAAAAACTTTATTCTTCGCATGTTTCTTAAAATTACTAAAATGTTTTTCAAATTATCCCATGAGATTGATTATTTACGCTTTAAATCAATTTTTATCCTTTCCTAAATTTGAAAAGCGTTAATCGAGATGTTGGAGCGGAACACAAGTAACGAAGAAAGTCTCTGTTAATTGTGAAAATGTACTTATGACAAGAAAACTTAGTATATACGTTTATTTATGTTTATGCAAACTTGATAACAGTTGTATGTGTATCAAAGTCTTGTTGACGTCATTTAACATACCAGTGATGACATCCTGTGCCCTGACAGACTCAGGAATAAGAGATGCAGCAAAGATGGACAACAGCAGTATCATCTGCATCGTCAGAACTGAAAGCCAGCAGAATTTCAGATACATGTATAAATTATTGGCTTATGGCCTATGAAATGTTTTATATGTGAAATATTTTATATATAAAAAACATACATAAGGTATCTTAAATAACTAAAATTTATGATATCTAAAAAGCCATTTTTGATAATTGCTCATAAATGTGTTTCTCAAATTATTCTAAGAAGAAACGCATATAGAAAAATTGTATCTTACCCGAATGTGCGAAAAAACAAGCGAAGAGGAGGTGCTTCTCCGGCGTACCTTGAGTCAAATCAAGTCGCTAGCTTTTAAAGGGGTTCCAACGACCTTGTAGTTATTCAAATCAAAAACAAAATATAGCCCCAAAGTTGGAGGTGTCCCAAACAAACACGCTTAAATTTGACTTAAATCTCTTAAGTACCACAAAAATTTCTTTAAAATCAACAGTCAACACATTATTATTAATTAGTAGCATTTGCATGCATTAACGATGGCCGCAAACTTTTTTGAGTTGCATGAATAACAAGTGCACCATCGAATAATTTGCATTGAAAATATTTGTCATTATCATTATCATTTGAATTAATTCGTCATGTTCATTTATTTTAATTCTTAACATAATTATATTGTAAAGAAAGTTCCTCCGATTTTATCAACTTCTGATTTAGTGATGTAGAGAAATTATTCCCAGATTCACTGTAGTGATTTATGTGATTTAATGAATTCTTTGGTGCTCATTATAACTGATTTGTACAAAACCTTGTCCGTACTTAAACATTAGCGTAAGGTCATCTTTAACGACATAATCTGCTCTGCTCACCTCGAGTGTCGTCACTTGGTTGTCGTGCTCTCTCCACTGTTGATCTTGCTGTATTTTCATATTAGAGCCAGCCATTCGATCACTGAATTCTTCAGTCAAGAATTTCAACCAAAGATATTTTCTTATGTTTTTGCTGTATTTTGACGAAACTAAATAAATCAATCGAGTAATCTTCACAGCTATGGAATTTTTAAAAATATATCAGCCCATTTCCTTGATGTCATCCTTAATCACCTGTCAATTTTCGGTTGTCATTTACATAGAAAATTCAGCACATTTCACTGTTACTTCGCAAGCTGATATCAAAGTAAAGATGGCCGCCATTTTAACATTTTTGACGCAAACTCTTCTTCATGCCCACATGTAAAATACATCAAAGCATTTTTATTCTTCTTTAATATCTATGTGCAAACGGTTATTTTAAAACAAATTGAGATTCATCTCGGGTTTTTTATAATGGGACGCGGTAAACACTGTTTTGAAAGACTAAGAGAAAATTGAGGACAAAGGTCACAACGGCACTTCTTTTTCAATCTAAATGGGAAAGAAAACAGCAAAAAATACATTAGAAAAATATATAAGAATTGCAAATAAAGAGTAATTTGTAGGGATTGTTGCATTCCTGATGTATTCCCCTTGCAAAGTGACATAGCTAACATATTTGACATCTTCCCCGTCAGCCATTTACTTTTTCTCATTTTTAGAGGATGGTGTAAAAAGATATAATGAAAAAGATATAGTGAAAGAAGAGGCAGCATGGCAAATAAGATAAAAAGAATAAAGATAAAAAAATATGTTTTAAAATAGGCATGTGCATACAGTATTTAAAAAATTACACCAATAAGAAAAAAATAAGAAAGTAAAAACCCAAATACCGGTACATAGTGGACGGTGAATTAATTAAACAAATTTGAATACAACACAAAATGAACTCGTGAAAAATAAGTTCGTACTGTATACAGTGTAAAATATACATGGAAACCCTAAGTAAACCGGAGTAAACTTGATCGTAAGTTTGTATGCCAGGAAAAGAATATGCAATAATATTTTATATGACTGTTAGCTATTGCCTGTTACCTATTACCTGCTATTGACTGATACTTTTGCACCTGACCAACTGAGTTCAAACCCGTGGGAAAGAGATAATAGAAATGATAATTGAAATAATCAACAAGCCATGCTTCGCCGCTCAAAGCATTTATTATTATCTTGAACAAGTGAAATCAAAACAAACCCAACACACAAACATGTAGTTGTATTCTATACTGGGGTGATTACTGGCCTGAAGACCCTCATAGAAACCTCATTTTTCTAATTATTACTATACATGTATTGGGATAATATCATATTATGATATATATTATGATTTAACTCAAAATATTTCTGAACAATCCATACCTAAAGGATTGTGTACCCCTATACAAATCCTTAACGAGGGCTAATCAATATACTCAAATGCAAAATATAGCAAAAAAAAAATTCACTTTGCAACATAGGATGCATATTTGCTCGTTTAATGTTATATTTTGTCCTAAAAAATAGGGAAGTTTCTTCTTATTTAGGCAACGTGACGTTAAGGACAAACACTGACGGAGTATGCTGATCAAAATACCAATAACAGGTAGGACTGGCATTGTCTTCAGGTGTCATGTTTACCTGTTCAAGTCCATGAAAGCGAATAAACGTAGCTAGGTGTAGATACATGTTACAACAACTTAAACCCCTGCACACTGGACGGCATCCTTTCTACGTCCTTTATGCGACCATGAGACTGGCCAGGTTGCCGCTCAAAGAACGCACGGTGTAACGGTGATCGCTTTGCGGTCACAACCGACCGTACGGTTTCTTACGGCCAGATTTTGCGCAGAATCTCACGTACATGTACCACACAAGTCCTTCTTACGAAATTTACAGTATGCAGACAGCACATAAGCACGTACGGGGGATATTGGACATGTCCAACAAACTCCAATAATCTACAGACAGCGTAGTACGGTAGTACGGAGTTTGCAAGGAGTTCGCAAGTGAGATCAAGTGGCCCAAGACGCACGTTGCAAGCAATTGAGTAGCAAGTGCCTCACAACTTCCGAATAAAATCGAACGCACAGTGGGAGTGCCCCCACGCCCAGGAGTATAAAAGGCGTGCTCAGGGCGCACGCTCGTGTTTAGCCAATGAACGTGCACAACAATTTTCAAAACTTTCGCATTTTACTCAATTCAGCTTCCGATATGTGTCCAAAAGGTTGGGGAAATAAGTTTTAGGAGCAGAGAAGAAGGGATGAGGAAGAAGAAAGAAAGGGGGAACACGAGGCAAAACTGACGTAGGCCGTCAGTACGTCATCAAAAGCGCGTGAGGCAGGTTTGACGCAAAACTGACGCAATGTGTGAACTAATTTGGTCGTGCGTTGCAATCTCCTCGTAAGTGGTGAGTGCAAGCTGCGTACGCAGGTAGCAAGACAAACTCAAGAACTGGGTACAATTTCACGGCAATCGCACCTTGCAATTAGCGCCACTGCTTGAAAGGACATCTCACGTGGCCCCTGCGACTTGCAAGGCAGCCTTGCACCTTTCCATTACAACCTTTCCTTTTCCTCTACTAACTCCACGGCTTCTACTGCACTTAAAATTCGCAGGGCACGTACGATCCTAAAATTCGTGCGTCCAGCTGTGACCGAGGCTTTAGATCGCACACAGAACGTTCAAGCATTGCCGAGGACGCCAAGGTCGCCGCAAAGTTTTGAGCATGTTCAAAACGATCGCACAAAGAAAGCAGTGGAGGTTGGTCGCTGCAAGGTCATTCAAGGGACACAGATAGGATGCACAAGTATCGCTGTGGTCGCAGAAGGGAAGCACAAGCATCGCTTGGGTTGCAGAATGAATGCTCAATGATCCGCCAGTGGTCGGCAAGTATTTTTTCCCTCTCAATCGCGCCCTGCTAGGGTATTTTTCACAATAGACAGAAAATCTGAGGATAACAGCTACTAGTGGTCTCATACCACTATCCAATCGGTATTTTTACTGAAATTCTTAAACCGATCTATTTTTGGAGGTGATTTGAACGAATATTTTGCCTTTTTAAAGATGTAGTTCTTGTCTTTTTTTTTTCCAGAATGCATCTATTGAAAACGGATTCAAACATTCTAGGTTGTGTCAGTCAGACTCCCTCGTTTGCGGCGCCTGTCCATCCTTTTACATAAGGACGACAGTGATTATCAGTCCATGCAGATCTAGCCTTGCATTACTGTAGTTTGAAAAAAAAAGGTTTATTCCAAATTATTTTTGTCTTCTGGACCAGTTCTTAATTGGTTGACCGGGTTAGAACTAATGAAAAAATATGAAAGAGACCGAATATATCGAAGGACGTCCCAAAAACGCTCATTGGGCTTTAGTAAACCCCCCCTTTACACTTGATGGCGTCCTTTCTGCGACCATGAAACTGGCATCGCTCTTGTCGTAGAAATGAGGCACAAACATCGCTTTGGTTGCAGAATGAATGCTTAATGATTAGCTAGTTGTCGGCACGTAAAATATTTTTTTACTCTCAAACGGGACCGTACTACGGAACGCAGAAGGACGCCATCCAGTGAAAAGGGGACTTGTCTGACAAAGATGAATCGTGTAGTTATTAAAAAGAACAAACCAGTGCCAAGGATTTTGATTATTATAATTTCTTTAACCAATGAGTAAAAAACCCATTGAAAATTCGTGTAATTTACTTTATCTGTCTTAAAATATAAATAGAGAGATTTTAAGTAAATCAGTCGCATCGCCCTACTCCGAGCCCAGCTTATAAAAATGGAACTCCCCCCTCCTAAACTGCGGATATGAGGTCACCAGCAAAATGGCCATACTTTACTTGAATACAAATAGTGTCCATGAACACTTTACATGTATGATAATATAACAACCAGTTTTATATAAATGCGTTTTAGTCTGATTATGGCTATCGGGATTTATAACCTTTAACAAGTCGTTCTCAACTTCGTTAACTACACAAACAATATAAGAGTATCACTTACTGTGGTGTTTATTTGGTTTACATCTAATCAAAGCACTTGGAAAATTAAATCTTCGTTTAAGGAGAACACATTCCCCTTTATATCGCAGGAAGCGTATTTCTTCGGTAAAAATGTTTCCATTGTTTTTAAAAACCAGGTCTCAAAAAAGAAGATTTCGTGAAGAAAATGTAATCCTTGACTTGGAGTAATTTCAAAGTATCTTTAGGCAAATACATCTAAGCAATACCTTCTGCGTAAGCCCTTGAGTGTGCTGTAAAGAAATAATAATGATAATAATAATAATAATTATTATTATTATTATTATTATATTTAGTTCCTTATAAACAGAACAGCTACCGGTATATACATCATTTTCAGTAAAAGTAAAAACAAAATTGAAACGATTTTAAGACGTTAAATAAAGAATATCCGATTAAAGGACAGAGCCTTACATTAATATTGTTAGTGATGATAAAATATTAATACTTGCATTGCAAAAATATAAAAACTGAATCTTAAACTGAAAGTTAAATATCAAGTCAGTGTTAAAAAAAAACAATTTGAAAGATCTATATTTAATATATCAGCGCTTGCTACGATTCGGATGTTTTAAGGCAGCCGATTTCATAAAGGGGCTGAAATCGAGAATGGCCTGTGTCCGTATGTGCTAAGTTTTTGCTTAAATAACAACAAGGAGAAGTAATTTGTCCATGATGTCGATAAGTTAGAGTGATGGTCCTAGCAGAGAGTAAAAATAATGTGGACTTCACTTCTGGCACGTTTAAAAAACCTCTTATCTACATTGTATAAGTATAATGCTCTGGCAAATTAAAAGAACCGGTGTGATATTGGAGAGTAGATCAATTTTAGCTATCTTTAGAGTTGCAGAGCTTTGTACCGACTGTAGTATGTTTGTGAGATGCAGTGGGAGGCCAAAAAGCAAGCTCATGTCGTAACCAAGGTAAGAGGTGACAAATGTCTGAATAAGCTTTTCCTTGTAGGTTTAGTCTAAATGGTGTGGGGAGGGAAGGCGTTGATTTGATAAAATGGGTAATGATAATGAATGGCTGGAATGCAATTCTGGGTTACAATGTAGCATGCATATTTACAGTAACCCCTCCAAGTAAATGTTGGCTGTGTAGGGCACAAGCAATTAACCTTAAAATGGCATTGAGTTTTATTTTCCCAACTGACTTTTTAAAATGTGTGTGAAGTTAATTCTTACCCCCTCACGTTTAACTGGCCATATCTAGTGTCATTACAACTTTCATATATCAAACAAGCTGATGGTGTTGAATCTATTTAAAAGGGAGTTGTTTGTCTGCTATGTTAATGTGTGTTTAAACCAGAGATTTAAACGAGTCGATAGAATTTAATGTTTACACTCTCATTTAATTAAAATCAGTCGTCATCTGTCTAGTCTTGCTCCTCTTGGGAACAATGTTTGAATATCAATCAGGACAAGCATTAAAATCATCTGGATAGCACTATGCTATTGTGCATTTTCATTAATTCAGTTAATTGGCCATACGATTGCTTAAAAGCTGAATATCCTACTTATACTACTTGTAGTATTTGAGTTAAAGGGCATTATCTCACTTTTAATTTGATATGAGGGAAGACAACCTGTGAAGAAACAGAACTTAACTGGAAATTATCGGTTCCAGATGACGGTACACCTAGATAAATACCCACCAGTAATATACTTGATAAAAAAGAAAAAGTTTTATATTAACATGTATGGTTTAAATATGCTTATGTAAACAAAAGTCTTGCATAAATGATATTATATTATTCAGTAACATGTGTACAGTCCTGGCTGCAATACAGGCTAGAACCCTCCTCATGGACCGTACGAGACTTCGAGTGCATACCTGGGGCATCTAATCCTCCATTCTTCCACCCGTGCAGCTCTAAACTCTGACGGCGGTAGGCTGTGGCTGGCGATTGTGATGTGGTCTGTCCAGTTCATCCAAAGTATGCTCAATGGAAGACATGACTGGTCTAAAAAATGGTCACAGAAGCGTATGGATCTGCTCCTGCTGCAGGTACGCCTGTGATATCCTGGCAGTATTAGGCAGTATTGTCTTGCTATAAGAAGCGTGGGGTTGGGTGTTGATGTATGAATGACTCAACAGCTGTCCTTAAGACTTCACCTCTGTTCTGCTGGTCAATCAGATTTCCACCAATCACTGCAATCACCATGAATTTTGTCTGGATGTTGTCCGGAAACCGCCCAAACCCTAATACTGTTCCAATGTCAATGGGCAATGGCACGACCCATGTCCAGTTCAGACAGCCGTGGCATGGTGTCAACATTCGGTTTTCTAAACTTGGTTTTCTGATTATGTTGTCTACTAGCATTGGTTGTGGACAATTGATTTTTGCAAGGTTTTTGTTCCAATTTGTGGTCAGATGATATGTCTGGAAATCTGAAGGTAGTCATCGTCTGGAATTACTCAAGCGTACCAGGACTCGACTGCAGGAATGATGTGTTCCGTCTCTGAATTAAATTCATATGGAAGAATTGTGGTCAAAACCAAAAGTTGCATTTCTTATTTATACCAGTATGATTGTCATTTGAGGTGAAGTACTTGTGTGTGTGTGTGTGTGTGTGTGTGTATATATATATAAGTCTTTTTCGTAACTGTAACTGTCAAAGCAAGATGGTAGGCATTTTAGAATTCCTTTTGTCTACGTTAATACGTTTCAGAAAAAAGGCTTGTCGTGTATTATAAGTGAATTAACTGTAGCTTTAAATATCGTCACCTGGTTGATTTTTATGACAGGCAATTCCCATTTTTATCTGCATTACAAGCAACCAGGGTTATAGGTCGTAGAATCAACCTTTTTTCCCCTTATCCTTTAAGGTTAAAATTTTCTATTTTGGAAACCAAAAACTTACGTATAATGTTAACGTTTAGCTAGCTAGAAGGCTTACAAGTTGCTTACACGTAATGTACATTAATTTGCATTTTACAGATTGCATTAATGTTAATTTAATGTACCTGTAACTGCCAGAAACAGAAAACATGTAATTAAAATTTGATATTATTTACTAGTCTTGGCACAAAGTAAACTGTACACCTGGTGCAAATAACACCTTAATACAACATGATATATAAATGACTAGATTGCAATTCAAATACGATAACCAATACACATTTGAACATTAAATAATGATGAAAATGCAACTGGCATTTGACCAAGAGGGCAAAACTGTCCTTCAGAAGAGCAAACGATCACTTCATGAATGGCCCCTTCTAAAACCTCACTGACATGGACCGCAACTGATTTTTTTAATGCACCACTCTTCTGATGATCAGACATGCAAAGTACGTGAACAGTGAAAAAAACAATATCCTTGTTAAAACAAGAACAAAACACTACTATATACTGGTTAGAATTAGAGTGAAAAAACTTTCACCATGCTCATGGATCAATATAACTTAAATAAAAATGTATATAAACACAGAGCTAAATATTATCTCAAAGACCAAGTTAAAAGACAACAAAAGTTTACAGAACACATAGTAGATTGCAATTTAACTCGATTATTATGCGGCTTTTACAATAACTTCAATAAGGTGAAGCATAACAAAAAAGAAAGATGAAAGTACTATCTAAAGATGTAAACAATAACTATAAAATTATAATACATTATAATCTTTGGAATGAAACTTACATCTGGCTAATAATTACTGAAAATGGCATGCATTATTTCACATAGTGATAATCATGGACTTAATAATCCTGAACCTTTTTAAGTAAGGTAAAAAGTAAAATAATTCAAATACCTGTAGATACATTATGCAAATAAAGATGTTCTGAGTATCACCTGCCTCCCAAATTATTCAAATGTCAAAGTAAATACCCAAAATGGATGTAAAAGTAATTATCTTAAAATATAAATGTGAACATACACAAAATGACTTTAAAAATTGTCTGAACCTTCCAAATCAATAACTGATCATTAGGTGAATGCATCTATTTTACAACTCATGGCAAATAACCATACTTGTACAACATGCATCTACTGATACTTCATTTCATCTATGATCTTCTGTGCACTGTAGGAAGAAATTTCAAACACAAGATTTAATCAACAATATTGTAACAGCAACTGTCAGGTAATGCTGAACTAAAGCACCACCTTTCCAAACACAGGCTATTCATAAGTCTGCTACAATAAAATAAATTAGACATCTTTTAAAACACTTTAAGGATAGCCAGTAGAATGTACACAGGGCTAATTACAGCCTGATCAACATGAAGTTTCTGCCCATGGTCTGTACTTTATAACATACCAGCCTGTGTCTATTATCACTACATATAATAGACTGGTGACCTATTTCAAAACCAAAATAGTCCATCAGTTCACTGAGCACATGATTTAATCAGATCTGAATGACCATTCAGAAATCTTGAATATAATATTTCACACAATAAAGACTAATGACACAATGTTTCAACTGCAGCAAATCTTCTAAAGTATTGCTGGTGTTGGTTGCGTCCAAAGTGATCACATAACTGCTAAAAACATTTCAAAGTTCAGCAGACATCAAGCCCAAATCTGAAAGAAAAATAAGTAAGTGTACAAGATTGAAGCAAAGGTGGTGGCTATCAGGTTTGAAAGAATTGGTAATTTATAATTGATAACATGTGCCCATACAGCACCACATTTGTAGTGGTTAAGATTATGTCTCCATGTATGTTTACAAAGAATCAAAAGATTGAAATTTCAATGACCAGGGTATTTTTTTCAAATACTCAATCTTCTGACGATAAAATTCATTTGTATGGATAATGTTGAATCTTCCAACCCACAGGTGTTTGCTATCCTTAAAATGACGAATTATCCATGAAATAATAACAAAAAACTACACAAACCCTTAGAGTGAAATCCCAGCTCCCTGTGCAAAGAGCAGTGCCATCAGGAGAAACCCCAAGACAGCTCACCCTGTTCTCATGGCCATAGAGTACAGAGAGCCTTAGGGCTTTCAAACTGTCCCATACATTTACTGTGTAATCATTGGAACCACCGAACAGCAGCCGACCTACAAAGTATATAAGTGAGTTTTGGTAAATCTTTTCATATGTACAAGACAATGCAATAATGCACAAATTAAAAAGTCCCTTCACTAAGATAATTTCATTTAATCAAAATAGATGATAATGTTGCAATTTTTATTTTCAGAAAAAAGAAATTCTATAAGAATGCCACAGGTAACAGGATGATACTGCTGTACAAATTATATTAGGCTAAATTAAGATGCTTAACTGTCACCTTTTCTGAACTTTTACTTACCACTGACAGAAAAATCAACTGAGTTCCAACCAAAAATTATGCTTTCTTTCCTATATACATTTACTTCTCTATCAGCTCTCAAGTCAAAGAGACGGCACTGAAAAGAAAATAATATGTTATGAAATGGACACACAAACATAAATGACACATAAAACTGTGCCTATCAGTCTTGGAATAGTCTGAAAATAGTATAATTTTCGCACTGAAAGTTTCTCTTGTGAATTGAAATACTGATTGTAATACAAAGACTGCACCTTGTTTCAACTTTGTCCATCAGTCTTCTAAAATCACTGAAAATGGTATAGCTCTTGGACTGCAAGTTTCTTTTGTACATTGAAACACTATATAAATAATACAAAGACTGCACTTTGTTTCAAATCCCATTGTGCATGCAACTACACTTGCACAAGGGAGTGAGAGTGATGATTATGCAATGTGCGTACAGTGCTACCTGATTAATGGGACTTTAACAAGCTGGAAAGATGGATAAATAGGTCATTTTCTGATCAAAAAGTTGAAGAAGGTGCAGTTTTCAAGCTTTTTTTTTTGACAGAAGGACGGATTAATTTGGTTTATGACTTGGCATGTTGACTTCACTTTAATCGTACAAGAAACTAGTAGAAATGGTTTATATGCATTACTGGAAATCTAGCTCCCTTTACATGTAACTTCTCTCTTGCTTTGCTGAAATTAGAACAAATTCAGCCACTGGCAACATTTGTATAAGCTAAAATGAGTGTTACTGATAGAGAACCACAATGTACTACATACTGTTGCATCATCTGAGCCTGTAGCAAAGGCATCTCCACTAGGATGGAAGCGAACACTGTTGATGTCTGACTCATGGCCTTCAAATTGCTGCACACAATCTCCAGTTCTCATGTCCCATACATTGGCTAGCTTGTCACAGCCCTGAAATGTACACATTTACTTTGAAACCTGCCAATACATAAGTATGATGTGAAGACACATTAATTGTGCAATGTGCATGTACTTCTGATCACACAAGTAGCATCGAGAAAAAGTAAACCTGATACAAAAGCAGGCTGCATTAAAAATTGATATGACTAATGTGAGAAGAGTAATCAATTAAGGGTGGGCATTTCAATAACAAGAACAAGATCTTATAAAGCTCAGTAGATTGGAATATTGTTAACATAGATATCTAAGAACATATTAATTAATATATATGTTAAAACCATGGCATTTGCACACAACAGGTGTACCTCTTCTTGTCATCAATAAATATTGAGCAACATCAAACAGATACAATGTATATTCTGTACATGTATAAGTATAAATCAAAATATTTTAAATCAAAAAGTTCTATTTATTTACTTGTTCTTAAGGAATTTTATGTTATTACTATGAATCTTTACCCCAGATACAAAGGTTGTCCCTGATTCTGATGGAGATATGTCAACTGACATTACATCTCCCATATGACCATGAAAACTCTGGATCATCTGACCACTCTCTACATCCCACAATGCACAGGTGCTGTCACCACTTCCTGTTAAAATCTGTGTAAATTAAAATTTCAGTTATTTGTATTTTATGATCAAATTCATGTTATTCTCTATGCAACAAAAATATAACTACTAACAATTAAATGAAGGATCCAACATTATAATACTCATTCCTGTTTCAAGTATTTATGATTTGTGCCTGACATTATGTAAAGCAACTTAACCTGTCAGGCTATAGTGATCCCAGGTGTAACGTAATATCATATAATCCAGTGGTGAATGATGGAATCAATATGTACAAAATAACTGTGACATTCAACAACAGTCAATATATACTATGTATACAAAGTATAACAATTAAGGTCCAAATGTAGCTGACACTCGCACTAAAATCAAGATCAAAAGTTTCTAGCACCAAGTCTTTAGACTCAGCCAAAGTAATGACCCTGTGTTTTTACCTGGTGATCAGAATTAGTAAAAGTACAACAGGACAGGTAGCTGGTGTGGGTGGCAATGGCTCTCTTCTTAGCTGTAGGATCATCTTCCAGTGTCAGAGGATAGATAGTGCACTTGTTGTCTAGACCTCTGGCAGAAAAAAAGAGGAGCACCACTTTCATTTACGAAAAAATATTTCTTTTTTTTTCTTTCTTTCAAATCAAACTGGCATCACAATGTTTAAATGTAAGAATATAGATGTACATATATACCAGAAGCATATGACCCAATTCTTAATTATAGCAAAACCCTGCTAAAATTCTTATCAAAATAAAAAGCCACTTTTAGTGATATTTTATATTCATCTTCATAATTTCACATACCCACAAGCTACAAGCGTTCCTGATGGTCCATATGCACAAGCCATCACCCAAGTTGTAGGCATGGTCATGGCATGTTCCTGGAAATATAACAACATTTGATTAATGAGCAAACAATTTAAGTCCCAAAATCTTATTTAGATGGATTCAACACTGATTTCTCTACAACAGTAATACCTTTCCATTACTAGTACATGAGTTCACCCGGTCAGGAAACAAAATCTGTCCAAACACTAGCAGAAAACCCACTTCAAGAATATCCCTGTAATTTTGTGCTGTATTTTATTTTTATTTGAGGTGGTATTTTATATCACATTTTTCTAAGCTGAGTATGAGTACACTAGGTCCTAGGTATGGGAAAGGCCATTCCAAGTTGGATATTACTGAGAAAACCTTGTTCAATCTTGTTGGTATGCACATGAATCAGGTGATCAATAATAATCAAGGGAAGCTACTAATGACCATTTGGGGGCCAAACTGTTCATTACAAGGCATATTATGGACTGACATTGATTAAATCAAGCATAACATCAATTCATGCAAACATTTCAAACTAGATTGCAAAAGGAGTGCTGTAATTATATGTTTGCTTCCTAAAAATAGGCAAAACTGAAAAATGTATCGATCAAGGAGTGTAATAAATGTTCATAAGAAAAAGAAAATTAATTATAATTAATGGCAGTTATTCATGTCAAACCATGTACAATTTTTTTACAATTAAAATTCCATTTCAAAAAGATGTTTTACATATTGGGCATACCTGCATAAACACATGTAAACTATGGGATTATTTTCTGTTGCTCCTTTCATTTGCAAATAAGAAACAAAGAATAGATAAAATTAAAAAGCTGCAGTAAATTTGTAAATACCTTGTTTGTGGTAAAAGCATCCCAGACCAGCATTCTTCCATCCTACATGCAATATAAATAAAAATCAATTCAGTTAAATTTTATTTATAAATACCATGATTGTAATAAAGAAATTAATTACATCATAATAAAAGTAGTAAAATTTATTATATGAGGTAAACAGCTGATAATGAACTATGTGCCATATGGCATTTAACAAACAAATGCATTACTATAGCAATTAATGACAATTTGTTTTACAGGTTACTTTCACAGGCCTACCCAACTACCAGACTCGGCACCGAATGATCCTGAATTCACCAGTAGATCAGACCACACTACCCGTTTTCAAGGTGTGTGTCAGATCGCATTACACAGTATCATACCCTGAACAAATTTTGAGTGGTAATGCAATGCTTTTCAACCCCGCTGAGAATCGTCACTATCACATCGTGTACTAGGCAAGAGCGGTGTCGCATCTGATACTGTGTAATGCAATCTGACACACACCTTGAAAATGGGTAGTGTTGTTCGATCTACTGGTGAATTCAGGATCATTCGGTGCCGAGTCTGGTAGTTGGATAGGCCTGTTTCATCCCCAGTCAAAACAAGGGGTGTCTAAACCATAATTTACACAACTGCAATGTACGTATTACATGTATCATAAAAGAACCAATTATTACAAACTGCAGTTGTCTTATCTAACTTAACAGTCAGTTATGTATGCAACATCATATTTTGTAAGAAATATGTTTACTGTACCTGTGATGAACTAACAATATGTCTTTTATCCTGAGACCAATCCATGCACAATACTTTGCCTTGGTGCCCTTTCAGGACTCGGCGTGGCTTCATAGTGAACCCTTGGATGTTATTTAGACGTTGGGCTACTACTTGTACTGTAAGAAAAACAGATAATATTTGGAAAGTTCAGAACATTGGACCTATTAAAGAAAATGCTTTAAAAATTAAAAGCCTTTATTTAAATAGACATTCAGATTAAGAAACTTTTGGAATAAAAATATGTTGGAATAGCAAAATGACCCCAGCCTGTGGGTTAATTGGAGGCTGCTGGATCACATCTCTCTGTATTGAGTAAGGGAGCATTCTCATAAACCCATTGTACTACCTGGATCAATCTAACTCTGCGGGGATTCTCACTAAATTGCATTAAGTGAAAGTGGCTAAAACGTCTAAGGTGCCTACTCAAGCTGCTAATAGATAACAATAGTCAATAACCCCTAGTTACTCATGGGAGCATGCCAGACAATTAAGCTGATTACACTGAAAGCACTTTAACAAGAAGTCACGACAGAGTTTGCTTTATCCAGCTAGTATGATGAGTTTATGGGAACACAGTCTAAGTCCATACAAAGATGCTTGCATGACGTTGTGTTATTTAGCTGGTAAATATGGAGTCACAGTAAAACACTTACACAAAATAATTAATACACAATCAAAAACTACATTTAAGATCATGCTGCATCATGAGGTACTAAAAGCATTGAATTTTATACGCATTTTTCATTGGTGATTAATTCAATAAAGTCATCAGTTTTTTTTTTTCTATCATCATCCACAAACTGTCTTACTTCAGACTTGTCTAACTTCAGAGATTAATTTATATTTAAAAATTGTTTGTTTCAGATGTTGCATGACCATCACATTTTCCATAACCACGGGTCAGCAAAAGCCAAATTTTCCTCCACGGGTATCCTCAAAATCTAGATGAACTATACCCCCCCCCCCCCCCCAATCAACACGCACACAATTTCAAGATACGAGTATGTCACTGCAAATGTTGTGTCCATTTGAAAACTTTGCATTAGTACTAATGCTTCATGGTAAATTGCCTTGTTCAGATAACACTTTTACACTCTGTTGTGATTTCGTAATGTTTATACTGTGCCTAGATTTCGACTTTTGATTGTAATTTGAAGCCATTTCATTTTTATGTCACTGTGAGAGCTTAGGTCGTAAAAATATGACCTGTCTTTTTACTGATACTTATACATCAATATAGTCTGCACTTACATTCAACATCTCCAAGTTTTGCTTTTTCCTCTTCGAGTTTTGCTTTTAACGTTTCTGCTTCCCGAGTAAGTGCTTCAATTGACTCTTGCTGGCAATCGACCTTCAGATCTGAAGCCATGTTGCTCGCAAATGTCAACATTGTGACCCGTAAGGAGGAACAATATTTAGTTCAATTAAGAGGTATTTATCCAAGAGTTCATGACATCTTAGATAATTCATCACATGAAAAAAGGTGTCATTAATGCGATGAAAAGGTTATGTACTTTTCGTGTGCATAAAGACATCAGTAATTCATTGTAATACGAGCTCAAATTCTATTTTACTTTCAAAGCTATATATACGTCACTCCCCACGAGCATGCGCCAATCATATGATACGCCATTTTCTTGTGAAATTTTCAGCTCATCAGTAGGTTCGTCATATAATACGGTGTTTTAGCTACAGAACAACTGGTCTAGAGCTACACCAATCATTATGCCAAATCTTTACATTGCGACGGTGCTTTTAGCTGTTTTAGTGGCTGTTCCTGTTCAAAGTAAGTAAAATTGAACACCTCAAAATAAATGAAACGCAAGGAAGAGGTTCCAAAGTTATTGTGTGGTTGTGGTCAAATAAGGTTAGGGTTTCGTGCGTGTCAAGGCCCTGTTGCAATTTTATCATTCAGTAAGTTTAAGATGAAAAATGTTATAATACGGTTTGTAAATCGAATCCCTTGTTACCGTCGATGCTTGCTGGTCATGTAGAAAAATGACTAACGGGTGTTGGAAGCATGGAAGTTGAATTTTAAGAATGAAGCCTTTGAAGTTGAAGGTCATACAATATATTGATGTTTATGATGTTGATGCTAGTCTCATTTGATAAATTATTTTCCACTTGTCAACTGCCTGTTAATGGACAAGTTTGGGATTGAGTTGGAATGATCTCGGCTTATTGGGTTTGTAAATTCAATTACCTGACAATGGTATGGTACTCCTAGTTCCTTCTTCATATGGATACGTCCCTTGCAATGTAATAATCCACATTGTTTACTTAAAAATGAATATATAATAAGATATTGTTATTGTATTACAAAGTAGTAATTTGTTTTCACATTACCCCTTGCTTGAACTATTTGAAAAATTGTCACAGCTAATTAAATGATCCTAATAATTGTAAAAATATTGCATTTTTTTTCCTCTAAATTGTTAACATGCATATTTAATGACAGGGTTTGTTCCACACTTCTGTAATTCCAGTATTCCACTATAGTTCAGAATTAGTGTCTCATCAGGTGACGTTTGGCACGAAGCAATATATTTGAACTATTTCAATCTTGTTTAAATTTTGAAAACAAAGTTTTCTGGGCCCTTGAAACATGAATGAATATGAACCTGATATGTTACAATTAGAACAATGCTCTTGCTTCCATTTACTTAAAAATGACTAAAGCAAAAACACTTTGGTAGATATTTTTCTCCATTCTAAATATCAGAGTTTTTCCTCTTGGAAATCAAAGCACTTGCAAGTGTAGTGTTTGAAACGTGAATTATGTTATCGGTCATTCCATGCATTTGTTTCATTTAAATCTTTCCATTCCTAGCAATACAGTTCAAGAGAGTTTAAAATGGTAACAAATGTATATTTTGTGTTTTTTATGAAATCAGAGGTATTAAAGGGTATATGCTAATTGGAGAGTAAAATACTGTAGACTAGTCCATCTAAGACCGCATTCACAACGAGTTGAGCCATGGCTCTACAAAGTCACGAACTTAATATGGCGGACATACATGAAAGAAAAGCCGCCTAATCTTTTAATAGTCTCTCCGCCTCTCAGGCCTCCCCATGCGTCATCCCTGTGGCTCCATTGGGATGACACATGGGGAGGCGTGTGAGAGGCGGAGAGACTATTAAAAGATTAGGCGGTTTTCCTTTCATGTATATCTGCCATATTTAGTTCGTGACTTTGTAGAGCCATGGCTCAACTTGTTGTGAATGCGGTCTAAGAGTGTTAAAACTGTGCTTATGGTGAAAGAATTAGGAGTAAGTATTTCAATAAATTCATATGTTCTTTTTTTTGTTCCCTTGAAAGAGCTTCCCATGTGGTTCATTTCTTTGTTCCCTTCTTGGTTCATTTAAGATCCCTATCACAAATGGCCCCATTTTTAGTGGTAATTGTTCAGAACAAGGATATGGTGACAAAAATAAACTGACATAAGTAGAGAAACAAGGCAGGTGGTGCAGTGCAACCCCACCATGATATCAGAGAAACTGTTTTCTTGTCTCTTAATTGATAGCATTAATTTGGCTTTCTGAGAACATTTTGCATAGTATAAGGTTTCACTCTACAGGTAGCTCTGATGGAGGAGCATTGGATTTAGGTGAGAGCTATATATATCCTCAACCATGCTGTGTATGAACTGTAATACCTGCAGTCTTAACCCCCTCTGCTATGTTTGAAGATTTGTATAATTTTAAAGAGATAAAATAGCTTTGTGAATAACCTTTGAGAAAATGAGATGATGTCATGCTGACATATTTACCGTTTTGTTTTTTGTTTTTTGTCTAAAATGTTATTGCCTTTGCCCTATTTGTGAACTGTTTAATGCATGTTTTTGTAAATCAATATTGCAATAAATAAAATATATTTACAAGCTTATTGATTTATTATTCAAACACTTGTTTGTATTACATGCCATAAAAAATTCTTCAAGAAAAATATGTGAAAAAGCTTTGTTTTTTGCTATGACTAAAAGCAGCTTGCTGGCACATGTGCCTCAATGGGCATTGTGCGTCATGTGCTCTTTAATAATAATCTTTTGTGCCAAGGAAGAGGTGAACTAGTTTGAACTGGACAAAACCAAGTGTGCCTTCTATTTATAGTGTCTGATAGCTTGAATATGCTGCATGAATAACCTACACAGAAAGAAAGAGATTGGAGAGACTGCACCATGTGAATTCTAAATAGAGTGGGTAATGCTATTTTTTTGACAAGCACATTTTCTACCCATCCATACATCTCCCCCTTCAAATCAATAATGTAACTATTATCCTTGTGGATGGGCAGGTGTTTCCAATTGGTGTGATAATGAAGTTTATGCCAATGTGTTTACTGATCTAAATGCTGAAATTTCTATTGATTCTTGATAAAGACTTGGAAGATGTGAGCAGATTACATAACACCTTTTAACCTTCACCAAGGGCAGTTCATGGAGCATGCATCCCATTTGTCATGATATAAGTATGCTGGGTAAACATGGGTACAGACTGATCAGTTGAGATACAGCCAGCATATCTGAGACTAGCTAAGGCAATGAGTGCATAAAGTGCTGATAAGCTTGGCTGCACATTCAAATCTGTATCAGTTTCACTTTAGAAATATGTTGTCTTAGAGTTGTGTTTAATTTCTCTCTAATCCAGACAAAAATATTATTAAGTATTTACCCCCCCCCCCCTTTTGCACATAACCATGTTTATTTTAAAAAATAAGAAATCCTGCGAATTTAACGAAAAAATTATTACTTTATAAGTTTTCAGTTGTTTTATTTTGAAACTTTGATAAACCAGTTTTAATTTCAATTTTAAAATGCTGTCGGTAGTAAGAAAGAGTTTTCCGTGGTTCTTCTGATCAATGCTTTTTTTGTAAAAGTAAGGCCTGGTCATATCCGATGTTTTAAAATACTGAATCATTACTAGTAAGTCGTGTATATCAGGGTCTCACATCATCATCATGTAATCAAAAACTCTGACTCTTGGGACTTTGTTACATATGAAGATGGGATATAGTTTTATTTTCTGGAAATTTATAAAATATCCTTATTGTTGAAATAAATGTTCAGTTTTCCAATATGTGATATTAGGACATAAGATTTTTTCTCCTTTTTGACCTTGATTGTGCTTCAGCCAATATTTAAATTTGTCTCCCCCTCGCACTTTCATTTCAATGTGTACAATTCTTGCAATCTGAGAGCTGAAGAACTATTTTTAAAGAAGGGCTAATTATGATTGTGGCAATGATCTACCACTTCATTTTTTTTTTTCAAAATGCATAGAGAGATCACTTGCTGATGCCACAGTTTTAATTTGTAGGTGTTGAAGTTTATGTTACCAGCATCAACCCTGCCAGGGGACACAGAAACATTTTAGCAGGAGAAACCATTGAGCTAGATTGTCAGATCAATGTAGCTAATGAGCGGTCCCTGCACTGGACTCTGAATGGGGAGCGTCTAGATGCAGGAGCTGTAGGCACATTGAAGATAGAGCAGATCTCTGGCAGCTCTCAAAACACACGTACTACACTTAAGTGGGAAAATGTGACATTAGCACAGTCTGGGACCTTTTTGTGCCAAGACCAAAACCAAAACCAGGGGCGGAAGGATGTGAATGTAGTACAGAGTAAGGAAAGCTAAACTTGTTGAGTATATACATATATATATATGTAGGTGTTTTTCACTAGGATTATGCAACAAGTCAGTTTAACATAATTTTATTTTTAAATTATAATTATTAAAATAATGCATACAATTATGTTTGAATGGTGCTTAGTCTTGAGAACTGTATAAATTGAAATACTGCTTTGAGTATCATGGGGGAATAAATGGCAACTGAAAATCAATGAACAATTCCAGTTACTCCAAGAGAGGGTGAGTTAAACTCCAGCCTGACCACCCCTCAGGACATCACCCTGAGATGTGAAGTAGAAGGGTTAGGAGCTGGCCAGTACCAGCAGCTGGAGTGGTACTTCGATGACAAGAGAATAGATCTGCAGAGGGTGAATGCAGATGGACCCAAATATAACATCAGTCACATCAATGATTCTCTTGTGATTTTTGGAGCCAGTAAGTTATTCATATTTGACCCCCACGTGTAACATAAAACCAAGCAAATTCACTTTTCAAGTTCTGAATGTTGTGAGTTATAAATTAATGAAAACCTCATAGTAATTTTGTATGGTTCTAGATCAATGTCTGGAATATCTTTGTGCTGTATGGGAAGTTTGCCCTTCCCCCGATTAGTGTAATACATTCAAAATTCCAATAACATACAAACTGGTTTCCTCTCCTTCAGCCAAGGAAGATGTAGGCACTTATGAATGCCTGGTGAAGACGCTTGGCAGTAAACAAGAGAATCTAACCCAAAAAGTCCAGTTGCTAAGTATGCTTTATGATTTTTAGTACATGCATAAATTATCTTGACAAAAATAGCAGTCTTCTCAGTTGTTCAGTTAAGTTGCTATTGATTTTTCGCAAAACTTGATACCTATTCTGTTTATTGATAAAGCACTGATATTACTGAAGAGAAGAAAATTTTTCAAAATCTATTCAGCATGATGAGCATTTTTGTACATTGTAACGTGTATGTATTTCAGTGGATCCCATGATTACGGACTTCAGCAGATCCAAGAACATAGTTCAGGGTGAATCTGTGATTGTGAACTGTGAGATCTATGGGAACCCTGTGGACACTGTGGTCTGGTACAAGGATGATGAACCTCTGGTGGCTGATGGGGATCGTATCAAACTGATGCCACACAAAAACTTTGAGAATGCTTCTCTGCAGATGAATAAGCTGGACTTCCCAGATAGAGGAGTATACAAGTGCTTTGCATCCAACAAGGGAGGAGAGAGTGCTTCCAAGGCAATTCTTATTCGAGTTAAAGGTGCTGATAATTTCTGCAGTGTTTTATTTTCTAGTGTAATTACAATGTATTTAAATTAATCTTCATGAGTGCACTGGACTGGTTGGTGCCTAAATAATTTCATATGCTTTTTGGATAAATGGTAGAAAAGAATGATTAAACATGACATAAGAATGCAGTTATGCATAGAGAGGACTGTTGCTTTTGGGGGGCTTTTTAAGTATTTGTGGTAATTTTCTGTGCACTTGATTACTTATGGGGTTAAGGAGAGAATTTGGTTATCAACTGGGATTTAACCTCACTAGTGATTGCATCACTGTGTAATGCAGCAGTAGAGTGCGAAAAACTCAGTGACTTCAGTATCCAGTTCAGTTTTACACACACTAGTCTAATTTATCAGCAATATATAATGATTGCCATTGTCATGACATTTCAGACCGCTATGCTGCTTTGTGGCCATTCCTGGGTATTTGTGCTGAAGTAGCCATTCTGTGTACTATTATCTTCATCTATGAGAAGAGGAGAGCAAAGAAGCAGGAAGAGGAGGATCAGCAACCAGCAAAAGAACCGTAAGTTTAACCTTCAAATGTATAATCAGGGTCCACGATGCCCTAAGATGAAAGATTATCCCCTTCGAAACATTTAGTGATTCACAATGACCAAGAAATTGCCCATATTTTTCCACATTTTGGGTTCAGAATAACCTTAAAGGCTAATATATAGTGAAAACCTGTTGGTAATTCTTACATTGATAAGACTTAGGGATGAATTATTTTTAAGCAGCTCAAAAATGTAGGCATTGACAAGGTGTGTTTGTGGTTATCAGAGATAGGTTTGACATATTGTTTGTGCACTACTTGGGTTTTGAGAGTACAGTCTGTCTGGTATCATAATTGAAATTCACTGAGAAGACCAGCAAATAATTTACCGCATGGTCTATCAACTGTGATGTGTACAGCCCCTAATGTGGTTTGCGCCATGGTGAAAATAATCTTAGGAATAAAGAATCTCAGGCAGTGATGAATTTCACTGTCAGAATGGTACTTTGACAACTATTGACAGTGTTAAAATATATATATATTTTTTTGTAATTATGATAATGACACCTGTGCTGTGTACAATAACCAGGTACATTGAATTGGAAACCAAGTATTGAATATACTAAAAAATTTATGAGAGAACTCAGAATTCAGTGATATGTTGTTAACCTTAATGGATTAGTTGTCTGTGGCATTTTGCTCTTTTTCCTTTACTGTTAGCTATTACATGTACCAGTCTTATTTCTCTTTTTTATTCATTATTCTAGTGATAAGCCTAAGCATTTCAACAGCTCATTTCACGACTCATTTCATATGTGAAACAAAAATTTTAAAAATGGTATTTATTTGGTAAAAGGGTATTTATTTGACACATTGCATGCTGCATTGCAAGCATGGCAGTCAGCTTTAGAACATATTATGAATTCATAAAACTCTGTAACATGTCCTTTTGCAGCAGTGGTTTCAATTTATTAATATCTCAGGAGAATAAACTACCTAGATGATCAATAAATGAATGTGGTTCATTATCCAAAGTATAAAAAATGCTGTCCATGTTCTTCAAAAGATAATTATGGGTTTCATTGACCTCTTTTAAGATATGGGATCAATTTACAGTTGTAGATATATTTAAGGCATTAAATTACTTTCAACTGTAATCTTATGGTGAGATATAGATTGAGACACAATGAAAAGAGAATGGTTGCTATGTTGCTTTACCTATTTATAATGATATATTGTTTGGTGCCTGTACTTTGTTCTTGGGAATCGCAGTTAATTTTTTTTTTCACAAAAAACTACTGACCCCCAATGACTTGGCAGTGACGGTATCCATCTTTCACATTGCAATACATTTTCATTATTTAACTAAAGGCAAATTCCTGTTATAGGCCAGCATGCTTTGATCTTCTGTTTAATGACTGTGACTGTCTAGTTTGTCACACAAAGTAGTAAACAGGTTGTGAACCACATTGTTTGTCAGTGATCCTGTAAGACAGGTTAAGGGATGGAGGATCTTGATCTACATTTTTGCGCTTTGCTGTAAACAATTTCAATATTAGGCTTTAAAAATATGGTATATAGGTGAATGTAAGTTATAGTTGAAAAGAGCATTTTAAGTGAAAAATCTGATGGAATGAAATACCTTGTAGGGTCTAGAGGATCATGCATATGCATGAAAAGGGGTTGCAAGGTATGAGGAAATGCTTCATGTGTAGATGTTAACCATTTTGTAAGCTTTTTAGTTTAAAGGACAACCAAATTTTTTGGCAGTGATAATTTATCTTGGTTCAATTAAAATGCTGGCATTTCCTTTTCATGTTGTGCTTTTATCTTTGATATGGATATGGCAAATTCAATTGTCTTGCATTATTAAGCATCAGTAGGCATTGTGTGAACATGTCGCATTTTTGAAACTTAAAAGGGCTATTTCAGCTGACGTTTTTCAAGTGCTTGTATTACTTTGTTGTTTGTGTTACAATAAAAATGCAGGTGAATAGAGGCTTTAGTTTTTTGCGGTTATATTTCACCATCTTCAGAATTTTACATGTTAATGTGTATGAAAAAGGGCTTCAGGTGATGTAGGCTTGTTTTATAGTGCTCAAAGGATGCACCATGCAGTTTCTAAAATGTATTTATTGAATTTTTAAAATATTTATATATAAATATATTTATTTAATATTATTTTTAAAAGAGCAATGTGTTTTAGTCAATGTTCAATGTAGATATGTAGACATTTGGGATGAGCATTTCCATCAAAATGACTTAAGATTGACAGCACGCCCCATTTACAAGAATAATTTTTTTTTAAATTCTCAAGCAAACTTACTTACAATCTCATTTAATTTCTCACTCATTTATATGTTACTCTTTTAATCCAAATCAAGTCTTCAAGATTTGATGCAAGTTACATCTGGCTTTATGATTGTTTATGAAAACAGCTATGTAAATACTAATTGTTTGGTTTGTAATGTTAAAGAGTTGCGTTAAAAAATAAGGCTCTGTTTTTCTAGGCTCACCAATGATCATAAGGACACAGATGTGAGACAACGCAACGTTAGGACTTAAAACTACCATGAAGACATGCAGTCAAGTCATCTCTAAAACCACAGCTGATGGTGTCATTTACTCTTATGGTTTACACCATGTAAAGAAGGATGTATTGGTGGGGGTGAAGTGTCTGCAGCCACAAAGCACTATACTCTTTTTTCCCTTATATTTGTCATACTTTAAATTGTCTTTTGAACACACTGAAGAAAAAGGAACAAATATGCAAGCCCAGGTCCCAGCATGGCATGTTGCAGTCTGTGGGACAGTTCCCAATATTGAAACATTCTTTGAAGTTTTGAGTAAGGCTTGGTAATTCAAATAGGATTAACTACATTGTCTTTGTTACATTGCATGTGTACTGCTTAGTTATATTAAATGATTTTTTTAATGTTTAAAGTGGATTGTATGTATGTTTTGTGCTTGGCAAGGTATGTATCAGGATGTACAGTGTTAACATCATAGTGCATAGTCTTGAAATCCAACATATCCAGCTACTTTAAATTGTGTTGTGTTGTTGACTTTTTAGTCGTCTGCATTGTGCATTTATTTGTAAATATACTGTGTCATTTCCTTAAATGTGAATGATTAGTGCCTAGTAGTTCCTGTTTGATATTATATCACCATGAATCACAGAAAATGGAAAGTTTAGATCACAAACTGATATTGTGATTCTGTCTGCAACTTGTATATTTGTAAACATAAAATTTATATGCAGTAAGCTTGAGTTTCATCAGGCAATAGTTACTTGAAGACTCAAAAATAGACTTGCGCATTTGAAGCACGTTTTTATGCACTATTAATTGGATATTTCAACATCTTAAGATAATCAGAAGTAGGTGAAATATAGTTTTTTTAAAGTGTTTTTTATTCTTTCATTGTTAGGATTGTTTTTGTTTTTATCACTTCTTTGTACATAAAAATCTGAATGTCCATTGTCTTGCAGTTATATCAAATACGAAGCCTAGCAAAGAAAGTAATTTTTGTTGATCATCTGAAGTTACCAGTATAATTAGTAGTATGGTGCTTGTGATACAATGTGTAAAAAGTTTGCAGATGAAATGAAAAAAATGTCGAGTTTGAGTAAAATTTGAAATTTAGAAGTTATATGAACTTTGAAATGTGTTTTAATTTTTTTATGGCAAGAGAGACCGCTACTTATGGTGAAAAAGAAGGAAGTGGTATGTTGTTACATTTTAGAATATAAAACTTGAAAACTGCTTAATCGCTCTTGGGAATGCTACCTCACGTTTGGCTTTTTATGACTCGAGAAATATTGACAACCTAAAAAAAATAATGCATTTCTAGAACATTGTAAAAAATACTTGAAAATATTAGGATTGAATATGCCTATTAATCCTTTATGTATATTTTACGGTGTTAAAATGATGGTAGCTTCTCAAGCCATCTAGCATTATCATCTATTTTCAAACTTAATATCTGTTTAGTATAAACATTAGCACTGTAGGGATTAATTATTATGTATGCCTGAATATATGCAATTATATGTTGAGTACCAACCTATATTAGCTTTAACCATCCTGTTATTTCTAACTGGGTAACAAGTATACGCTGTATTTTAATTTTGGGCAAAGTGAATTATTTGATTTTAAGCTTACCATGTGCACACAGTGTGATCTCTTAGACTAATTTATATATATAGTATGTATATATATATACCAAGGATGTTTTCAAATTTGTATAATTTTTTGTGCAATATAATAAATGTTAATTGATACATCCCTCAGATGCATTTGACATGTTAAGTCTGAGCCTTTCGAGGTTGAGCATTCACAGATGAAACCCGATTATCGGAACAAAACTGCCATCAGGTTGATTGTCTACGAAGTTGAATAACCAACGTTGGAATGCTAGTCTCCTCCACAGCAGAAAAAATGGGATAAAAGGGAACTCTAAAGAAATTGTTAAAGTTGTTTTAACATGGAAAATACATTTGGACTCATTGAGTAGTCAGAAGTCTGTTCAACTTGGCATCCGCCTTATTCACACGAAGTTCCTTCGATATTTTGTCACTTCGAGTGTACTGACAAGGAAACTAACTTTCAACTGTTTTAAGTAACGGGCATTAAGGCCTGTTCCATCAAAGTAATTTATTTCAACAATAAGTGAAAACTTAAAGCCTAAAGTTTAGTCTATCTTAACCCAAGATTAGTACGTCCAATAAAGGGTACCGGAGAAGATCAGCATTGGTCAGAATTGTGCCGGAGGTGACGTGTAGTGGTGTAAGACGTAAAGCTGAGTGGTCATTTTTAGCTGGAGGTGAACGGAAGAGAAGACATGGACTCGGAGAAAAAAGCAGTTTTTCAAACAACATGGTTGAACAGAATACTTGTAGAAATAATAGGCACATGATATGAAAACGTGACACGGAACTTGAGGGTGCAAAATCGTGGTTAATTTGCAGACAACTTGTTTTGAAATACATGCTGCATCGACTGCCAGCGCGACAAAGAGCGTAAAGGGAAAAGAATTATATGTGGAATTTCATGTCAGATGGACCTTCAAGTTCCGTGACACGTTTTCATATCATGTGCCTATTGTTTCTACGTATTTCTCTGCCCCAAATGCATAAAGATGAAATGTTATCTTACCGTGTTGTTAGAATAACTGCTTTTTTCTCCAAGCCCACGTCTTCATTCCCATTCACCTCCAGCTAAAAAAGACCACTCAGCTTTAAGTCTTACACCACTACACGTCACTTCCGGCACAAGTCAATCAGGTGCCAGTAAAGATAAGTAGACACAAAAAATGATTATTCAGAGATAAGTACATGACACTTGATGTAGGTAATAACCCTATCTTACGAATGTGGATTGTCTTTCAAAATAAAGTTCCAAGTATGTCGCAAAATTTTATCTTTCCCAGGCTAATTCAACACAAATATTCGCACTACCCAATCACTTAACACAGGTAATGGTTAAACTATTAAAAAACAACTCCATTTATCTTCCCTGTGGCAGACGTTTATCTGCCAGATCCATAGGTTACTCTGGTATGTTGCACGCCTCATTAATCTTTGAAAAATGAGAATAAATAAGTTTCGCTGCTAGCCAACAAAGTGACAGGTGTTCTGATTTAAACGTCTTTTCTCTTTGCTTCAGACGTAATATGCTGTTCAGTCGCGTTTGCCTTTGAGTTGGTGATCTAAAAATTCATTCGTTAGACACATTACAGACGTTGTCACGTAGGAATGATGGGACCTACATTGATCTTCAAGTATCAAAAGCAACTAATTCATAGGGCCTAATATACTGACAAGTTGGTACAGTAGATCGATGTAGATCCATGTAACCTGTAAACCCGTGTTTTAACAGAATGAATGCAATCGAATCAATTCCACTTATCACATTGCAACATAGAATGGCAACTGGCGACATCTACAGCATATAGTTTTTACTTGCTTTGAGTATCATCCCATTGTGAGTGAGTTCGGTATAGGTTCAAGTGCGTTTAGCACGAGTTTGGCAATATTTGGCTGCCACGCGAAAATTAGCGGGAGACGTTTCATTCTTAAGATATCGGACATGATGTGTTAGGCCAATAAAATGAAAATTAACTCCCGCCCTTTCCTACCTTCCGGTTAGTCGTGTTGCCACTCAAAGAAATGACTGCCCAAATACATGGAGTAAGTAAAAAAGAGCCAAAGAATTAGTTTATTTCCGACATTGTTTATTCAAAACTATCTCCGCCTTTGATATATATAATATGTTCATTGTGATTTAAAAATAACCAGCTACCGGGGTTATTTCCATTTAGTGCAGTGGGCATCATCTCAGTTGTCATTACAACGTACATATTTTTTAATTAATTAGTAAAAAAAAAAGAGATTTCAAACAAAGAAAACGTCACAATTTCAAGCACATGAACTCATTATTTCTTTGAAACATGATTTGGTAATATAGGAATTGAGAAATCTTATGAATCTTTGATGTACTGGCATGGCATAGAGTCCATACGTACTGGCTTTCATGGTCGTTGGACCTGAAATGGCTCTGTACAGACAATAAAATGCAAACGGATATCAAAGATGGCCAACATAACACGGCTTTCACATATTTCTCCCCTAACGGAAAGAATGTTACATTTATCATTCTAAATCGTCATCTTTATTCCTTTTGATGTGCTGAACATGAAACTATGACATACATTGTTTATTCAAAACTATCTCCGCCTTTGATATATATAATATGTTCACTGTGATTTAAAAATAACCAGCTTCCGGGGTTATCTCCATTTAGTGCAGTGGGCATCATCTCAGTTTTTTAAGTATGTATGAAAATTTTGGGCTAAATATAGAATTTTTTGCTGGTAACAATATGGCACTCGTTTACTTACATACGGTACTAATTCTTTTACATTATATACTCATTAACCGTTGGACTGAGAACCATGAGTGATTTCCCCTATGAATTAACAATCAATGCTTAATCAATCATGATCATGAACGTTAGATTTGCGGATTCAAATTCTTTTTGATTTGATGAAAATAAGTTAAAAAGAAACCCATGCAGAGGTGGGCCTATTAAGTGTCTGCCAGCGCACGATATCCTCTGTTCATTTGTTGGCGTGAAAAAAAAAACATGTGAGACTTTTTTTGTCTGGAAAATAATGTACGATTGTATTTTTTCAACTCAGACAAAAGCTGAGTTATCGGGAAATGCTGGATTTGCTGGACGTCTACGTGCAAATGCATACAGTGTGGGCTTTTTTTTTTCAAGTCCACTGTCGGCTCGGGTTGGCTCCATGTGTTTGTCTTGCTGGCACTAAAATCATATCATGTTGATTAAGCCGAATAGGTTTCTTTTTACGAAAAAATAGTATTGTACATTGCCTGGTGATGGTACATAATTCTGAAGTGAGACAATAAACGTTCAGTGGCCTTCACCACAGAATGCCTCTCCATACCACATACCTACTCATTTAGCACCACCAGTTGAGAAACACTTTAGTGGGTAAGTTATTCATCAGTGGCCCTCAACTGAATTTGAGTCTTCTCTTGCTAGTCTGACATATACTCCCTGCACGTCTGACATATACCCCCGGTACCATTAAACCTCTGGATTGAGAACACTCATATAAGAGAGGCTCAAATATGTTTTAAGGATTTGAACATCTACCCTCTCTGTGATCAGGCCCCCGTCTTTGCTGGAAACGACAGCGACATACTGATAATAAAGGTGATTTCCAGTGATCATTGAAACTTGTGTCACCTTTATCGAAGACGGCAGAGGGATACTGATAATAAGGGGAGGTTTCCTTCGTCAGGTGAACTAAGTGTCACAAAATTGTATTATATTGGCGGCCATTTTGCTTTTCTCAAAATTGGACAATTTTTAAAAATGATTTTGTTTAATTTCTACATAGGCCAATGATGAATGTGCTCTGCTAATGAAATGAATAAAGTCACCCACAACAGAAACGCTTTTTTGTGCATATATGAATGCGCACCGACTTCTATTTATTTTCTATATACCAGTACATTGCTATAAGGCACTTTATAAAAAATTTTGATGGGTTAAGATGGAGCTGATGGCTGTAATATGTCACGAGTTGGCTCCCTTCTTGAAAAATGCTGAATATCTCAGAAGAAGCAACCGAGCTTATTTTGCTACTCAGGCCATAAAACACGTTCCTGTAAAAACAAAATTACAGGTAAAGACATTGCAGGGTTAGCATTTTGGAAACTCGACTAGGTGCATCCGCTTGTTAGTCACGCGCACATTCAATATCACAGCAGGTATCTCCGGAGAATAACCTTAAGTTCAAATAATATTGCATTTTTTTTCTTGTAACCAATCATTCTGATTTCCAAGGTCAAACAATGTACTGCGTGAGCCATGATATAGGGTGTAATGACGCACAACGTAATGGTTTTTATGCCATGTTAATTCCACATTCAGGTGCTTGCAGAAATAAATGCTCCCCGGGGACCTGGACATATTCTCTTGGACATGGTTTGAAGTGTTAAATTCAAAATAATTGATTTTACTTATTTACATATTATTTAATTGAAGTCAAGTGAAAGGATATAAACCAGCTCACGTTTCTCCGTAAATTTGAATCTGATTTTTTTATTGGCTCAAGTGTTATGCAATACAAAAATGTAAACGGACTTGATTTCAGTTAATTTGACCACATGAATAATAACATGTTTAACAAAATTTGGTTGAATGCCCTGGCCTGGGTGTCATACGAGAGCGCAATTGATCCCAAATGCGACGGAGCTACATGTAGGTCTCTGTGTAAGCGGGATTTCCAGGAAAATATCAAGTTCTTAGAGGCAATTTTATGCCGTTGTGCTTAAGTCTGCGTGCCCTTCCTACTTGATCAGCAGACGCTTTTAGATCAATACAGAATGCAGTCGGAGTTAAGAATACGTTACGTCTACAGTGTAGGCACCGGGATATGGCTTTTGTTCACATTCATCATTGAATCAACTCAAGGTGAGTGTGGGATTGTTTAATATTCTTGACGAGATTTTACCTACGTGCTTTTTGAAAGCAATGAAAATAAATCGCGGTTCATTGTTAATGTGGGGGTTGGGGTATTGTTTTTTGACCTGATAATATGAGAATACTGTTATGATTTTCCGTTTTCCGTGTTTTTTTTCTATCTGTACGTGTGTGTGTGTGTGTGTATGTGTGTGTGTGTGTGTGTGTGTGCTTTCATGTAAGGCAGATATTGTAACGTGGTCTTTCATTAGTCAACTGTCTCCTGGATGTAGTCTTTATCATGTATTTACCATATTCTTTGCTGATAAATCAATGTTTATATAATGGCTTTTTTCAACGTGTTGCTTTTTGAGTCCTTGATTTATGGAATGAACGTTGAATGAATTTATGTAATGAATTTTTCAGTTGTCAATAGTTTACGTCTTTTACCAATAACTATTAAAAACTGTCGTGATCATGTCTTTTCGAGTGGTTGGCGAAAACTAGGAGAATAACATTATTTTCTTGTGTACAGGTTTATAGTTTCTCTCAATAGAAACCAATTAATTTGGAAACATTTCAGAGAGCGTGTCAGCACTGCGGGTTCGCAGTCTGGTACCTGAAGCGGGGAAACGCTATGTATTGGCAGGGACGTCGATCGTGTTGTCGTGTGTTTCAGGCCAGTCTCATAATAGTCCATTACAGTGGAGTTTTAATGGAGAGACCTTAAAGTCAGACCATGACATGTTAAGCATCACGTCAACACAAACCACAACGGGTCTCACCACAAGTGAACTCTACTGGGAATGCGTGACAGAGGAGCAGGGCGGTTTATACACGTGTCAGGACAGAGCAGGAAATAGTCAGACACTAAATATTACAGTGATATCACGTAAGCGCCATGAAATCTTCTTGATAGCTAATACGCTTCACTGTGCACATCCAAGATATCAAGAACATAAAGAAGGGCTAAAATATTGTTTTGTTAAATTGTGACGAATGAGGTATTTTGCAGTACTGAGGAAACGCATCTCAACCATGCATTTAGCCCCCCCCCCCCCCCCCCATCATTCTTCGAGCCATATACTTAGAGTGGGAATTCGATATTCCTCTGGCGTCAGTTAACTTAGTTATTAATGACAGATAACATTGCTGGGGAAAGCGTAGACAGAAATCTAATTCTGCAGTGAAGAGACGGATATATTGTTCATCAAGCTGGGACTTAAATGAAAAACCTTAGCGAATTATGCTTACTGGGTACATATAGATTGCATTATACACTAAGTACCATTTATCCACATTATTCCCTTATCTGTGTCTATGATTGACGCAACCACTCACTGTAATTTGCTAAATAACGTAGTCATATTCATGCACAGTAGTCTAATATTGCGTATCTGCGTCCTTTGGTTTTACTTTTGTCTCAATAAAGGGCCAATATTAACACGAGTGCGTGCGCATGTGTGTGTGTGTGTGTGTGTGTGTGTGTGTGTGTGTGTGTGTGAGAGAGAGAGGGGGTTATACCATCTTGTGGAAGTGTCCTCATGCGATGATTCTAAAAGTTTGACACTCATTTTTTCAAACAAATTTCAGTAATACCATCCCCTGGCTATCTCAGTCTGACAAAAGAACGTCTAGAACCCATTACCATCGGCTGCAGGGTGTCGTCCAAGCTCACCCCTTATCAGTATAAGCCGATAAAATGGTATTTCAAAGATCAACCCATAAAAGCTTCCCATGGCTGGCATCAAGGGAAATATCACACATTTGACCAAAACAACACCTTAGTCATCAAGTATGCAGGTAAATGTATTTCTTAAGTTTCGTCTTTACTTGTATATTTATTTTCCTACCATATCTTTTTCGTTCAAACTTACTGTATTCAAATCTAAAATTTTAAAATAACCGAATTTCATGAAAAACAGTAGTTTAGATAATGGGAATTGTTCTTTAACCATAAACCTATGTAGCTGTATAGATGTATCATTTATTGTAATTTTAGAAGAAGCTGACGCTGGGGATTATACTTGTACACTTAGATTGAATGAAGTGAACGAAACATTGAGGCAAACTGTAAGCGTTTATGGTAAGACTCAAAGTGTAATATTTAAAAGGAGACTTTTTACCAGTGACAGGATAAAATGCAATTTTGACAATAGTTAACAGCCGAAAGTGTGCAATTGAATTCTGAATAGGCGAAACTCTATTCGATTTTTTCATCTTTAATTTCAAATATCCTTACCTTTATTGTTTTATATTCTTCTCACAGTGCTTCCATTAGTAGAAAGCTTCGAAAGTGAAGAAATCAGAGTGACAGAGGGAGACGGGATGACACTGCAATGCAGAATCCGGGGAGATGGAATTCAACATGTTAAGTGGTTAAAGGGCAATTCCTCGTTGACTGTAGACGGGCGGGTTGAGCTGGGGGCCTTTCGCTCTTATCAAAACGCTTCTCTTCACGTAAAAACTGTTGCCATGAACGATTCCGGAAGTTATTTCTGTTATGTGGAGAACAGATATGGAGCTTCATCAACGAGGTCGATAAACGTGGTCGTATTAGGTTCGGAGAGTTCTCCATAATTTCTTATTTGATTTCAAGATCTAATGTTACACATAATTTCTTATTTGATTTCAAGATCTAATGTTACACATAATGTGTTGTATTGAGTTCATCTGCTATATGAATTATAGATATCGTTTTGTTGTGAATATAGGTAATGCTATGCACGTACTTTAATCAGATGCAGATTACCAAGTCTTGTCGATCGATAAACGGGTTGTTGTTGATCCTAGAAATGTTAATCGGCTACTTTCATGGGCAAAAAGTAGTATTCATATTTTACACATCTCATACTTTATATCATTTCCCTTACAGACTGGTATGCTGCTGTCTGGGTTTTTTTAGGAATCGTTGCTGAAGTTTTCCTTTTAGCGATAATTGCAAATATTTATGATAGATACCTCACCAGGGAATTAAAGAAAAATGAAAGAGAACAAGAGAAACTAGTTCTGGGGAAATCGTAAGTTTTTTGAAAGCGCTCGTGTAACCCACTAGTGAATAGAATTTATTTCCTGTTAAATTTACGCACACTTGAATATTTATGTCCAGAATATATTGATTCCATTTAATTTACCTATGTTCTTTTCCATTCTGTGACAACCCCCTCACCTGTGCCCCCCCCCCCCCCCGGACAATTCCTACCTTATCACATTAAATAGCCCACAACTACAATCAAAAGTTTGAGGACTTTCATGGATTGAATATAAATAGAAATGTTTTTGGTGTATTGAAATGCCATTTGCCAACTGGATTAATTATCAGAAAAAATACCAAGTGTTCTTTTTTGAAATTTTTGGGAATCTTTAATATGAATTTTCATTATTCCAGGCTGGCTAACACAGAACAGGGCAGTGCCAAAGCATAGAAAGGAGAGACATGCCAAGACACGATGTGCCAATAAAAAATAGGAAAAAAATAAGGATTGTTGCGATAATCAGCCGACTTGCATTTGAGCAGGTATGAAATGAAAACTGCGACTTGCTAGGATATCCATGTAACATTGCATCACTCAAATGGCTCAAGATTTTTGCATTTTCATTTCGTATCGGTTATAATAAGCAGTATAAGCTTCTGTATCATTGTTATTTACCAGTTATTCATTGTTATTTAAACATGGCTCCTAATCTACAATCGCTGAATTGGTCGTTACTAGTAGGCCTACGATAAAGACACCACAAGAAAAATATTGCATCAAAAGATGGTGCCATAAGTGAACTAACAATCTAAAAATGCGAAATTATTTCTGGTCTTGCTGCATTCGAATATACCAGTATAGCGTCCATATCTATTGAAACACTAGCTGCAGCACCTGATTTCGATCATCATTTTTTCTCTTCCACAATACAACACGAATGTGTTATTCACCGGCCATCAACTAAATCGGCTACTTAATTGACAATCCTCCTTTGTGCATTTGAAAGGATTATACTGACTTTATTGAACTCACTCTTAAGCGCATTTTTTTTACCAATACCAATTTTTATAACTTTAAATGTATGATTTAGGCTCTATTTTTATGTCTTCTTTGTATATGTTCCTTTAGATGTTTTCTGTTTATTTTGCTATCGTTCGTTTAGTTGTTTTTAAACTCAAAGATTTATCTTTATCTTTGCCTTTATTCATACTTCCATAGTGCCTGAACATTAAAAGTTTTCACAGAAGAATCCTACTCGTTACATTTGTATCAATCGGAATTTAGGAAGTAGGCTATATTTCATGACTACATGAATATTTCAGTACCATATTTCATCCGTAAGCTGCAAACGTTTTAAATTTATTGTTCTTAAAGTTATATATATATATATATATATATATATATACAGCGTAAGGTAGCGTTCATATTTTTGAATAATTGTTGACAATAGATTACTACATGAATTTAAAAAGAATGCGACTGTGTTTTTTCCATGACTCTTAAACGTAAAGACCGTAAAAAGGCTTAGCAGCACGTAGATGTTATTTCTTCGACGTACTGCTCTTGCGTCTTCTTCAAATGTAACTTTCTTCTTCGTCTCGTCATTTTTCTACTCCTCAGCCAAGAATGTTTGTTTCTCCGTTTAAAGTTCTTGTGATTTCGCTAGGAGATAGAACGCGGTCGTAGACCTGAACCTAAAGAATAATAAATAATAACAATAATACATTTATTTTAAGTCTTTAAGTCAAATCTCTTAAAAACGTTCAGTAGACTTTACACCAAAAACAAGTACTTAAGAACACAATTACCAATATACAGGGTTACTATTTAATATGGAATATTTTTTATCATTGTTATTTTTGAGTGTCGATTAAATTTTTTTGGGCTTGATTCATCAAAAAAGTATGTCATTGAGTGATAAAAATACCCAGTCTTCTATTGTGAGATATTTTGGTCAATAATATCAAATCTGACATAAGATGTCATTCAAAATAAAAGAACACCCCAGAAAACCATATCAACAGTTTGATGTCAGTATTAATTTAGAGCTAAGATATTAAAGAAAATTATAGCCTAAGGACAGTGATATGTTACACAGTCAAAGAACTCATTACAGTAAATCATGAAAAGTCATCAACAGCGGGTACGGCCTCCAGCAGCTGCTTGCAGCGCCCTCATCCTACATGGCATACCCTGTGACAAGTTTTTTAGAGTTTGGATGGGGATATCATTCCACGCATTGATAACTGCCTGGCGCAGTTCATTACTATTTACCGGCCGATGACCATAGCTATTAATTCTGTGAGTTACTGCCGCCCACAGATTTTTCAATTGGGTTCATATCTGGGGAGTTTGCAGGCCAGGGCAGTTGCTGAACCCATTGGTTTCGAAGAAAAATAGTGATTCTGAGCGCTCGATGTGAGTTTGTGCAGTCGTATTGGTACACAAAGTTGTTCCTGAAGATGGCTCTTACAGATTAAAGCATTGTTTGCTGTACTATGTCTCTGTAGGAACCCTGGTTGAGGTTGCCTCCTAGAAAAACCAAATGGTTCTGGGCACCGGCATGAAACTTTCCCCAAACAGAGACGTTACCACACCCTGCTTGCACCCTAGGCAGTACACAATCATCGTTTTATGCCTCTCGTACACGTCGGCGAACAGGGATTCGACCGTCAACCTAAAAACTCCATATCTGGCCTAATCACCGAAAACGACGTGATTCCAGTGTTTTGGCTGCAAACGCACGTGGTCCCCAACCCATTGCATACGTCGCTGTATATGACCTGCTGTTAACAGTGGTTTCCCTACTGGTCTTCGTGCAAAATAACCGGCTTGCAGTAATCTCTTGTTCACGAGGGACCTTGAAACTTGGGACCTGAGGACACTTTGTACGACCAGCACGGCGCACTTTGGAGAAGGCGATCCTCTCTTCTTGGTGTGATACGCGGACACCCTGGTCGAGGTATTGGAGTAGGTGCCTCTGTTGTAGCATTTCCTTGGAGGACTTTACTAACGGTTCCTGATAAATGTTGCATTGCCTGGCAATGGCTGTCCTTTTCTGGCCATTTTCTCTGAGAGCAAGCATTCCATAGTAAGCTGCGTTGCTTAGCTGTCAAACCATATCTTCTCTAAGGTACCTGTCAAGTTTCAGAGCGATCCCTTTGTTGCTTCTCTAAATACACTCCAAAGATTGGTCAAACCCATGCGTTTTTTATACAAAAGCAGAAATTGCCGAAAAGACCACCCCTCACATTTCTGACCACAGAACATGCAACTGCATGCATCAATTGTTTCGAGAGTTGTGTGGTAATTGGGTAACACACCTAGCTACACATGGAGTGACACCTCAGTTTTGGATTTAAAGTATTTGGAGAGAAAATAAATATTTTGTAGAAAATTTACTCGCCAAAAAATGATATTCCATTTTAAGTAGTAACCATATATATATATATATATATATATATATATATATATATATATATATATATATATATATATATAAAGAACCTAATTCGCACATAAAACCAATTAAAGTAAAGAAGTTTTTTGACTCTTTCTTAGACAAAAAAGACAAGAGGACAAACCATACATATATATCATCGTGTGGATTAAAAAAATCAGATAAGATTATTCCAGATCTTCAAACTCTGAAACGCTTTGAAAACTACGAAATTCATTATGATTTTGTAACGTGACAAAGAGTCCCCCATAACAGAGAGTCCGCTTCCCATTCATTTGTACAGGTGAGCCTCGCCCTAGATTTTGACCCACTTAGATCAGGTTAACCCTTACTATATGGAGGGAAGACTTTCTGTCACACGGACCCTCAGTTTCGTTACACCGGCACTGGACTGTGAAGGTCGTGAAGGAGGGCTACAACCATGATTTTTTTTTCATTAAATACAATAAAAGAAACAGAGTAATAAACGTACATCGTCTATCCATCCAAGAAATCCCAATGAGCAGCCGTTGTTACAAAACAACCCCCCTCCTATATTCAGAGGTGCAGGGGTTGTGGCAAGGTACCCTGAAATATTGACAGCATGCATCCTATGACATTTATTTACAACATTCTGCAGAAATCATAAGCATGCAAACTCAGTAAATGCTGATACTCAGTGAGTGCAAGAAGGTGAAACCTAAGTAATGACATTCTCATCACAGGAAAATATCTCAACTGAAATTGTTAAATGAATTTTTTCAATCCAAGGAACAAATTTTGAAAGACGGAGGATTTCCTTACCAAAGAGAAAACTTCCCTTGGAGTATTCGTTGCTGCCATCTTTGATATATAGTGCCAAACTACCATATTTATATGTCAGCACTACCCCTACAACATGAGAACTAGTCGGAAGCTGAAAATGTGAAAAAATGTTGTTCACACATACAATACCTGTTTACTTTTGTGCGTATATGCCCAAGTGTACGCTGATGCCGGTACACATACTTATATGCATAGGAATAACTTACCTCCAATATTTAGCTGTTGATTTCAATATTCAGTTGTTGATTGACGAAAAAGTTACTTTATTCTTATAACATATTGTAACATATTATTCTTATAACTGATGAAATTACTCTCTGACTTATATGCATAGGGTGTTCAAAATTTTATTTCACCAACTTTGTTTCATGATTTTTCTCCAAAAAACTTCCCAGGGAATGTAGCTTAAAGTTCTATCTTTGGTGCGTAAATGGATTGCGTTGGAGACATTTCACAAGAAAGAAAACTTTGGAGTCCTGTCAGTGACGCCCACACTTTGTGTAATATTTGCACAATTTTGACCTTGCCCTATTATATTTTCTGTTTTATACTATTAAAACATGCGATATGTAGAGAAATTAAGAAGTGGCATGAAAAAGTTGTTCCAATATTTCACAAAATGTCTGCGCTACTGACGCAACTCAAATATCCCCTTTTTGTAGAATGATCCTACTTGAATTTACGATGTATCTCATGGACGCTACAATTCTTAACTCAATCCGCTATATATGCAGACAGCAATTGTTTATCCATTGGAACGGTTACACAAGAGAGTCTGACATTGTATTCAGTGGCATGTGTTGTGTCAAAAGGGTGGCATAAATCACAAGTTTGAGAAATTTAAATTTCTAAAAAATTGTAATTTGGTAATCAATATAAATTCTTTAACCACCCAATATACTACCTTTCAACACGCAAGAGGTATGCCCTTTCAACTGACTATGATACTTTGATAAAATAACTTTTGACCATGACATTTTGATTTAAAATACATTATTTACCTCTAAATTGGCGGTTTGTGGAGAGTACCCACCACTTCGAACACGACACCGAAGTATTTTGCCGTGGGTGTAGAATCGGATTGAAGGCGGGTATTCACAGTTGCCATTGTTAATCAGCTCTCTGTCTTCGTTTTTAATGGGCTCTTCTGGTTTGTACCGGAAGGTAACTGTCAAGTAATTTCCCCAGTTATACAAGTTGAACCTAGATATTTCAAGTCCTCCTAAAATTCAAAGAAAGTTCGATTTGAAAAAAGGTAAAAATGTTAAATGTCGATGTAATTCTGAGGAACCCTTTGAAGCCCAAAGTAACACAAGTCGTTCATGTAAAAAACTAGAACAAAGATAAAGATATAACAGAGACACTAAATTAATCAGGCAATTCATTTTAACTCTTTTATGGAAAACGCCCACGCCACGTCTCCAGGAGACACCCCTTTACCTGACGGGGAAAGAGATCCAAATGTTGCCACGTGGGACCAGGATGGTTCCAATTTTATATGTACATCAACTGCATCAGCTGGCACAGCGTCTATTACGCTGATAAACGGCATGGGATACTCGAAGTCAAAAAGCACAATGGGACCCTTTGCTGGAAATATTAAATTTCAAAGTCAAGTTACGACACAGTACAATACATTCCATTTAATCTTAGACACTGAAAGTCAAATATTTCACATGCCCAGAAGGGGACGACTTCACATGAGAAATTATGATAATAATCAAGAAATCACTCCAACATTTACGGCATTTTTTGTCTATTTGTACAGGGTTTTGCGTGTAAAGGACAATATCAAAAAATTACTTTATCTATGTTTTCGTTGGACTACCTTGACTATACGCAATTGACTCGTTAACTGTGCAACATTCCATATATTCGAAGAAACCTTAGGCTCTCTGAATGATAATGGAACTGAAATACACATAAACACATAAACAAGGACATCTTATGAAATATTCTATTTGCAAACTTACGCTGTGCGACACAAAGACATTTATCAGTATCCAGGATTACGGACTCATCCATGCTGCAGTAGTAGCGCTTCCAGCACGTATCTTCACAGTTCGTGGTCCAACACGACGAACAAATTCGATACACGTACAAATCAGGACGTGTTCTGTGACGGCATTTCGCCATGCCAGGTGTACAACAGCATCCTAAAATGATGTTTGCAAGATCCATCCAAAAAGGTAAAATGCGTTGATGTTTAAGACATTCAAGCTATTTCCCATATGGGTTGAAGACATTCAGTTTTCAAAGCGTGAATGAATTTCTCAGCCGTTTGAAGAGTAACAGCTTACTCACCTGGCGGCCATGGGAAAGACCTCTTTTTTCGTTTCTTACTGACATCAGTTGCAAAATAGTCATCAAGGTCAGTGATTATTTCACAACTCGTAGCAACTGGCCAGGTGGATCCTAAATTGAAATCAAAATGTCCATATTCTTAACAAATACATGTGAGATGTTTTAGTTTCAACAGTTTGGTAGACCATAGCAATGAAAATGCTCTTTTGTCACAAACTAATTACAAATTTTTATCATTCACGTGAAATATTTCGATGGGTCATCTGCTATATTTATACCGTCCCCCCCCCCCCATGCGGGTGAGTGGATCTGTCTCTGTCTCTTAGGCTATCTGTTAAGATTGTTCGGTGTGCATTTTATCCATATGGCTTCTTTTATACCTCTGTTTCTCTAATCAATTTCCGTTTGTGGAAACTTAGCATTCTCCCAGTCCATGATATGGTTTTCCTGACCTGTGTGCTCCGTGATGGCTGATGACCACATTTCCTTTGTTTTCTTTGTTGTTCTATGGCGTAATTTTTCCTTCATTTCCTATTTCAACTTCTTCTCTGTGTTCTATGACTCTAACGTATATATTTCTCTATGTTTCTCCAATGTATTGACTCTCACAACTTAAACAATAGGTAGAATAAACCCCTTCTGCTGGATTTCTCTGAGTCTTTTAAGCTCGACTATGTGACACGACGCCATCTGGATCTTATAAAAATATTGTAATGTATCTTTCTTATTATGGATAATGTGTTTCTAGAACAGACGTTCTACCCTTTTAAGTACGAAACTACTATGTTGCACCATAAATGAAATAGCATTCATACTTGGCTTAGGATCAATCGATCATGATAAAAATTGATAATCTAAACATACTTTCAAAGAGTATGTTTTTTAAATTGAATTTCCATATCAAATATTTCTGGACGACAAATCAGATATTTCGCCGCCCTTTAATCAGCCCAATGAAATATGCCACACTCACCTCCCCACTTCGGTTGGCACTGTTGTGAGTACACATTACGTGCTTTGGCAGGTGTCAAAGGACCTTCGACGTCATTGAAAGGAGGCGTTTCGCTAACCAATCGACTTCCAATACATTGAGCTACCGAGCAATGGACACAAGTTGCCGCCCCTCTGTCATATAGAGTCCCAGGAGGACATTGCCTCTTGGCAGCTTTCACCAATGTTGTTCCTTTCTGCTGGTCTACCTCCGGAAGCGTACACTGCAAGTAATATTTGCAGTCGCAGGGAAACTCGTAGTGGCCAACGCCGTTTCTCTCCTCGATGCATTTTCGACAAAATTCTTAATTTCAATAAAAAAAAATGATAAGATAGATAAATAAGTTGATCATTGGACTTCAAATAATAAGGCAAAAAACAGACACCTTAACAACCCCATCTTCATTTGAGGAGGGACATTAAGAACGAATCTGCCATTAAAACTCCTTCAATTTAAGTTCAAACACGTGCGTAAGATTTCAGTCAATCTGACATGATACTTTGCTGATGAATTCAAATGTAATTTACCTCACTGATAATGTTTGTCATGGGTGTGCTAGCACTTGTTTTTCATCTTTTTTTTCCGCTGCTATTTTAGCTTGTCGGTTAAACATATCACTTACCGGTATATGGGCCATATTCATCAGCAGGAAGGTGGCATTTATTGGCTATATCCTCAAGAGTGATAACTGCCTGATGAGACTGCGGTATCCAGGCCAAACAAACGAGAACTGCTGGAAAATATCAATCTCACATTTTTCACAGTTTCAGAAATTTAACCAAATTTTCTGGCATGTATTCCGACACAATATCTGTGTATATAGGCCTCTTTTTTGCTTAATGGCGTTATTACTAATCTCAGTTCGGATAATTCGAAAAATCGAACTATTTTAACTTATTTACTTACTACTGAGCGAAAAGCCCGGAAGCGCCAGCATCGTCTTTGCTCCAAAATAGCGTGTATTCTAAACATTGTGATTGAATGAGTTTTGCTAAGTATGAATAAAAACTACATTAAAAAGCATATAGATACGCATTTTTATTATGACAATCATATCACCTCGGAGGTTACTACATTTAAATCAAAACCTGTATGGAACCGTTGTTACTGCGTGAAATATGCGGATATTATTCAAATTGCTGCAGCTGCAGGCGCCTCTGTCGCAACCATGAATTCAGCCGTCGCAATTAGAAAACTAGATTTTAATATATTCAGTCGTTTCTATCTATATCCAAACCACTCAACCACTGGTTTTGTTAACGAAAACAACTTTGAAGTCTTCTGGCATGGAAAAAATCTCTTTAAGACACTCTATGAGAATTTTTGCGTTTAAATTTTTTTCCAAACGTCTTGATGTAAAAATCACTCAGAAGTTATGAAATACTTGATTAGGGCATCCAATAAATATTTAGCGTGTCGTGGCAAATTGATCAAATTGATCTAAAAATGGCTTCCATCTAAAATGACACTTGATCGTCTACATCTCACTACCACGGAAAATAAACCTTTACTATGGAAAAATTCAGAAAACTTGGCTCTGTGTTTGTGTGGCATTTCATAGTGGCATTCTGTATGTTTTTAGTGATCTAAGGTTGTTTTTAAAGAACTGTTTTAATGAAAAAAAATAACTGTTCAACCATAATTTTCCTGAATCAACGTCACTGTACACCACAAAGATCGCCAGGGAATTAGAAATAAACGTTCAAAATACATTAAAATGTTTCAGTGTACTGAAATTCAGCTAGCCACATTAGTTATGTCTCCTCCATCTCAGTGTACCACAAACTTTCATAGTCCCATTCATAACAAGAGAGAAGGCTACAAAGACTATCGATTGTTCGTGATTTGGCCAAACAAGGCCGCTTTTATAATATATATAACTCACTATCCTGATAATTTTAACAATAATAACAATGTAGCAAATTGTTGCCTGCATTAAATGTTATGGCCTTAGGGATAAAAATTATATATGAAATATTCAATAAGACTCATCATCCTAAAAATTATGATGTGACGAGTCAGCAAAAGTTATTATTTTCAAACAATTTTGCACAAATTTATTACTTTCTCTATGTCTGACTTTCATCACCAAAAGTTTTTGAAATAAGAAAACTTCGTTTTCTACATAAGCTTGAATTTGTCAAAATCAGCACAGCAGAGTGAATTAGCATTAAACATAAGTCCATGTGTCGAGTTGAAAAGGTAAAGGTATCACCACGCGAATTCAGTCCTACGCAATTCTTCTCTTCAAACTAATCGATGACTCAACTTCTTTTTTAAGAGACACAAAACCACATGGGTAGATATTACCTCTAATTCGATACACAATTAGCTTGAGGTGCATAAATTAGCATTTATAGCCAGTTTACCTGAAATTGTATTTCAAATGGGGATTGGGTAAGGTGAGAGAACTTGTATGTTAGTAGGTGGTAATTTCTGGGCTTTTTGTCACTTTAGCCATTAAAAATGGAGATGAAAATTAATGGCAACATCATTTGCGCCGAAGTGCATAACATTTGTGCCTTTTTGGCAACAAAAACACGAAGTAAGAAGCGAATGACTTTACTGTTTGACCACGACTGAGTCGTACATGCACCTAGTGTTCTTATTTCAGGTAAAACCATGAACTACTGGGTAGCATGTACATGTACCAGTGAAGACTAGTGTCACTTATGTTCTAGTTCGATCATTTCCCCCTTTTTTGTATACTGACTGATATACAATTCATATGCTTCTTTTGTCCCCTTAAGGAGAGCATATCATACAATGTGCCATTTGCCCTCTTTTCTTGCTCTTGGTTAAACCTTGTTTAAAAAATTACGATCAAGTGCATGAAGTTACGATTTTTTAATGTAGTCCCTCCCAATCTCAGTTGGAAACATTTTCATAATAAACTGATTACCAATATGGTAGAGAGATAAGAAGGAAAGACGAGAAACAAATGGATTGTTCTTGCTTTCATTAAAAATATTGATTTAATTTATAAATCATACTGTATTCGGTGTTACATAGCGAGCTAACTCAACCAGGCAGGCGGAAACACCGGTTACTTCGCCTGACTCCAGTCCCCACGAACATTAACTCCAATTAAGAAAGAAGTTTATGCTAAATAAAATGTGGCTCGTTCTACAAGGTACCTGATTTAGATGTGGGTAAATTATCCCAAATTTTGTGGTGGCACGCATATTAATTCTGTGGAAAGCATATCCAAGTGCCATTAATTCTGCTCTGCTGAGCAGCTTGTCATTAGTAATTACAATGCAAAGACATTTCAGAACTGGTCATGGGTTTTAAATGGGAGGTGCTTGGGAACCGGCAAAGTAATGTATCCTCCTCCTCTCACAATCAAGCAATTTTTCCTTAAAATTTGCACACAGCAGTCGCGTGGCGTCTCATATCTTGTCAGTGTATAAAGTTGCCAACTTTGAAAAATCAAATGCCATACTACTTTATGCAAAATGATACAAAAATATGAAAAGAATGCACATAAACAGTGCACTTCTGGTGTTGTTCTAACTTTGGGACAAAGGTGTTATTAGATGCCACAGTGAAGATAAAAAATAATTCTTACAGACTTATATTTTATCAGTATCGTTCTTTCATTTATTTGGTGTGATTTATTTGATCACTAGTTGTGCTCAGTAGGTTGTTTTCTGTAAAAGATTGCTACAATAAGACGTTTTTCCACTGAAACAGTGATCGGAAATCGAACGTATTCCATCCTGCTAAAACCACCTGGCCTGTTTTGTACCTTCAAAATATACGTTACCCCGTTTTTATGATTTTTAAGAAAAAATTCTTGGATATCAAGAATAAACTACCTGCTAACCACGACACAAGAATTGTAATCTGAACACATTTGTGATTGAGCGTCTCATTCAAATTTGACACCGAAAAAAATTATCAGCGGCGCAAACATTAAGGAAACGTCACCTCCAGTGCTAAAATGGCTCCATTTTAAAAGACAGAATATAAAAATTATCACACTTGTAACCGTTACTTTTCAAATTTAGCTTTGTTATTTAATTTGAGATGGAGATCATCAAAATGTTTGACTGGCGGATATTTGATCAGAGTGCTAGAATAGCTTTCTGATTTTTTTTTGTTTGGCAACACTTGTGCATATGATAAGTCTGAAATAAGTCGCAAAGTTTACTAACAGAAATATTAACACCCAATTTACACCACCGAGTTTGTAAGGTGGCATCCAAGGGTTCTCGATGGTCTCCAAAGGCGTCTCCAACACTTGTCATCTGTCGCCTGGGGGGGGGGGTCGAGTTTGAAAAAGCCAAAGGTTTGAGTGCTAGTGCTTTCTGTCAAACGTCAAAATCGTTGCAAGAAATTAGCTTAGTTTTAATATGTGCTCTGTAGCAGACAAACCGATTTCTCACTACACCATGACAACATTAATAGCGGATAAATATTGTTTATCATGCTCTTGCACGTGATCAGATGTTTCTTCAGGACAAGCTGAGGGCAGCCCTAACCAATCAGCACTCCGGCTGTCCACGGGCTGCTTAACACTGAGGACAGTAAAACACGGGTCAACGAACGCCAATCGATGGTGTCAGTTAAACCAATTAAATTGATGCGGACCCGAAAAAATGTCACCCGAAGTGACACACTGGGCGTAGTACATTAAAAACCTTGTCCGTTTAACTATTTTGGTACCATGGTTAGCCGGCTGCTGACTTAGTATTAATTTAATTATGTTACATTATTCTATAATTTAGATACTATCCGGTGAAGCTCTGGTTCCTTTTTCCTTTCTACGGTCTGAGTATTTACCCCTGTATGTCAAACCACTATTTCACTTTTCAGACACATAAAGAAAGACTTTATGTGAAATAAATAGGTCTAGTCGGTAAAATTAACGTTCGATTTAAAACTTTGAGTGGTGGGGTATTTCATAAATGGGAATTCCTCAAACCAGTAGATGCGTTAATTAAGAAATCCATGACTAAATGCATCAACCACAACATTTTATCACCTGGCTCAGGCTGCTCTTATAAACAGCCCCATGCAACTTGCAAACGCAGAAGTTTCGGTATCTTGTGCCTAACGATTGTCAAGCTTGTGGCTGCGTTCCGAGGAGACGATACCAACCAGGTAAGTGACATTGTCCTATATATATATATATATATATATATATATATATATATATATATATACACATGATCGTCCACACTAACTCGTCGACTACCTAACGACTACCTTATATAAAAATCAAATTGCACAATAATGTACTTTTATTTAAGTTGGAATATTGGCAATGCAATTGTAACTTGCGCTAAAAAACGCTAAAATTATTAATTCCATCAAACTTTAGTTAATTATCTTAATGCAAATCGTTATGTTACGTTTGTCATACCACTGTTGATCATTATTTAACAAAGATTTTAATATTGATCAACACTTTAGTACCGGATGAAGGAATAAAAGCCGAAAGTTTGGACTTTTTTCCTTATTTATTAGTTGATCAATATAGATGCCATTTAGACTTAATTTGTAATACCACTTTTGATATGTTAAAGACCCAAAGTTACTAAGCATGATTAAGTGACAGTTAAGTCTAGCTAGGTAAATATAAGTTTTGTTTATAAAATGTAATTTGTAATAGATTGAATTAAGTGCTTTCAATTATTTTCTGGTAAGCATTATACCATCCTAATGTTCATCACAGTAGCTTGACGCAGTAAAACACTCAATGTTATATTTGAATCTTGGGTCATGCCAGGGTCAGGCATTAATGCAAATCAACAGACACGCCCATAGGAAACTTTGAATAATTAGATGGAGCCAAAGTCATTTTAAACGACAGGAACGTTCATTTGAAAATAGTAGAAATTGAAAATGCAAAATAGGTCCCATTTGGGATGTCTGTCTGGAAAACCAAAATTTATAAAATGTCCATTAGCAAAATAATTAAACACCCATTTAATGTTTAACAACGTGAAGTCACTGATGCATTAGCAAATTACAGCGGAAGGTGATGTTTTTAATAAGTTTCCCTTTTAAGGCCCGTCTGGTTGTGCAGCTTTAACACTGACATTGAAATTTCATTTTCTTCCAGTTATCATGAAGTACCTTATTGTGCTTATGGCTGCGGTGCAGCTTGCATATTCACGTAAGTTATAGTTTTACTAGTGTGATTATAATGTTTTCTATGTCAGTATAAAATAGTATTTTTTATTTATCCTCGTTCTATCAGGGTGGGCCTTTATTTAATACTGCAAGCTCATTTATGAAGTTGCACAACATCCATAGATTTTTCCAACATTAAACACTTATCCTATTTTATTGTACTTTTCTAGAAACTGAGATTATTAGGACACAGGGACCAACCGTCTCACCAGCAGGTAATAAATTGATGTCAGACATAAAACAAAAATCACTTTGGTTTTAAGAATTATAACTTATAATTATGTGAAACCATATGTTTGTCACATTATGGGCGTTTCTTACATTTTTTTTTACTTTTACAACGTTTTTGTTTACAAAAATCGACGGACATCAGGTAAACAAAAATGATTGTGTCTTTTTAGAGTTCTGCCAGCAGTGTGTCGAGGAGAGAAATGGCGTAGGTCACTATGAGAACCCAGATGACTGTAGGTCACACTTCAGCTGCCAAAGAAGAGATGATGGCACCGTGTATGCCAACCTTATGCCATGCTCTCCTGGCACTCTCTTCGAGAGGAGCGTAGCTACATGCGTGCCATGTGCCGATGCCACTTGTGACGGATGTGCATGCCCAGATCCAAAATGCCCACCACTTAGTAAGTGCACGTAACTTTCTGTTCAACGAAATTGAGGGCGATTACTAAATAGTCTCTGTCTAAAAGAACCATTAAATCGATTAATTAACAACTTTTTCAACCAAAATCAATGAAAGGGGTCCCATTTAAGGAAAAGCAATGTTCAAGTGTTACAAAGACCAGAGAACAGTATGACTGACTTTGTCCACTTTGTGTTATAGCATTCGTTCCCGAATCCACCACCACCGAGCCAATGCCACCAAAGGGCCCTCAGTCCTGCGAGGGCAACGATGGCTGGAGGAACTTTGAGGCCGAGGGATCCACCAACAAATTCGTGCGTGAAATGACCATCAACCAGACCCTGTACCAGGAGCTCGTCTATTGTGGACCCACTGATGACTGGAGATTCGATGTCTCACCAGATGTATGCGCCTGCACTACTCTGCGTAAGTTTTTTTTTCTTTAATATCTGATCGGTTTTCTTTCATTTCCTACATTTAAGAATTGCGATTTGACAACTATATTTATGTAAATAGCACGCTCTTTGCTTATAATTTCATATATTCTTTTCATTTAACAGCCGAGAACGCAGTTCTTATTATTCCCTTCGACGCCCAGCCATTCAAGACGTACAACAACGGTGATTGGGTCGATGCCAAGGACGTCGGAATCACTGCCGGCCGCGTTGGCAACGCAGCTGACATGAACGGTACCCAGCAGATTGAGATCCCGCGTATGGACAACACCTACTGGGGAACACAGGTCACACTGAACATCGACTTCAATGCCGATCCTAATGGCAATGATGTCAAGAGGAACGTCCTCTCCACTGGCAGCTGCAACATCCCACCAACAATTGAGCTCAACTTAAGAGAGGACAATACTCTTGAATGCAAATTCCGTGTCATTGATGTTAACGGCACAGAGACAAACATTGTGGAAACAATCCCAGGCGTAAGTAATCAACATTGTAAATACTTTAACTTTTTAAAAATTAAGTGACACAGTTTCATCCATTTCTAACACTCTAGATGTGCAAAATTACCAGCAAGAAACTATATGTACACATCGAAATTGGTATCAAAACTTAATAAACGTTGTCATTTATCCACAGATCCAGAGAGGCTCGTGGAACAACGCACAGGTGGTCTTCGACGGTCTCTCCTTCAGAGTGTACCTCAATGGCCAGCTTCAGTTCACAAGCGTTGCTGTTGGTGAGTCCAAAGATTCCTAATATTCGGTTTGGCATAATGTTCATGCAAAACAAAAATATATGTCACCATACATCTTTGTCGTCACAGTTTTGTTTTGACTCTATTACGCTTTGGTTAAACATGGTTTACAGTGTTAATATTTTCTGTATTTGATAATCATTTGAATCTCTTTAACTTAGGCACCATTCCATACACCTTGGCTCCATTGTTCCTCGGCAGATCTCTGAACTGCGAGGTCCAGGAGTTTGTATCCAACACCAGGTGGTATGGCCAGCTTGATGAGGTAAGGCTACATATTCATATTCTACTATTTACAGAGTCAAAGTCAGCTTTTTTGCGAGTTTCAGAACTGACGCGGGCCAGCTTCTTTAGTTTCAAATTTACATACATACCCGCTTGTTTGGGTCTGAAGTTCAGCGGTTTTGATTAAAGTATATCACGCCTGTAAACGCTAGGCGGGCTTATTACACATGGCCTTCTACGGAACCACGAAATTCAGATAGGCTAACCAAATGAGCGACAGTGGTTGAACTTGAAGTGAATGCATGTAGGAGCTAATGTTCAGGATAGTTTATCCTATAAAAACACATGTAAAATATGCACGCATCATTTGAAAGCTTTAGATTAACAATTTTCCATTATTTATTCATTAGCTGCAAGTGTACCAAGTTGTCCTGAGTGACTACGATCGTTGCAGAGTACGTAATGGCGGCCATAACGTTATTGTTGAGAACCCAGACGTCGCAGGCTGCTCACAATAGATGGCGGCACCTGCAGATCACCGACCATAACAGTCCAAAGGAATGACGAGAGTGAACACTTTCCGCAATGCTTGTCATGTGGCGCCAGCTGAACTTTTGAGTGTCTTATTTGGACAGTATGTCGAAACACTTGATCAATTACGGAAACAAGGGCTGAGATTTTTTCACTGATATTAGAGGGAGAACATGAAAGTGTTGATGACGCAAAATATTATTGTCTAAATGTGCCATTCTGAGTTTGTTGGACGGCATGACCTCAACCAGGCATACGTATTATATTGTATTGTTTATTTGTGACATATCATAACTCACGTATCATAGACATTTACATAAGACGTATTTGTGACGTTTTTCTGTCTTGATTTTTGTAATAAATTTCTATGCATGTTCTTTAATCAAAACTGATCGATATTGTGCTGTTGTCTGAGTAGGGGAAATAGTTAGGCCTATCATACATAGGTATCTTTGTACAGTTAGCCTGGGTACAGCTAATAAAGCTTTTATGATGCAATCGAAAATACCAAAAAATTGTTTGTCGTTTTGCATCTCTCTTTGCTCCCTCCCATCTTTCTCACATTCCATACCACCAAGTTAATACTTGCATGTGCCAGCTTTCACACCGAGTGTGAGGCCTCTATAATAAACATGAACGGCACCTTTGCTGTTTTGCAAAGCACTCGCTCTTTCTCTCTCCCTCTTTCTCTCTGTCTCTTCAACAGAACCTTGAAATGCACTGAACACCCACAGTCACGTTTCAGGAACATGCGTCATTTACACGATGCGAATATAAAATCCAACAAGTTTTGAACAAAAGTGCGCATGCCTAAGTGCTTGGTATGCAACACAAAGAGTAAACATATCTATGCTAGGTGCTTTACTTCCGTTCATTGGTAGAATGATAGTGATGTGCCCGATATACACGGTACGCCCATAAATTCCAAGGTTCGTTTTACTCTGATAGTTCGTTTTACTCGGATATATATATCGGTATATGATTGCAGTCTTACTAATGTTAGTAAACTAAGAGATGATGGCCTGGATACATGTTCCGTACGTTCCAGTCTCCAAATCTAAATTTTTTTCGATTCTTTTTCTTTTGTTCCTTTTTATCTGTCGGTACTTGGTGCCAGATAGACGGTCTGTCTACTAAGACTAGTCAAGTCGCTGCACCCCATGCACCCAATGACACAAAGAAACCTGGGCAGGTCGGCACTCAACTGGCGAGGTTTGCCCATCTTTCCCTGGCCAATGGGACACAAAGATCATCTCACCCTCGGATGGTAAAACGTGGCGCCGTAGCGATTTAGCCACTGGTTCCAGCAACAATGAGGTGTCCTCCTCACCGTGCATGCATGTCAGAAATAAAAAATTGCAGACTCTGAGGTGGCCAGAAGCCAGTTTCCCGCTCCCTTATCAGCATGATCCAAAGAAAAGCACAGCAGTACGTTTAGCATTGATGTGGCTGCAACGTTTGCCCTTTACTGGTGCACTGTTGTTACTGGCCCTAACAAGGCAGTGAGTGCTCACAAGAGCAGGGACGAAAATCTCTGGGGTCAGAAAAGCCTGACCCTGCTGAAATAAAGAAGAGAAAAGAAGAATAGTAATATTCCCAATTTATTTCTGGCCCAATTGCCCCCCAAACTATGCTGGTTAAGCATCAAACCAGTGTTGTTATGGGGAACGTCCTCACCACCTCCGCAGATGCATGGGCCGGTCTTGTACCAGAGTGAAGAGTGGGTACTTATCTTTCACTTATCTAATCTTAAGTTTATTCGAACGTAAAATCCCTCCACATTTCTGCGATAATCCAATGCCAGTACATTCATTTTTTAACATTCATCTTAAATCAAAATGATTAACATAATTGATCTATTTAGTCTAGGGCATTTCAGTATCATCTGAAAAAATACAAGTGCAATCATTGCTTTGTATTACGTGTACTTACATGTATACTTGGTACACGAAATACATGTAGTAATATCTCTAATACGGTATACCCCTATTTTCTTTTAATAGAATTACTCCACCCAATAACAAAAATCGGAAGCAGTATTAATAACATCTCAAACAACAACTACCGTGACAAAGAGTAAAAAACGGTAGTAATAAGTAGCATACCAGGCTTGTTACTTTTTCAGTATGATCCATTATGATAAGTTAAATCACTATAGCATTTTATTTTCTCTTATGAACTAACTGGACTGAAAACTTAAATTTTTATTGATTTACCTAAGACAGGTCTTAAACTGTTTGCAGACAAAATGATGAAAGCTTAAATGGAATGGGAAAACGGTTTTTAATTAATCTCTCAGGATTCTCCTGTTTATGAATTATAGCGATTACCCCTAGTTTCTTAGAGACAGATAATCCTCTAGATTCAAAATCGTAATCTAGAGATTGGAGAAGTCGATAAACACCCAGACAATTTTTATAAAATTGATTTGTAAATCCGACAGTGCCAGGACATTTACCATTTAAGCACTTTATAGTGCCACAAGTGATTCCCAGCTAATCCTCCATAGAGAGGGATTTCTATGTGTTGGGACTCAAAACCATTTAAAGAAGTAAAATCAAAAGTACAAAGTGATCCGTTACTACTTGTGCACAGAGATTTATGAAAAAGATAGATATACAGTATGATCTAGAATTATTATTTTGTTCCGTGCGAGTTTGTCCAGAATTATCAATGATTTTACACACTTTTTGTTAAAATAACCCTTCAGTAGACAGCAGAATTACCTACTAGGCTTTTCGCCTTGGTCTATCCGTTTGGTTTTCTGCTCTTTGCATTTTCCTTTTTAATCTTTCCCTCACGTAATCAAGCCTTTGTTTATTACTGCATTCCTCAAATCAAATCTGGAAAAAATCACCTCCCCGCCAATGACCTTAGTGCCACTTGTACACCCCAACTCCTTTCTTACTGTATTCATCTTATTACTTCAAGCCCAAGGTCAAATTGTGACTCATGTTACCTGTATCTGTCCACACCACCTTTTCATCTTTCCTTCACTGTATTACCTACCACGTCCTCTTCTTTGTGTTCTGACGATCTACTTGATACCGAGCAGACCGTGCTTGTACCTGGCCGCGCGTGCCAGAATTTAACCTAATACCATTTAACACTTACGCCTACCGACACGAGTAAGGACGCGGCAGGCAATTAGAATTGTTCGCTGATAAATAGAGGACTTCATGATGATAGTGCAGTCAATTTTGCCGCTGGAAATTATTGTTACCTTCGCTCATTTGCCCTTGCGTCTTTTCTTCACAAATATTTTTAGTTTTCCTTATAACATGATGTAAATGATAACTTACAGGCGTTCAAAAGGGTAATTTATTTTGTGTCAGAATCTGAAAGCTTGACATATAAATAAGGAGAGAGAGAAGGAGGGAGGGATGTAATGTGCACTAATTGCACAGCCTCAGTAAAACGTACAGTACGTCTAAACACAAATGTAAATGAAATATATAATTTTTCATTACTTACTCTACACTCCTTTGTCTAATTGGGTAGCTAAAAACATTTAGGTTTATCCATTCGAGAAAATTTTATATCAACATACATGTATGCCAATTATTTCTTATGTCTTCTACATTTAGTTGGTCTGTTCAGAATGTAATTTATAGTCCCAATGAAAGTTCTGTTATAAAGAATGCTAATTGTGATCGGTCTAATTCGTCTTTCTGCCAGACCAACATGCGCCATAATCTGATCTTTTGTGTCTTTCTTCCGCCACTGAGTTTTGCCTAAGTCATGCCAGTAGTAGCTTTACTCATGACAAAATGATTTACACCCAAGGAAGCTCCCTGAGCACTTTTTTAATTAAAAAACTTTGTTTTTTTCCAAATCCCCATAGACGAATTATTTAGGTTAGAATTGAATTTTGAGCTCGGTGAAACGTCCCGTAGTCATACCCAGTCAAAAGCTCTTCCGCCAATGCCATTTCCTGCAACTTCTCCAAGGTAATCCGAGGTCACAAAGAAATGTAAATGCTCCTCCAATAATTGCAAGATATCAATACGTTTGCGTTAGCCCAACTGACGTCAACATACGTGAAACTTTATGTAAGTGCGCGTAAATATGTTTTTCCCTTTAAACCAATACAGCGGTTGCATGCATTGCTTTGATTTTCACTTATGGTAAAAAGTTTCTACCATGAGAAATTATTTTATTACTTTAAAGCATGTGATAGTCTACTGAGGCATTTGCACTGAATATTTGGATACAGGTTAGGCAGCTTTGTGACAACAACAATTGAGAAAACAAAAACAAAACTTTGCTCTTCAATCCTATTTGTCCTATTAAAGTATAACAATGGTTTCTTTGTATCTGGATGCACGACATCATCCAAGGCGTGATTTAGATGTCTTTAAATGGCTCTGTACACGCGGACAGGTTATCTGGAATTGCCATATTCTTATAAATCGTAATGTTCAACGTACTCATAGCAAGTGTGATCAATGGCACCTGTATATCGATTACTATCATCACACATGCATCGTGAGAACTCTGCGGCTCAAATGAATATTTGACAGCGAATGTGGCTATTCCTCTTTGCGTGTGCAAAATGTGAATTTGTGTAAACTATATATCTTAAATAAATCTCTTTTCTTTCAGTTTGTTTGATCTTTTCAAATAGTTCATATATTCAAGAAGACACGCGGGGTAGAAACTTTTTTAAGAAAAACATTACATTCTTTTCCAGGCCAGAAATCGCTTCTTTAGAAAATGTCTTCAGAAAGTAAAAAATCACGTAGAAGGTAGAAGGCATTGTATAATTTGTGTTGCTTATCTAACCGTCCATTTTTCTTAAATGCGGTCAGATGTTATTTAAACGAAAGTTTGGCGTAAATGTTCTTGTTTGCGATAACGTAGAGAACAAAAACAAAAACCCACGTCATGGATCTGGCAATATAGAGCACGTATGTCGACAAAAATTAAGTGAAAAGTATTTTTATTACTACGACGTATTATACACAGAAGCATACCTCGGTCAGAAATAGCTACTGTCTTTATATACATTTAGACATTTTCATTCATTTTCTTTTTTTTTTATTCTATTGGATTTCGCAACAAAATAATAATGAATATCCAGTTCAATAAATACATAGAAAAATTATAAACCATAAAAATGAATGGGGAAATTTTGTACCTTGCTGTCTGTGTACCACTGAACATAATTCTTTCCTCACTGACAATTCATTTGCAGTGTCACCTCTTTGTTACTATACAACTATAAATACAACAGTCTGTCACTTGTGTCTTTTTTCCACTCTTAAATGAAAAAAGAAAATTAAAGAAAGATGTTAAAATTAGGAGCCAAAATTGCATTGTTGTACATCTTCTTTAGTATATTAGGTCATTATTCTCTATTTTTTCCTTCACCCCTGGAATTTAGCGTGAGTTTGTAATGTCGATGCACGCTTAATCTTGACACCTCTGTTCACAAGAGCAGTGACATTTGACAGTTCAATTGTTTCCCGGGCTATCACGGAGCGCTGCCTCTGATCTTTTACCGCGTGTTTGTACCACTCTGTGATCAGGCATGCCTGGCTTGCGTGTTCGAGATGTGCCTGGCGGTCACACAGATTGTGATTTGAATCAGCTGGTGGCCATGGGTGACCACGATTAGAGTTACGTGTACTTTTATATGACTATATGACTATTAATCTAACATTTTAATTATGATATGATATTTTAAAAATAAAGGCACATATAACATGTTCTGTGACATCTTACTGTTGACTACGGAAATGGAAGGAGAGCACAGGGAGTAATAGGAAATGGCAGCATATGTCTTGGACAACATTTCAAATTACAAAGGACGATTTAGTTTGGACATTTTGAAATATGCCGTTAAGAATATATATATATATATATATATATATATATATATATATATATATATATATATATATATATATATATATATATATATATGACAGAATGGATCTCTGTGGATTTTAAACTTCATCTTTACAGAAATAAAGTAAAATATAATGAAAAACGTGACTAACCATTAAAGCGCACGAAGAGGGTAGAGTTTGAAAACGATACCTTCCTCATACCCCTCTCCCTGAATAAGAGGAATATTAAATTTCACGGACTTTTACCAGATCAACTTAAGTGGTAGGAACATTTTTATTGCATAGACGCAAAGAACAATATTTCATTAAATTGCGAAAAAATATTTACCCACGTGAACACCGTATTTTATGTTTAAAGGATCCAGTGGGGATGAGGTGACCACCTCCCACTCCCAACCTCCCCCCTCTCCCCCCCCCCCCCCTCAACCCAGATATAGAAATGACAATCTTTATCTTCCGAAGAAGAAAAAGAAGTCACTGTGAAGACCATAGCTGCATCAGAATTTTCAAAATCACACAATTTTGTAAAAATTCTCTGTGGGATGTTAAGTTAGGGAGCACTTAAAAAATTGACCAAATATGTTATTATTTTGGCTGCATCACAGTGATAGTTATACTTTCGGCATTTTTCTTCGGAAAACTTGTTTTAAAAGAGGACTGATTATTTTTAAAAAATAAGGAACTACTTCTTCAAAAGTAACATGTGTACGTCGAGATAAAAAAAAGGAAAGAAAGAAAAGAAAGAAAAAGTAACGTCTAGAGGTTGGACAGCTTGGTTTAAATAACGTTAGTGTAAATTCTACAGTCCATCGGTTTATCATGGTTTCTGACAAGTTTCGTCTTGGTCCTGTAAATGTCCGCCACCATTTGTCCACAAATAACACCAAGTGGTACCATCCTTGCAGAAGATAAGATTTCATGTGATCTTTGAAAAATGTTCAATTCTGTAGGAATGGGTGTTTATTTCAAAATGAATGAAGAAATTAGCATACAATTAGTGACGAAGAACGGTTTTAAAACGCAACACAAGCTAAGCATAATTTTGAGGAATTTACATTCCTTTTAACGGAGTGAAAAATGATATCCCCTTCGAATCATGTTTTACGCGAAAGAGTTCAAAATTGGTTTTAACATGATGTTATCCACATATGCTGTCATCTTTACGCAATATGCAATAGTTCATTAATTAGTTTGAAGTAGCAAAGTAGTTGAATAATTTATATTCAGTGATTACTTAAAACTACAGTCTGAGTAGCTACAATGACGCAGCAGCCGGTGCACGCAGTATGAATGAGTTGTCAGCTTTTTGAAGTGATGGGAACTATCTCAAGAAAATTCTAAACGACAGGTTCAACACAATGTGATGTCTCATCCTTGACCCAAAGATGGAGTCCGTAAATTCTCCATGACAACATGGATCCGAGGCGAATATATAAGGGCGCGCCCTGTGAGAACTTGGTCTTAGGTGTGCGGCACTCGTCAGTGAAGCTGTTTTACCTCTGTCCGCATCTCGGAAGTACAAAATCAGCTTTAGGAGTGTGCCAAAATTAGTAAGTGCTTTTATAACTACATTTCAACCAGATATCCATTGAAAATATTCGTAGTCATTTAAATTACCCTATACATACAACTTTATTTTTTAATTTAAGTTAGTTTGCTAGATGACAGAAGGATTTTTTTTGGCAGATGGGAATTCCATATATTAAGTGCAGAATGACTTAATATATTTATGAATTGCAATTATTCATTTTAAGAACAGCTCAAGATATTTCAATTCTGTTTCAGATAGGTGAAAAAAAAGGCAAGATGAAGTGTTTTATTTTACTCGTCACGGTGCACAGCATATTTGCAGGTGTGTACACCACGATATGCTTTAAATTTACCAAAAATGTAATTCGGAATAATTTACATAAAGAGTTAAATCTTAATTGTTTTCATTAAACCTTGATATTATTCAATTTCAAAACGACGTCAAACTAACAAGGTTAACTTTGAAATTATAAGAGAATTTAATCTTCATCAGTGACTGTGTTTATTTCAGCCGCAGTGGACTTCACCACCACTACCGAAGGCCCAGTCCGTACGAGAGGACCCACTGTCTCACCAGCAGGTAGACTGGCTTTTAATTGATCTAATATATTCATCTTAGCTTCCAGTAATAATAGAACGTGATTCTGTTGTAAGCCACAAGTTTGACAAATATCATTCTGACTATGCAAGAAAGGTCAATCACAAATAAAAAATAATGTTTGAAACCCAAGATAGAGTAGCAACAACTGTGTCAGAATAAGACGTTAAGTATGCAGTAACAAATGTACGTTTTGAGGAACCTGCAAGAAAAATGTTGAAGAAATTATATCGTTGAGGTTTGATTAATAGGGCCATGAGAAGGCACGCGACCTGTCAGTAAGCCGCTGTCTTGGGATAAAAGTGGCTATGGAAAACCATAGCCCTGCAAGTAGACAACACCGGTAAATTCAGCAGAAAATCTTTTCGTCAAAAATAGACATACACCTGTCTAAATACAATTCTAAACGATTTGCGTGTTGGTATATTTTACGCTTTGTAATGCTTTGTAATGCTGTAGGTTACCAACACCAGTCAGTGACAATTATGAAACGTCATGGTCTGCGACACGTGTGACACGCACATTAAGGGCAACAGGTTACTGAACAGGCCTCTAAATAACATTAAAATTGACACATGTCGTATTGGCGTGACAAAAAATAGTTAAAATTTCGTGTTTTATGAAATTTTAGTATAGATATTTTGACCGACCATTTATTTTTGAATTTCAAATGTTACAAAGTTCACGAGACAGACAACCTATTTAAATTTTTTTGCCATTTATATGACTGCACAGTTGATGTTTATATGGAGAATATTAACTTTTTCATTTGTCATAATCATGGACATGGGGATTGCGGAGCTAGGGGGTTTGCCCTGAATACCCTTTCTGCCAAGCACGCCAGTATTTAGCGCGAGAAGCAGAGGGATAAGGCCAAGCACATTTTTTCTGAATGGTCTCCTGCCCACTCCACTAAAAATTTGCTTCCTACGCGCTTATAAATCCATAAATATAATTCTATTTTTCAAAAGAAAAAAGGCAAGTCAAATGTCTCTCATACTCAAGCAGTTGGTGTACAACTTCTTACATTGTTTTATTGTTTTTAGAATTCTGCATCAACACCCCACAAGAGCGTAACACTGTCGGATTCTACCCCGATCCTAACGACTGTGCCGCCTTCCTCCAGTGTGACAAGGATGAAACCGGCAAGCTTTACGCTAACAGAATGCACTGCCCAAGCGGCACCCTCTTTGACATGAGGATGATGACCTGTGTCGCATGTGACATGGCTGAGTGCCCAGGATCCAGAATTCCGTCACCAAGGTGTCCACCAGGAGGTGAGTGCAACTCGGTTGTTCAGATTGTTTTGTCAAGAAACAATTATGTGAGAGGGAGAGGGAGAGAGGGAGAGGAGGAAGATTGACAAGCAGGTGTTATCATATAGTACAATTTGAACTAAAAAAATTACAAGTGGTGTCAACGAAACTTACATTCAAGGCATTTATAAACCGCATCATACTTCTATACTTAAATATATTTTTCTTTTTAATAAGTCGATTTATCCACCACTACCACCACTCTGGGACCCACCACTCTGCCAAGCTTTGGCTCTAGCTGCCAGGGTCCTGATGGCTGGACATACTTGTCCGTTCCCAACGATGCTCAGATTTTCTACAGGAGCCAGACCATGGGCGGGAACACCACCATTGAGCGTGTGAGCTGTTTCCCATGGCAGTTTAACACTAACAAGTGCAGATGCGTTGCTGCAGGTGAGATGTGCATTATAAAGCACAAATTATTATCTATTAATAACTACATAAAACATATGAAATTCAGAGCCGTAATACTAAGTCTTATTTTTATGAAGTTTGGGTGGAAATTGAAGAAACTAAGGGCCCAGTAAATTTTCAAAGTAGATTTTCACCCACCTTTTCTTTTCTTTCAGGAAAGCAAGCTCTCGCCATGTTCTCATTCGACGAGCACATGAACACAGAGGTTGACAACTTCTGGACTGACTATAAAGGCGTTGGTCTTAAGGAGGGTAAAATTGGAAACGCCGCTTACTTCAACGGCTCTGTTCACATGGAAATCCCTAGATTCAACAACTATCCCTTCGGTTCATCTATGACCATGGCGTTCTGGTATATGTCCCTAGGTACCGGCAAACAGGGCATTCTCAATAACGGAAACTGCCGAGTGGTGCCTACCATCGATTTCCACACCAGTGGAAACACACTCACCGGCAAAGTGCTCATTCAGAGTAATGAAACCCTAAACACAGTTGACTTCGTATTCCGTGAGGTACGTTTACCTAAAACGAAAAATATTGGGTTTTTGTCTCCCCAACTTTACCAAAATTATTCTTAACCGATATCTTACAGAAAAGAAAGAAGCAAAAAGTGTTTATGTGTTCCTAGGGACGTAGAGAAAAAGGAATAAACAATGATTAAACTTGCTGACCAAGCTGACCCGACAACATGTATATACTAACTCATTCACACACACACACACACACACACACACAGAGAGAGAGAGAGAGATCTATGAAACATTGTAATTACCAATTTAAAAATTGTTATTTCAGATGCCAACTGGGTTCAATCATTTCGTAATGACATATGATGGCTTGAAGTTGCGCGCTTACCTCAACAAGCAGATGCAGTATGAGCAGATTGCAGTTGGTGAGTGTGGTTGTGATAACTGTCGAGGTGGGCAGTGGCATAGCACAACAAGCACATTGTACTTCATTGAGCTGCAGATGTTAGAAGTGGTTTGAGTAAATATGTTGGAGGAGCATTTATGTTTTACAGTATAAAGCTTAACTGAAACTAAAGTTTGTGTTAGTTTTTTTTTATTAATTATGTTATGGTTCTACCACCCCTGTGTTTCTGGTCGAATTTTAGTCCTTTGCATAGTGGGTACAGTAACGTTTTAATTAACAATTTTCATTTTCATAATACAGGAGCAATCCCAGCCACCTTGGCTCCTCTGAATTTAGGAAAGGGAATGGACTGTAATGGGGAAAACCACTTCTACGGGTACATCGATGAGGTAGGTTTCCACAAATCACAGACCTCAAATAAACAAACAAATAAAAAAAAATGAAAATCCAAATTATCCAAATAAACCTTTTTTAGTACAGAAAAAAAATCAACATTTTCTCCTCATTTTGGCCATGTCATTATTTATACATTCATAAAACGTTTTCTTACAGTGATTCATATCGCCGGCGGAAGGGGTCGTAACAGAAAAAAATACGTACCTTATCATTTTAAAACGAATACTGTTGTTTGTTTGCTGTTGGTATGCCAGGAAGAACTTTATGTGTGGGAAAAACATATGTATCTCTCAATTTATCTTTTTTATAGTTCCAAATATACGACCGTACCTTGTCGCAGGGTGAGGTGGACGCCATGTTTGACGGAGCTCGGAACATCAAAATCCAACCTTAGATCTCGATTCTGACACCCTTTTCATGACATGAGTTTCAAACGGAAAATTAGGGTGCAATGTGTTTGTACTGTTCCAAAGGAGAAAGAGGAGGAGCAGAGGCCATTTAAATATGAAACCATAGACTTGTTATACTACTCAAAGACGAAATTATTTTTGTGCAAGCCTCAAGGCTATCTTTATAACTTAGTTTCTCCTACACATTTTTCAAAATTCAACTCTTTTGAAGACAATTATCCATACACTTGAAGTAAAAGTGGCAAAACAGCTGTTATTTGTATTCTTTATTAACCATACCTGAAATCACAAACTGTAGGTAGATCAGATATTGAATAAAATATCAACAGGACGTAGAAGAGGTTATATATGTAGAAGTAGTTTAGTAGCACTTTAATATATTAGAAGTAGTGGACAATACAGCAATATCTTGTACAAATGTCACAGTGGAATCACTGTCAGTAGCATCGATTTTGGTGAAGATTTAAAAGGAAAAAAAAGGGAAAATGATTGTGATAAATTGATGACGACGCAGGGATAAATAGCACCTGCTGCTGACTCATTCCGTGGCAGACACACCACCAACAACAACGACGAAAGAAATGCGAAAACTACGTATTGTTTTTGAAAAGGAAAAAGACTGTTGAATGAAGATTATACTACGGCACGAATGCTAGATACTCCAGCATGCTTCTTCCAGGTACCGAATAGATGTTTAATCACGGACCCTGGGGTGTTCTTCATGAAAAACATCACAATCTTATGGTTAAACCAGCTTCTTATGTGAAAGGGAGAGTAAATGACAGCATTTTTGTACATTGTTCTCAGGCAAAATTAATAAGTAGCATATGCAGATGAACTATAAGTTTCGTGACATCAAACGGTATGGAAGTAAGGGCAATCAACAATGGCGGCGTTGTTTTTACTGTATAGGGGAATGGTCGGTCACCACTGCTATTCTGCCAGACTGTTCTATGGACTTGGAGACTGAATTTTACGTAGGTCGCAAGGTTCGCGGGAGGCATGCTGTTAAATCATACTTAATTGCATTCACCACGCAGCCTTTACCGTAACGTAATCCATTACCATTAGGTATATAATTGTATATTAACGAGAGCAATAAACGCAGATCATGACTGCCTCAATTTACTTGGTTTGTGTCGTCAGGTACAGTAATTGCTGTTTGGCAAGCTTTGAAATCGTTGCTGACAGTACATTTCGTGTCGTACTTCATTTTCAACTTCTCACATGCTCACCAAGTGTGGAAATTACGTTACAGTAATATGTAAGAGAGAAAACACTCATTTCGTGTCCCATTTACAGCAGGGAAGGAAAGACAACCGTGAGACGCATATTAAACTTGTGAACTGCTTTGATTTTGTACATTATATTTACTTCCTATATATTCGGTGGATATTGTTCATTTCTTGTACATGAATAGTTCTTGTCTTTATTTCTGTGCTCAATTTGCATAAGCTAGTAGCGCTACAGAAATCCAAGAGAAAGAAGAAATGTCATTTTATTTTACGTCGGTGTCCTTTTTTAAATACGTGTTTATGCACCTAACGCCCACTATCTCTAACCCCAACAGAGATAACCTTTTCTATCTTAGTGGAATCAGCACTAAATAAAGTATAATCAATCCCTTTTTTTAATGTCTGGATCTGATCTGCATCTGAGGGGGGCTTCTTGATTTATCTGTAAACTGACGTGACCCATACGACACGAACAGGGACAGTATGGCGCGTGTTCACAAAAGCTCCCGCCGTGTCTTAAAAAAATCCTTCCAGACAACGAAAACCGTCAACTCCGTCTTAGATTAATTCACCGACCCTAAAGCCAAACTATGGACTGAAGACCAAAATAACGTCAAATCTTGCAAGAATGAATGAGTACAGAAACTAGCCGCCCCCATGATGAGTAGACAGGAAAGTGAAAGTTCAGCTGCAGGTCCTTTGAAAGTACATACGTCAATCTGTAATGGCAGTTTAACACACGACCTGGCAAAAAAAAGGCTTTGATAAAATAACCTACATCTGCAACGTATGTTCTCCACTTCGTTTTTTTAAATGTGGCAGCTAGGCTGTTTCTCGGACATATTTTTCGATTAATAATAAGATTTAATCTATCGATGAAAGTTGGTGGTCAACCTGAGTAAGTTTTGACCCTTACCGATACAAAATCAAATGAAATACAGATCCAGCAACGATAGAAATTCTGATGCAGTAGGTGTCCAATGCTTAGAGCGGCCGACCGCGATATAGTGTGCATGTATTTACAATACCTCGGTGAAACACTTACACCATAAAAATAATTTACTACACATATTCTAATGAACGTACACAGGTATAAAAATACATGGGCATGTGACAGTTCAGGTCATCGATAGTAAGGAATCTGGTTTGATGGTCTCGTTTGCCATTTGCTGCTTGCAGTTTGTCAACCCAACATTGACCTTTATGAGTGGACTCAACGCAGAGAGCAGACTTACTAACATCTGAAAGATTAAGGGCTAACACCTGCATGTCACCTAGCTTAAAAATATATTCGTTAAAAAGCATCACTTGTATGGCACGGTCAGGTACTCGGTGTTCTTGTGGAACAATGTGACAGTGTCACTGTGTTCGATGATAGTGAGGTCATCTACACAATCGAATAGAAGTGCAAGTATGTGTAATTTATGACTGCATCATCACAATGCGGGCATAGTTTTATCACAGTTTTAGAACGACATAGCGTAAGATGGCCCTAGGTTAACCGCTGTATACAATACCTGTATAGTTTTTTTTCACATACCAAAACGGCATAACGTTAAGATCGCCTTAGATTGACCGGTGATTGCACTCAAAATGTATTGGAAACCTCGACTTTGTTGATATGTTGGCGATAACCGCATGTGTCCGATAGATAATGGCAGACAGCATACACCAATGTAATAGAACGCGATAACAGGGCGGCTAGTCGGTGAAACGAAAAGTTCGCGTCCAGCAGGGAGACTGAAAGAGTGGTGACTGTAAGCATATTTCGCTTTCGTCTATTCGTCAAGTAAAAACAATGGACTTTGTACACAGATTTACATGTAAGGAATTCAAAAACCGATTGTTCTCGACCAAATATGAATTTCCAATTAAAAAATCGATCCACTTTTTATTCGCCTGCTTTTTGAACATTACACTAAAATTATATTATGATTGGGGGTAATCATGGGCATTACCATTACTCTTTAAAGTTAATGTGATGGAGTAGATAAGTCTCTTCAAAAACAAGGCACCTGCAAAGTTTGGGAAGCTGAAGCTGATTCCGCTTTTTCAAGACACAAAGCGTGTAATAAATGGAAGACAACATGAATAAAGGGGACTAGACGAGGGGGGGTACGTTTTGAAATCTTAAAAACATTTTCCTATGGGGAAATTATATCCTTTAACGAGAGACCACTAATTCGGATATATCATTTTCCCCCTACCTTTACGTAAATAGGCCGCAGTTTGATTTATTGTTTGGCTGTCATCATTTGGTCCATGAATACAAGCATTGTGATTTCTGTGCGCATCATTCTTTCCCGCGGTTGTTCCTTTTCTATAGGTAAAATTATTGTATATTTCCGATAAATACCATTAGATAAAGAAGGTTTCAATTTTTCCCAAAATGCATGAAAAACATGAATATTCAAAATATATCAGCTTTCTTTCTTTTTAGAAAATGAAGCGTGTACACCTTTATATAAGTCAATATACAAGTTATTACTGCAAATAATTTTTTAGGAGTAAATTAATTTCTGCATGCATTTCCACTAACCTGTATCTGATACACTCGTGTCAACTGACAGAGGTCGCATACAATATATATAGATAATAGGAGATAGTTCTTATTTTTCATCTTTATCAATTTCAACATTTTATCTATTTTCCAGAGAAACATCGTTTATTATATAAAATGATACATAGAATAAAACAAACTTGCCATGTAGAAAATATGCAGCATTGATGGGAGTAGAAATGGTGTGTCACACAAAAAAATTACATCAGAGACATATTATCTTTCGGCTATATTTTCTTCGATATTAACGAAAAATGAGTAAATTCGTTGAATAAGGAAAAATGAATTTTGGCAGACGATATGTTTCTTGACCAGCTGTTACTTTTGTATGAAAAATTAAACGTGTTTCTTTGAAATTAGCACAAAAAACCATACACTGAATCTATCCTAAATTGTATAAAGCAAAGCAATTGCATTTCTTATTTTATCATTCGTTATATGCTGTATTTTCGATAAAAAAAATCATTAGGGCGTTTCTTCACACACAAAATATCTAAATTTGGTATGAACTGTAAGTTCGAAATTTTATTCAACGCTGAACCAGGCCCAGTTTTTAATCATAAGTTCACTGTATCCTATCAGTAATTTTAGTGGAAAGTGAGGCTCAATGGAGATAGATGAAAAATAAAATAGAATGATATTTAGTGTAACACCACAAATGTATTTGTCATCGACTACCCTTTCTTTTTTCAGTTTGCAAGAATAATGAAAAGCTTTAAAAATGCTAATTACGCTCAAACTCCCCCCCCCCATACCACCCCCCCCCCCCCCCCCACACACACACACACATACACACCTATACATTGGCGCTTACGCGTACACGTGGTTGTGGTCGTCGAGTTTGGTCTTATAGGTGGACCACTTACCAGCCAGATGGTCTGTGCTGGACATGATGCAAGTGCAGAATATATGACCATGACAACACTTATACGTAAACCGACAACTCGTAAGCTATTTTTGATGGAATTTAAATGACAAGTCTCTAGATAATTCACAGATAAATCTACAAACCTTTCTCACTGAAATTAAAAACCAGTTTTTCTTCATTAATGCCACTAATACATAGCATGACACGCCCTGTCTTTTTTTCTTTTACATTCCAAAAAAGTCTGTTCTTTCTATTATTAAAACTATGACCACCTTACTACATGCACTTCCAAGGAAGGAATCACCCGGATGACGTGATATCCCAATGACCACCAAAAATGCCATAACGTAAACATTGTTTGTAGAGATTTTCAGTGTGTTCGGAATTAAAAGGAAATCGTGTCCTGGTCATGCGTTAAGAATGTGTGGTGACAACTGTAAACGTTTCTTTGCAAAATCGATGCCTTGTTACAAGGAAACAACCCACCTGATACTGATGAGTCTTGTTTGTGCACATATAAGCGTGGGCATTCAAACATAAGGAAACGGGGTTCTACGGTTAACCTAATGCATTGAGGCGCCAATGGGGATTTAATGTATTATCAAAATCCTTTGACAAAAATCATCTTCATATATCATTTCAGTCGACAAAGTCGACAAAGTACAAATTCATGCCACATGTCGTGCCACAGAATTGCGTTATTTGTTTCTGAATTCGGTGTAATTTTCAGGAAAACAATCCTCTGTCTTTATGTGATCTAGAAATAGAAATTCGACAAGGTTAATAGTGGTAATATGACAGCAAAATGATGGAGGGCAAGCAGACAACAGTTTTATTGGTTATAAATATATATTTTCACCCTTGCGATAAGGCATGTTTAGAATTTCACCTTCTAATACGTCTATTAAGATAGACAGCGTTGACAGTCATCTATACCAGTGCGCTTAGAACTATGTAAATTTCTTGAATGGTTTGTCAAATCATCATATTGCACCGGGATGTTTTTTTTTTGCTAGTTTCATTCCTTATTCTTATTCATATTACGAATGTTATAGCCGCACAAAAGTTAAGCAGATATTCTCATTTCACGGATTTATGTATTTATGTAATCTTAACTTGAAACACCAGTGCTCAAGAATTCGATAGCTTTGGATCTGTTTAGTTACCCTCACAGGCCCTTAGCTGCGCCACTGTTGGGTTTTGAATATATGCACCCTGCTTGTGTTTAGAAAGAAGCAAAAGTCACTTTTTTACCTTCATATAGTACATACACTGGACGTGATTAGTTTCTAAAAAAAGTAAGCATTTTAAGAACTAAAATGTGATCTAATTTTTGAAAGTCAATATTAAGTTCAAGAACGAAAATGCGAGAGGCGGCATGAATAATTTTTTTTGAAAAAGTAATATCTTAACCATATCCCTAGGTGTGTGTGAGAGTGTGTCTATGTGTATATAAATATACATGCAGCTGAACTATGATTATCCTGACTCCGTCTACTTGACTTCCACCTATCTCTAACGGCATATTAGTTGATTGGCGGGACCACGCCAAAAAGTCTTTCTGAACTTCTTTAGTAACTTTTGCCACTGTTTAAGTAGTCAGATCTATACATGAGCCCAATCTGCGTGACACATGAGCTTCTTTTGCTGCCATGCTATTTGAATAAAATATTTGTCCAATCTTTTACACAAAATGTCATACTTTGACAATATGTCATCAAAATGATAAGTCTATTCATGAGAAAAAATTACCAATGCTTTCTTTATTTAGCGGTTCAGTCCACTTTTACATACGTGCAAATGATGTGCTGCTATTTTTAAAATCTTTTTTAGAAAACTTGAATTTAATTGGAATGTTTTTTCATTTCTTTTTCCGTAATTCATACATATCCATTCAATTTTTTACTAAAATGTTTTCAATTCTTTTTGAGATTTCAATGTGTAGATGCACCAACGATGCAATAATTCATCGGAGAGTGTTAAAATCAATTTTCATCGTCATGCCTTTAGAAAGTACTGAATATTAACACTACAGTTTATTCAGAAAATGGTGCATAGAATTACTTATAAAAAGGTGTCAAAACCCACATAAGAATCATCATCATATTCATATTATGTATCCTTTTAAGGTGGGAAATGCATTTTATAAATTGTTATACATCTTTTCTTCGCGTTTATTGCCCATCTCATGAACGGTACGATAAGCACGAGTTAGTAGTGTTAATGCTCTTTTATATAGCTACTGGGTAGGCTGATGCCATAATGGCAAGGGTCACTGGTAGACTGGTAGAGTTAACAGAGAAAATGAAATAGAAAAAAGTTAGTTTGATTTTAATTTATCTTGCAGATAGCACATTATACTTTTTGCATGCCACCTTGGCAAGGTCAAAATGTTTTACATAAGACGACGTGCATTAAGAATTTCATTCATCCTAATGATCGTTTTATCCATTCTAAGATCAGAAAGTTAAGGTCGTTCGTCTTTGTTGTACCCATCAACTGTTAATTCTATATCAAACATTTTACAGTCAAATGGGATCAGCAGCATTAAGTGCCTGCAGGAGTACTTACACAATTTAAGAAGAAAAATCGTGATTTTTAATGTACATACTAGCTAAAAAGATTTTAAAAAATGGCACCGTTTTATCCGACAGTGTCGAAATAGCACCAACGAATAAATCAAACCTCAATGTTGAATTTTACTGACCTTCATCGTATGCAAATGCAAGTCGAGATTATTATTCGAGTGTTCCCCTGATCAAGTGATTTCATCTTTTGTCTCATACCCTTAAAACAGCACTAGTAATAGTACCGAGGCAGAGCAGTAGGAAGAAAAAAGAGGAACAAGACAGTTTGAATTCGACGTGTATTTATCAGATAGTGTAAGCATGTTAAACACGTGGGCAGTACTTTCACCTACAGTTGTATGTTTCACCTTCGAGCCGAAGAAAAGGGTACTTCATCGAAATTAGGACAAGTGCAAGCACCTTGACCCAATTGAACTCTTGAAGTATTAAAGATTACCACAAAGAATGTAACTCTTTAAAAAGATTAATTGATGTTTCTTTTCAAGTTGTTCTGAATGAGGAATTCTATTGACTTCTGCGAGCCCTCTCTTCCTGGTACAGGCAACGGCATTGACAGCCAATAAAGGATAGCCCAGCAATTTTTTGCTCTCAATAATTTGCCCCACGTCAAAGACACATTTACTGTGACCCTTAAAACAATAAATTTCCCATTTGAGAGGTCGCTTTCCATGTATAACAAAGAGGCGTATTATTGTGGCCCCTTGCTATTATAACACTACTGGTTTGAGCTTCGATGTGCGTGTCCCACACCCATCATATGACGAGTAAGGGATCTTACACGGTGCGCCTCAGTTCCAATAAAGACAATTGTTTCAAATCTGGTGTGATTCGTTAAATGCATTTTTATGAAAATCAGTCCCTGTCTTGGTTCCGTCTATAAAAGCCGTTCTTCAGCTGAATTGGCCATCCAGAACCTCAGGTTTTTCAGCTGGATCGGATCAGTTCGCAGGCCAAAAAGGACAGGTATGTTATGACTGATCAGTATGCAGGTTACATAATGATTATTTTTTCTACAATATGCATGAAACCACACGCGCCAGGTATAAAATTGCTTGTGAAAAAAAACTGAAATAATTTTTTTCTTCAGGATAAAGAAAGATTATTATAATCTTACAGCTTAGCATACTGTTGATTTTTATAAAAAACACTTTAAAAACTGTCTATGTGAAAAAAAAAATAAATAAATAAAAGTAAAATTATCTGAAATTGGATTTTTTTAATTTTTTTACCGAGTCTGCATTTTCATATGCTTGAAATTTTGAAATATTGTTTATCTATTGATATGAATTTTGAAAAACTATACTGATGATATTTTAAAATCAAATAACATAGTTTTTGTCAAAAGAAAAAAAGTGGAAAAAGTATTTCCTTATCGAAATTATTCCATTTTCAATTGTGAATGGGGTTAAAGAGCATGAAATAAGAAATCAAAGGCGGAGAATCTAAGCTGTCAACCACACTTGAATTTGCGTGCAAGGAAACATAAGCAGGGAAAGTAGGCGTGAAAACAGGTATTAGAATATAGCTAACGGACAGCATCGCTATTAATTCGTCTAGGCCAAACAGATTGATAAAATAAGGAAAATGTCTATAAAACTTTAGAGCCAAATTTTTTGAAAATACAAAATATACTGCTCGGTAATTGAGAATCTTTACGTGGCAAAAATCTCAACTTACTTTCATCGTATTAAATTTCAAGATTTATAATACGCTCTAAGTGTAACATATTTTTCCTATTTTAAAATTAAAAAGATTTAATTAAAAAAATTAAAAAAGATTAAAGCTGTACATATGTCAAACAGAAAGGAAAGCCTCCCTCAATATTTCTCATCTTCTGTTGAGAATGTTAAAAAGTCAATGTGGTTTCTCAAGATTAATTTATTTCCTGACTCTTTTCAAAGGACCTCCTTCGTAAATTGGCTATATGCCAATTCTGGTTTTTTCCCCTTATTAATGTTTTTTTTTCAACACAAAGTTAATCTATCGCACCATATCACGTAATAGTAAGTTCGTGGCATATAGCACGCCCTCTGCTTTAAAAAAATCGTCATATTCCGCAGTGGTGTAATCCTGTTATTGGTCAAAATCGTTCAGAAGGGCGTTTGAGGTTTGAGTTCCCGTCATAGCCATTATATAAAATAAAGTGATCTACCTGGATAAAGCTGATTACTCTCTCGGTAAGAAACGTCAAAAATGCCCATACAGGCATAAAAACGATTAGGATATGATAATAATTTTAAACAACCCGCTCCCTAAGAGGTGATTTACAATTAGATGGTTTTAATCTTACCTATATTTATTTTACAGTGCCAAAATGTTTAGCGTACTTCTTCTTACTTTGGTGGCTTCGGCCTTTGCTGATGATTATGTCCCAGCACCAGACATTCAGCTGAGAGGACCAACAGTCTCCCCAGCCGGTAAGTCTATTCCAGATTTTAAAAATTCCTTAATTTTGAGTATTTGAATGAATTAAAGAAAACTCTGCATTATTATGAGAAAAAACAAGCAAGAAATTCCCCAGCTATACAGTGACAAACGATTCAATTATATAGTGACTACAAATTCAAGGTATTTCTTGCAACGTTGATTTTTAAAGTGAAGAAGGAAAGAGCAGAAGATGAACCTTGAAGGCCAAAATAATCTAAATATCTATTCGTTTTTACTTATCATCTTATTGTGATAAAAGGTAGTAGGAGCGCGAGTGTAAGTTTGCGCAAAATTTTGGACGGTGGGAATCTAATTGACAAAAATAAACCTGCACTGCCATTAGCTACACACAGTTGTTACGAAGCCGTTAACATCAACACTATATTGTGTTGCGCGTGAGTGAAGTTATTTGCCATGAGAGCCAGTCACATGTCATCTCCAGTTTCCGCTATCAGATGTTGTAAACATCAACAACCATGCGTAGTCGCTGTAAAAGTGGTTTGGTAAAATGATATTAATTCTGTTAGTCTTGAGGGGTAAAACGACTTAAGTAAAGCACGCTTTTTTGATAGCATTACTCAAAACGGAACCCAAGATATGTTTTGGGCACAACCAGTTTGATTACTGGGCGAACGAGGTGTAAGCGCTTAACTGTCTAAATAACCCGTTAAGTGCCAAAATTAGCATGATGAATTGTAACACGCAAACTAAAAAATAGATAAATGTGCTTTTAGAACAGACTTTCTTTGTCAGAGGAAAAATATACACCTCCCCTTTGACATGAAACTCTGGAACCTATTCGGACCAGCCATAATGGACTTCAATTATAGAACTGTATCCAAGCATAACTTTCACTCTACCCTATATTTATTGTGTAGAATTCTGCAGAAGATGCATCGAGGAGAGAAACGGCGTCGGCTACTACGAGGATCCATACGACTGCGGAAGCTACCTGCAGTGCGATATTGATGATGATGGTACCGTGTTCGCCCACAAGAAGCCTTGTGCAGAGGGTACCCTCTTCGACCGCAATGTCGTCACCTGTGTCCCATGTGAGGTTGCTACCTGCGACGGCAGCAAGGCTCCAAGCCCACAATGCCCACCAAGAAGTAGGTCTTTAACACACTTTTATAGTTTTTTTACATTCAAAGTTTGCCTTGAAGACTAAATTTTGGAAAGACTCATGTGAAAAAAGACGCTTAAAAATGATGAAAATGTATAACTTACGATATTTTAATGATAACATTATCAACTCTCCTTTCCAGCTCCACCACCAACCACCACCATGGGATACACCACCCTTCCACAATTCGACGGCAAATGCGATGGCCCAGACGGCTGGACTTACCTCGCTGTGTGGGGTGATGCCCATGTCTTCTATAGACAGCAGACCCTTGGTGATGACACCAGAATCGAGCGTGTGAGCTGCGGACCATGGGAGTTCAGCGTCTCCACATGCATGTGCGTTGTCCCAGGTATGTAGCATACTCGAAATAACAATTCAGTCCTATTGTCTTTTCTGATGCAACACAGACACATAAAATGTAACGCGGCACAGTATTTCTAGTTACACACTTTTCGAATGTTTTTATAGATATTAAATTGCGTTAAAATGGCATTTGATGTTTCCAGATCTCCAGGCCATCGGTCTCTGGCCATTCGATGAGAACACCGACACCATCGTCGACAACTTCTGGACAGATTGTACCGGTGTTGAGATTTCCTCTGGCAAGGTCGGCGGATCTGCCCACTTCAACGGCTCTGTCCACTGCGAGGTTCCACGTTTCAACAACTACCCATGGGGCTCCGCCCTCACCATCTCTTTCTGGTACGATACTCACGGTGGCGAGAGACGCCAGGGTCTCCTCGGCAATGGCAACTGCCAGATTGAGCCAACCATCACCTTCTGGTCCGAGTACTCCAAGCTTGGTGGCCGTGTCCTTATCGACAACAACGGAACCCTCGAGACCGTTAACATTGACGGATACGTAAGTATCTTTATGCATTTGTATTTTTATGTATTAAGACCTGAACGATTTTATAGTGCTGAATTTGACAATAAACAGTTCGCTCAATGGTGCAGTCTGAGCCTCTTAGTTATACGGAACTCCACTTACGATATTTTGTATCTATTTTCTCAGGGTGCTGCTGGCTGGAACCACGTTGCTTTGACTTACGATGGTCTCAGACTTAAATTGTACGTCAATGGTGCCGCCGTCATGGACAGTATTGCCGTTGGCAGCATCCCAGCCACCCTTGCTCCATTGTACATGGGCAGAGACCTCAACTGCGAGTACACCGATGGCTTCAGCAACACCGGTCTCGTCGGATTCATCGATGAGGTAATTATGGAAGGTTTATGCAGCAAATAAAAAACAATGCGCATATTGATCATTTTATAATTTAGTAATCGAATAGTTAAAGAGAAAAATTCTACATGGCTTTGACTATGCCCTCTTTAATATCTGTAGATTACTCTTATATAAGGTGACACTTATACTGTCCGTGCCGTGAATCTATTTACAATCTGTACCTATTCTTAATTTCTTTCTTTCTTTGCCACTCTAGGTTCAGATCTACGACTGGGCTCTCAGTGACGCCATGATTGCCAGACTTAACGCTGGTGAGAGAAACCTCAAGATGGCCAGAGTTGACTAGATATTTCATTCACCAACAAACACTAACTTATCAACTCTATAATATCATCTTTTGTGACTCAGATGGATTGGAAGTGACTGCGTGAAATGGACTTGAGACTGACCCACTCGCATCGGGCTTCCCGAAGTGCGGTTTTAAAAGAAATCCCAGTTCTGGAATCACAATGCGGCTGATTTATAAATCATCAACTTGCTTGGGGGTTTATTACTAGTATTAAAAATAGAAATAAAACTATTTGTTGAATCGTAGAACCTTTGAATGTAGTTTAGTTTTTAGTTAAAATATTACTCCACATAGCGTAGTGTTCCACTGGATACAATTGAAGCAAACGGTTCGTCATCTCAGATTTCTGTACATAGCTGGTCGCCTGGTCGTACGTACGCCATACCGTTATGAATATTATGTGCTTCATCCAACCACACCGCATGAAGTCAGGGGTGTTAACAGCTTTATATTACCAAATTTTCATTTGAATAAACAGCTTTTGCTTCATAGGCAATTCAAATTTTGTTCCCATTTTAACTTATCATTATAATGATCATTTATCATCAGATTCAATAAACCATTTAACTTTTGCACCTGTGATATAGCTGTTTCTAACTTATTCAGTGCACCGTTCAGGTGTCCTTTCATAATCTGATCATTTCGCTATTACATAAGGATATACAACTTGCACAAATCAGTGCCAGGCATTTCTACAAAACTCAAGAGAGTAGCTTAATACATACGGTATTTACAAATAGAGCCATGCTTTGTTACAATGGTGCTTGATGCAATATTCGGAAAAATATTTGGCGACGGACTCTTTATAATAATGCTTGTACCACGGCTCAATGTAAGAATTAACTAGTTTTGGTTTCAAAATAAATTGACCCTGTTTTCGGGACGGTCCCGATTAATACATAAATTCATTGTTAATTTAAATTTTCTAGGGTAAGGGGTAGAACTCTTTCTAAAATGATTGCTGGGTTTATCATTAAAGTGATATTATAATGTAATAGCAGTATATATGTATTATCAAAATTTATCTATTCCCTTTTGAATAAGCAAAAAATCTGTTTTATTCAAAGTGTGCTGAAAGCTACGGTACGCTCCCCCCCCCCAAACCTCTCTCTCTCTCTCTCTCTCTCTTTTCTCTGGCAACTCGTTAGTTTTTTCAGCATCGCGTTCAACATCACCCTTACTCGAAACTTTTTTTTTAATTTGTAAGTTCTTCATTTGGATTCACATCGATATCAAAACGTGTCTTCTGGCTACAAAAAATAGATACTGTAGATTTCTCAAAGCATGCAAATGACCATTTAACGGACCAGCGTGTAAATCTTGTGGCGGGTAACGTCTGAATTTGTCTTCAGTTCGTGCAGTCGGTTAACAAACAAAATATCAGTTCAAAAACAAAATAAGAAAGCCCCCTTTGTTTTTTTTTTCAAGTATGACATTTTTGTCGTTAGAAGAGACAACCACTCCGTGATGTCACTTGATGGTTACAGGTACAATTTAAAGGGGGCTTTTAATGCTCTATGGACAGACAATAACAATATCAATTTGAAGTTTAAAGACAAAGCCTCTATGTTTGGCGAAGGACATCCCTCTCAAATGAAAAACTTGACAGAATGACAGTGCCCTGGTACCGTTTTTATTGACGAACGACACGTATTGTTCCTTGTCCGACAATGGTTCTATTCTTGTAAGATTAACTCATGAGGGGTAAGGGAACTATTCATCAAATACCTTGAAATATACCGACGCAGATTATAGGAAATGAATTTACTTCTTCCTTAATAAATATCCGGTATTTATATCAAAATGTGCTTAATATGATAATCTGATGAGGTAATATGTCTACAAATGTTAATTTTAAATCCCTAGTATATTAAGTATTTGTCACGATTCTGTGATGACTAAATGTCACCGCAGATATGTGCAGCATTTCAATTACCAAAAAATATTTTTTTTTTCAAAAACGATCCTTTTACATCAAATGTGACTACAAGAAGAAATAGACTGTGCCTCAGTTGGTAAACTGATGAAAACATAAAATTACATTACATAAAATAACAAATAACGTAAACTTTTGGAGGGGTTGCAGATGGGATAGAAAAGCTTTAGTCTTTAGCGGGTGTATATGTACAAGCATCGTCCCCCAGTGGCAAAGGTATAATCTGACAAAAAGTACGAGTCCCACTTCAAGCCGCTGCAAAGTTATATTGAGCACACAATGGCTGTATTCCCAGAGCTTTTAGATCGATCGTTCCCCGCGGGGAGTCTCCCTAGATTACTGTCAGATAATCCGGCTTAAATGTCCGTCCCGCCTACTACAAGCTGTAAGGGGGTAATTAACTTTCGTGTCCGCTCGGCTGACAGCTATTTAGCGTGAACCCCCAGGGAGTTAGGTCGATCTAAAGTAGATCGATCTAATCTCTGGAAATGGGGTCTATGTCAGAGACTTTTTTGCTTTGGGCGCTCTGTGAATTTGAAAATTAGGATTAAACTTCGAACATAACCTAGAGATCGATAAGATGCACAATTTGACAAAAAAATTTTGGGGGGTGGGGGGGGGGGGGGCTACATGTACATGTACCAGTACGTCAAGCCATTGCATACATGTAGTTATGCTGAACACAACTTGTTATTTGGAAGCATTTCGAACGAAAGGATAAACCAAAAACTTCCATCGAAGGCATAGCAATATATTGTTATTTGGAAGCATTTCGAACGAAAGGATAAACCAAAAACTTCCATCGAAGGCATAGCAATATATTGACAAGGATAATTGTACACTTCTTACAACACCAAAGGTGTACATGAGATGCTTCAAGTCCTGAGTGGCACTTGAAGCTATCGTCCTTAGTTAATTAAACTTACATATTAAAGATTCTGAATTTGCTTTAACTTGCTATTTCAGCAACGCTAGTCTTTGTTTATATACTTGATAAGTATCACTAACATGTTAAAACCATTCCGACTTTTTGCCAAGGCACATTTTATTCACACACTCTAAGATTAGTTCTGTTTTGCTTACTATACATGTGCGAGCATCTGTAATTGACATGCCAGTCCTTTCATTCTTATAAGAACTCGTCGAATGGTCTAACCGGCGATCTATATACCATTAAGCGCTGTGTTATGCCCCGCTCCATATCACCCCACTTCTTCCAGTTTGATCGCGATAAGGGCAATTTGAGAAAATGGTGGCTGAGGTTTCCACTCTGGCCCGGGCAAGAGCCGTCTTAGTGATTAAGGTGCAAAGCATCACCATATACGCTAGTAGAATTTCTTGTGGATGTCCTACCTAAGACCACTTTAAGTAGCCTTAATGGAATTCACATGACATCTCAGGACAAACAATGAGAAAATAAGTGCGCCACTTTAAGAATAACATCGATTTATTTGCAGTGATTACAGAATACCATATTTATTTAGTTATAAACTCGACCATTTGGGCAAAATAAGCTTAGAAAAATTTAATTAAAAAAAGTTAAGTTCCAAAGTACGGTTCAATGACCGCTTCCATATTATGGTTAATCACCGGTCATTTTAAAGCTGCTTTTTGCTCGAAGACACCAGGCACGATACGATGTAACAGAAATAGATTAGTCATTTTATTATGCGATCAACATGTTAGACTCGAATTCACTGTCGGACAGCAGCATTCAAGAAAACTATTGCTAAAATGAGGCAAAGTATCTTTGTCATCATTATCTTCTGATAATTATAATAAAAAAAATTAACCAGGTATTCTAATAGGGTTGTTCTCTTTCCTGCTTAATATTGTTCACTTTGCCAGCAGTGGTGATACTGGGTGTTTCGTGTCTTCTCTGACGCACTCATCACAGCATTCAGTCTAACGTCACCGGGTGCCAAACAATTACTACCTACTTTGAAACTGTTTTTTTTTTCTGTTTGTTATCTAAACTATTTCTTTTGTCATTTTAAAATTTAAATGCATAAGTATCAACTCTGTAAGAGATATTAAAGTATTTGAAGGTTGTTTAATGACTCAATAGGAGGCCGAACTCCCAAGCCAGAAATACGTTGAGTACATTGATAACTCTTGCAATTTGTCTACACACTTAAAATGATATATGCACGGAGTAAGTACTGCCTTGGGTTTCTTCGTCCCAAGATTGCCCTTAAAATATAGCACAGGTGCTTGATTTTAGTGTGCATCAAAAGGCTTTCCAATGTTATGTGAATAGCTTTAGGCAGGACACAATAAAAAGAAAAGAAAAGAAAAGAAAGAAAGAAAGAAAATAAATGAATAAATAAATAAAAATAAAAAAAAACATAAATCAAAATGTCGCCTTTGACGAATAATGAAGAAACCAGGTAATCAACTGAAAAGATTTCATTTTAAGCACGTTACTTAGTTGTACATGTGCTTAAACTGATTAAGCTATCGGTACTGCCCAATGTCATAATGTTTAATCTTCGCATTTAGTTCAAAAATAGATGTTACATTATGTTTTAAGCGTCTGTCTTCTTTTAATAGGATGTTTTAGATTATTATACGGTCGTTGAACTGATAGGTTTTGGGGTTGCGTCAAATGTGTACAGGAGCAGAATGGCCAGGTATGGTGCTAGTAACTGCCTTGTATTATCAAGTAAAAGGCCGCATATTTTAAGTTTTTGCAGCCACTGACAAACGTTATTCTAATCACAAACAAAAGATAGTACGGAGTTGAGCAGTCTGCTCAACATTTGAGATGCACACTTGTTCACTAGGTGAGACATGAAACCGCGACATGACTCAACAGCCATTAGAGATCGCCGAGATGTCGAGACTCGTTGACCTTCACATACTAGTTAATACCACGAGAGCATATATACCGGGCCACCCTTTGGTTTTATTACGCAATGAAAAGTCCTTTACCAGTGTAAGTTTTGCGCACCGTGGGCTTGCTGCCATTTTGATCGATGGTTTTCACTGCACTAGTGTTAAAATATAATTTTCATTACTTGTGTTTTGAGAAATTCTCAACATAATTAATATACAAAGCTGATGTACCTCTTCTGATTTTTACAAGTTGATATTTTATCATACCTGCGTCATATTGTTGACAACTTCCAATGGTACTTCATCCTGCGCACGTTCAAGTTTGGTCGCATACTTCATATAATAACAATCTAACAGGCGCTGCGAGTACTCTGATCAACGATATACCGGTACGAGACGGTGACGAAGTGCTACATGTATATATATTACGTACAACGAGCTATCGAATACTTCATGTGAAAACCAGGAGACAAAGAAACTAGATTCTCTTACAAGTACAGCTTTGTTTGGTGTGTCTGGACAAATTCTTGATCAGATTATTCCAAAAGAGCAAAGATACAGTATACATAAATACATTTATTAGGCAGATTTACAAAAAGAAAACTACAAAGATATGAATGAGATAAGATATTCCACTTAATCCATATTTTTCTGCCAGTTTCTTTACTGGATGAATCCAGGGCAGCGATACTATGCTCCTATAAGTATCATATAAGAAATATCAGAACAAACAGTTCACCCCAAGACAGAAATGGCTGGGACCTTATAATGCCAGAATGCTGACAAGGGCTTAAATAAACAGTCCCATATATGAATCATATATGTTAGAAACTAAACACTTTACAAAATATCATATGTACACGCCTTATAAATATAAACTTAACATTTAAACTTCTCCAGGAAAACTCTTTAAAACATTAGAATTGCTCCACGTTCCATCAATTGAAAAAAATGACACCGTAAATATACTTTTGAGGTCTTACTGTGGCGACATAGGGACGGAACAAAATCACTTACACGTATACTAATATGCCTCGCTGATGGATTTGCAAAAGCCATGATAAATTATGTCGTCACTCTTGGTTATAATCTTTCAACCTTTTCTAAACTCATCATAGTAGAAAGAAAATCATGATCGGTATTACGTCTGACAGACTGAACAAGCACACAAATTTTCAATAAAAAACTTGCTCACGTAAAAGAACACTATATCACTATGAAGATCAGAACCACTGTCTGTACGTAGCGTCCGCCCATTCTCCACTTACCTGGGGCCCGTTTCATACCATAGTCTTGGGTTAAGCTTATGCTATTAAAATGAGACAGCCGACTAAAATACGCAAAATGGATTTTGTGGTATTGGCCTAAGAGCGATTAAGGATGACTGACCTACAATAAAAGTATTTAACATACCTAAAGCATATTGTCACCGCTGAGGGCACAAATTTTAGTCAAGACAATCACAATTTGCTGGGGGTGGGGGTGGGTTACTCGAAATACTCAAAAAAATCGAAGTTACCGGAATTTCAGATCCTTTGTGAAACGCAACAGTACGCAAAGTTTTACATGAGATTTTTGCCCAAAAAGTGACTTAAACTATCTGAAATGCCGCACTCTTACAATGTTAAAGCTGATATACACAACAGCGACAAAACCACTTAGTCCACTCAATGGAAAAACCAGTTGTGAATTTATACATGTACATCTATCACAATCCCACGTTGACCTAAATGATTATGCCTGCTTAAACATCACTATGTCGTTGTTGTCATAGCCAGTAGTGACAAAGGAAATGCCGTCGTCGTTATTAAAACATCCCCCAACTAGCTGTAGGTCCGTTACTGCTTCTCCAAACACAAAGGAAATCTGAAAGATCAGAATAATTTTTTTGTAAACCACTTTTTTTGTGAAAATCAAGGTTCAGAGAGGTGGAGCCGTCTCCCAAGTGCATACCACCATCCGGTTATAGACTTAAAACTGGGCAATTTTTTTTTTTTTTGGTGAATTTATATGCATGTATTAATGAAATGACCTGGAGAAAAAATCTACATATAAATGACTACTGATTAAGCATAAACTTATTATCAAACATAAAAAACAACTGCCTGGTGAATATGAAGTATAACTCACTATTACAACATGAATACAAAAAAGTTGTTCTTTGTGAAAAGTAAAGGTAACAAGCAGAAGACACTAATAATGAACTGAACAGTTAACCAATCTGCAACCGACAGGCCAGGTTCAAGGTGAACCTTCAGACTATCAAAGTGAATCTTGAGACTGTTATAATTCACTTACTGACCTACTACTCAACTTCATCATCAACCTGAAACATCTACAGTGTTATTCAGCCTCCACAGCTGTTAAAAAATAAACAGCTCAATGCAATCTCTGTAAAGTTTTTAAAAAAACTTCAAATCTACAAAGAAGACAGGACCAACAGCTTTGCTGCTGTCACCCCAATAACCCATGCAGTGGCTGTGTTAAAAAAACTTTTGGTTTGGGCACAGAAGAGCAGCCACCTGCTTCTATGAAATACAGCACTTATCATGGGAGACTGACTAGGGGACATCCAATACAAGGTTGCAGCAGCTTTTTGCTACTGACACAATGACGAATTGTACACTATGATCAAAATAACTAAGGCACAATTCTGATTTTTTGTAGCTGAAGATGAAAATTATTTTTGAGAACTGAATTTGTTTCTCTGTAGCCATGCAGGGTTATTACTACCTCGTGGTTGTTTATTACCTCTGGTGAATTTCCTTCCTTTAGCTGCCATATTCTTATAAATGAATCTTCACTGACTGATAATAACTGAAAAATAGAAACGAAGCCCTAACAATGTGAATACACATATTTTAATCAGCTGGCTGACAGTTCAATGCTAGTGATTTTCTAAAAATTCATCTAAGAGCCTAGCTGCTGTTGCATTAAAAAACACAAAAACTTAAAACAGTATAAATATATCAACTGCACATTGCTTTTTCTAGCAGAATAATTTTGCTACAAAAGTGAGAAACGCTAGAAAACAAGGGGGTTTAAAGAAAGACAAAATGCTGCAAATACTTATTTTTTTGCAAAATTGTTAATTCAAAGAGATACACTGAAAGGAGAACTCATTTTCAGCCCTTAATTGGTTTATATATATGTTTATTTCAATATGAAAATAGATAAATTGCTTTCCATGTTGTCAAGAATACAATTTAATCAGTGAAAGTAAAAAGGTGAAAAAATTGCCAGAAAACATACGAATCCCTTGAGATGGTAACCATGAATACCAAGTAAAAAAACTTATCAAATCATAATATCAAAGCTACTGAAAAACAGTACCACTGGGGAATAAGGACTCATCAATAACGATCCTCACAATTCATTTAGACAACTGCATGACATTTCTGTTAATTTTTATAAAAACTATACTGCACATCTGCATTCAGCTTTGCAAAACTTACCAGGCCTGTATTTTTGGCAACATCAACTGCATTAATCCATCGTGCATGTGCCGTCACTTCTGCAGCAAGGTTCCCAGTGTCTGTATTGTACAGTCTTAGGTGACCTGAGCCATACCCTCCTACCACCATGTTCTTCCATACAGCTAAGCTGCAGCATGGAGAGCTGAAGGGATACAGAGGCAGGTGTTACTCTCATTGGGTTATAGACATGTTAACTTTTTCATGAAAAGTAAATAGCTAAAACTCCATGTACGGTTTTTTTTTTTAATCAGGAAAATGTAGCCATGGTGAATTACCTCAGACACTAACTGCTCAATCACTATCACTGCCATACCCATTTCAAAGAAATTTAAAATTGGTATATTTTTTCATGTGCATTTATTTGTTAACATATACAATAATACAGAGCACAATAACGAATAAGCATATATATACAAACTCACAGCATGATTGAAACTTTCATTGTAAACTGCATTGTATGTTTACGTGTGTGTGTGTGTGTGTGTGTGTGTGTGTGTGTGTGTGTGTGTGTGTGTGTCTGCATGCGTGCATGCATGCGAGAGTGAGAGAGAGAGAGAAATAGAAGAGAGTGAGGGGGAGATAATTTACCCAGCTCCTGATATCTTGAGCATTTGCTGGAATGGTTCTCCTGCCTTCCACATCACAATGGCACCACTGTCATCACTACTAAAAACACGTCCATCAAGCTCACCATCAGAGGCTAGATCACATATTGCACTGGAATGACCTGAACATATCAAGGTAAGTGTTGTACACATATGGAAAGATATGTAAAATCTGCAGCATTATATTTCATACGTTGGATATCTTTAATTTTGTTATAATAAGCAGACTTTTGCTCCTAATTTACTGCATTGTACTAGGAATGATGCATAATTCTCTCACACTTGTCATGTCATAACAAAGAGGTACTCTGTTTATCCCATTAAACAACTTAATACCAGGGAAAAGAAAAGAAAAATGACATTGTGGAGAATGATTTCTAAACATCAAGCAATTTAATGCAATATAACAACAAACACTAACTTGATGAATGTTTACCTTGTAAAACTTCAAGCAAACTAACATTTATTCCTTTGGGTGGAATTTCAAATACCAAAATGTCTCCCTTATGGTTTCCTGTACAATGGAAAAAATACAAGAAATGTTTGAACACTCATTAAACAGAGATTGAACACTTTTAACTGTTAAAAGTAAACATCTTCATCATATATAAATTTTCTAATACAATATCATCTCCATCATGAAGAAAAAATTGAAAATGGCACCATTAACACAAACAATAAACTAGTATATTCACATTTCTCATTCAATCAAAGTAATTCTTTAAATGAAAATCCTTATTAAGGCACTACCGTACCAACACATATAGTAGCCAGATCTTCAGTTTCTGCTCCAGCTACTCCACGTACAAAACAGGCTTGCACTGGCAAACATAAAAAAATTAATTTAATCAAATTTAACAAACATATTTAAGAAATTTTTGTACATCATATTTTCCTCTAACTCAGGAGTTAACATTTGTGCATTCATCATTTTTTTTTTTTTTGCAAATATGATGTCTTCATAAAATCTAACGGAAAGTGAACCAATAAAAGGCTAGGTAGAACAACTTATTCCATACTGTACAGTTTAACTACAACACTATATGGCTGCTGATGCATCATTTTGCCTCAAGTCAATGCGAATTGCAAAAAAGTTGAATACAATTAAAATAATATCTGCAGAATTGTCTTCCCAAACTTACAGTCCTCAGCACTGATGTCTGGTAGTGCATGCCAGTAGAGCATAGCTGATCCGTCTGGCTCAAACATCTGAAATACAACAAAACATGCTATATTATGTCTTGCACAACACCAGTATATAACTAATATAGCATGAGTTTTAATTGTTCTTTAATCATAACCGTATAGTGCCAAAATGTAATGTTAATCCTGTGTGAGTTTAAGGCACCATTCAGAATGGATGATCTGAGCACTTACTGATCCACCAACTAAATATGACCAACCACAGTTCAAAAGGGATGCCGCTGATCCCTGATGGTCTCCCCGCCTCCAAGTGTGCCGTTGCTGCAGTGGCCTAGCAATTAAACCTCGGAGCAGAGATTTAATCCCTTTAAAGGCGCCTGTGGAGTCGGGGAGACCATCAGGAATCAGCGGCATAGCTTTTGAACTGTTGTCAGCCATATTTAGTCGGCGGATCAGTAAGTACTAGGATCATCCATTCTGAATGGGACCTAAGGTCCAATAATAAAGGTAATAGTTTAAGCAGATCATTAAGTACTGAGTGATAATATAAAATTCCTAATACAAAGTGCTTAAACAATAAATGATTTATGACTTGATACCTGCACTCCTCTTTGTGTTGTCAGCAAAAGGACTGTCCTTGTTGAAAGTTTTACCCATTTAGCCTGCAAATTAACATAAAATTGCATGCACATTGTGGACTAAAACAGGGTACTATCAAAAACAAAATCAATTAAAAAATTGAAACCCAGGCATTAAGAACTAAACATTTAATCATTCAATTGGAAATGTTAAAATGCATAATAGTCCAAGTGCAGAAGCACATTGTGTAATAACTCGTATGTAGCATTAAACTTCTTTCTACTTGAGGAAAATTCGATTTTGCCCAATCAAGGCACACTGATAGCCTAGAACAAGTTTATTATCTGATAACTTTATCATGAAGGCATTAAATTTCTTTTTTGTCTTTAATCAACCACTCAAAGTGATACTGAGCCCAAGTCAATACGTACTACTACTATATATAGTAGTATATAATCTGATAAAGGTATTAATTTTCTTTATTACTGAATATTATTTCAAATCTGACACCCATACACACACTCACCTGCATTACTACAGTGGATGACTGGGAGGAGGCATCCTTGTGGCAGATCACCTGCCTGTGGTTGGTCGCTCCACTCATCCCACAGCTCACGATGTTCACCAGCGACTTATGGCATACCCCGTAGCTTGTGATACCTTTCTCTGGATTCTTCAACACAGCAAGGTTGTTATAAAGGAGCGAAGAACTGCCCCTCAAGGTCAGCGGTTTGTCTTTCACAAACATTGCACAGTTTTTCGAGAGCACATGCAAAGAAAAATTTGCCCTTCTGAAAACGGCTTCTCCAAGGTACACAAAGATGGCGACTTTAATAGTTCCAAAAGAGATGTGAACATACAGACACACAACAAATACAAGAGAGTTCAACATAACACAGAATATTTTTCAAANCCAAGTCAATACGTACTACTACTATATATAGTAGTATATAATCTGATAAAGGTATTAATTTTCTTTATTACTGAATATTATTTCAAATCTGACACCCATACACACACTCACCTGCATTACTACAGTGGATGACTGGGAGGAGGCATCCTTGTGGCAGATCACCTGCCTGTGGTTGGTCGCTCCACTCATCCCACAGCTCACGATGTTCACCAGCGACTTATGGCATACCCCGTAGCTTGTGATACCTTTCTCTGGATTCTTCAACACAGCAAGGTTGTTATAAAGGAGCGAAGAACTGCCCCTCAAGGTCAGCGGTTTGTCTTTCACAAACATTGCACAGTTTTTCGAGAGCACATGCAAAGAAAAATTTGCCCTTCTGAAAACGGCTTCTCCAAGGTACACAAAGATGGCGACTTTAATAGTTCCAAAAGAGATGTGAACATACAGACACACAACAAATACAAGAGAGTTCAACATAACACAGAATATTTTTCAAAAAGGAAACATATCATTTAATTTATTATAGAGACAGGATACAGTGTGAATATGTAGAGAAAAAGTAAGATTTTTCTGTGATATATAGTGGATAAAAATTTACGGAACCAGCTCAGACATATGCCGAAAGAGGGCGCTAAGGAACATAATATCAATAGGCACCCGATAATACGAGTAATTGTATTTCTGTGGCAAGCGTCAACTATATTGTTTTAAGGGTTCATGTGCGTTAAGTAACGACACAAGTATTGATATTTTCTCTAAACTCTTTTCTCGGAAACTCTATCAGTTGAGTGATTGTTAATGCAGAAACCGACTAAACCTAACGCATTATCACCCTTACTAGTATGCCTACTAGCCAACCCTAGTAGCCTACGGTACATGTAGGCCTACATGCACAAATGTAGTAGTTTGTAGCAAATACTGATATGCTGATTTTTTGTCACGGAAATATGAGCTCATGTGAAGGAGAAAACACTACTGTACCGTAATAGAAACATGTGAAGATATTTTATTTTGTACTGCTCTCATTTTCAAAACCATAAAGTAGCCTAATTGTTAAGTGAGTTCGTGTTTAGGGAACGTGCAGAGAATAAAACCGAATAAGCGATCTATCAGACCAAGTCTGTCTTTACATGTACATACGTACTATAAAGGATACAGCAATTAAAAAAATTAGATGGTTTTCCCACGTACATGTAGTAGGGGGCCTACTGGTAGTTGTTACTCGTCCGGGGGTTGGTATATGGTTGTTATCAAAGTTATACATGTACCACAGTCTCTATCCTTCCACGTTAAAGTGCGGCTCGACAGAAGTTCTTTTTATGATTACAAAAGAGGGAAAGTAATCAAAAGTATAAAGTAAGTTCACAATGAATCGAGATACACTCAGTACATGTACATTCTCTCAAAACTGAAAGCACCAGCAAAACCAAAAGAGCGAATTTTTACACAACCTTTCGCAACGCAAATATCTCTTCTGTGTTATCATCTTCAGAAAACTGCCTCAAAAGGATATCAAAGGCTGTTGTTTTTTGTGTATTCGGAGACACACGGAGATGTCAATAGGGGGCCTATTTCCTATAAGAAGAAAGAACTAGATAAACACGCAAGCGTGACTGATGAAAGTGGTTTGAGTTTAGCAAAGATAATAATTATATTTGATTGCATTTTCTTTTTTCGTCATCCATAAAATTCGTCATTGCGGTGGTAAGATCTGGGACACGCATCCTCGTGCAATCAATATCTCACATCTCGCATTGAAAAGCCTGCAATTAAATTTCCGCGAAGGATAAACTTTTTGTAATCAAAGGCACATTAGAACTTTGTATCGTTTTCATGACGGTGAACTAATGTGAATTTCATTGCCTGATTCACTTGATGGAAACATTGGAGATGCGCGAGATTTAGAGACAAAGCGTTTCAACTTCCACTGTCGCTTTGCCATCACTAAATTCGGTACAATATGCGTGATCAATCCCCAAACTGCACACAAGCAGCCGGCATTTGTGTAAATGGTTGCCAAAGATTTCTTCCGCTTAACTGAACGTGCCGTAAAAAGCCAGCGTTATGTGTATCTCAGTACATTCGCTATCAATGAACAAACTAGTCGTTTGCGTGTTGTATCTGTGGCTGCAGGGAGCAGAGGCTAATACAGGTAGGCTGCATTACCCCACGTTTGACTACGGTAATCAACTCGAACAGCTTTAAAAAAACGCATACACGTAACCCGTGTATGATTATTCTAGCATTAATTCATATGTACCATATTGTATCACTGCGTGATTTATTTTGCATTGAAACACTGCATGCATTGTCTGTATTATCGATATTAATGATCTGTCTATATAACAATTGCAAGTTGGGCTTCGGGCTATCTTTGCCTGTATTCCCAGTTTTATTAGTTGCCATCACGGTTGACTGACCCGTGGATGGCACTGCTAAGTCCTCAGGTCACATGGATATTGCGGACTTTGAGGTGACTGGGCGATGTGAATGCTACGCGCGTAACGTTCAATAAGTTTACCTCTACATGAAATGATGAACAATTATACTTCTAACGCATCTAATCATCCATCACTGACGAAGTCCTAGAATCCCGCATCCTGCACACCTGCAACTGACGTTAACAGTTCTATAGGATGAATATTTCTTTTCAAGCAAAATTGCGTGGCAAAACATATAGGATAGACGTTTTTATGAAATGACGGGGACTTAATAGCTTCCTGTACATTTATTTTAAAAGTTCAAAGTAAAAGTGATAGGTCTATTGCAAAATCTCTCCAACGTAATTACTTCGGTGAAGAACTTTCTCTCTCTCTCTCTTTGTTATACATATAAATAAATAATTATTTCATCTCACACGAGTAATTGCTATCTTGTTTATCAATATACTATCATCCGAGAGATGAACTAAGGTGCAATGTTTTATGCAAAAGAGATTTTAACTGCAATCAACCTTTTGTAATGATTTAAACAAATTATCTGTGTTACATGTACATGCTTATTAATATAACTCTTCTAAGCATACAATATCAAGTGCAAATGTTAGACAGCAATATTGTGTAATCTGTTGGACCACTGATGAGCTACATTCAAAATATCAAAAGATAAATATAACATACTGGTACATGGCACGTTCATTTGACACTATATGCGTGTTTTGTCTTAATATCTGACCAGACGATTGAAATAATGTATATGTGTACTATAGGGTTTAAGTACATTCTTGCTTAAAAGTATAGAGAATAACCCAAGAATATCAAAGTTGTGATCGCAATAAGTTCAATCCAAGGAAATATGTCGTTCATCTATTTCTGTCATGATGTGTACGAGTAGGCACCAAAATTTGCTGGACATAGTAGAGTGTATCTGCACGCGACAGAGCCACAGGGACCTAATGTACCCGTGACCTTTCATTCTGTTCAGAGTTTTCATTCGGGTACATAAATTGTGTTTACTCAAGACATTTGTTGCACATCATTACAATGAAATTACTTAAGTTAGGAATATCAGGGATTTTGTGAAAACTATCATAGTGAAATTGAGAAAAAACATACATTTTTAGTTTTCGAAATACTTCTCTCCATGGCGAAAGATGAAACTACTCTTAAATCCCTAATGCATACATCTTAATTACTATGACCCGATTTTTTCAAGAAAAAAAATATTCAAAACGCGGCCATAGTAATATTTGTAGCAGTTGGGAAATAAAAGACGTGTGCTGAAGGTGCCTGTATGACCGGAGGCGCTATTCCTCCGACGTGGCCGTTTAAAAGAAATTTTTGATTATTTCAAATTATAGCATTGGTTAAAAACGCTTATTATTGTCCCGCTGCGGGCGTGTAGACAATTGGTTTTGGCGCTTGGTTTTGTCTAACATCTATAGTGTATTTGACCGCCGTACTTGTGTTCAATTTTCTTTGTCTGATCATGCGCCAGTTTTGGACAGGCTCGAAAATCAATCAAGACTGAGAATTGTCCACAACTGCCTCATTGCACACCCTGAAATAAACAGTCTAGAACGGGGTTGTAAAAAATAATGTACGGAAATGTCACTTTTGTCAAGGCAATGTAAACACATAAAGAAAGCCCGTATGCTTCACCTTAAAATATGTTGCATTGTGCTCTGAAAAAGAGAAAGACTATGAATTCATCTACTGTGACACGAACTGTTGTGCATGATGGATCATTCCAGATTTAAGATACACATGTACTAATATGCAGATAGTTTGGGGGTACCTTGTTTGTATGACACTAAAGATTTATTAAAGGGACAGAGTTTGGTCGTAATTAAAACTCGAACAAGTTATAGGACGGCTAATCTTCTTTATCCTCGGTGATGATCTTTTACGTGACCTTGGGCGTCTAGGGCCCAAGCGCCTTGCTCCGTTCAATATTTCATTAAAGACCTAAACAAATGTCAGTAAATAGTTCCAGCTACCAGTCTTCACGTTCTCGCAAAACGAGGGCTTGTTATCTGAGTACCAGAACTTTTTACTCCTCCCTTTGTTTTGAAATTTTTTTTCTCTTCAACTTATGAATGCTTAAATATGGAAATTGTGGTTTGTTCTTTGAGGTCAATTTCTCAGGAGCATTTTCATCAAATCGTTAAAATGAAATGCCACAAAGAATATGACAAACAAATATGTCACTTTCTGAAACAACTCGTCAGCTAAAGATCAAATCTAAGCTGGCATAATTATTTTGGCAGAGGTATGATACTGAGAACATCGTATTTATCTTTTTGATGTTATACGTTACTGTGCACAAATTTTCAACCAGACTGTAAATTCTTAAGGATAATAGGAAGATGGTGGGAAATTGGGTTCATGAGATTTATGAATTTATGGAGATGCTGCTGGTGGTAAATAAGAATGTACGTTGATGCCCAATCCCGGTACTAGTAGATATACATGGTGGATGTGTAATATACTGTAGGGTAAAAGTACTACAAGTATACGAGAAAAAACAACCATGNGTGTATTCGGAGACACACGGAGATGTCAATAGGGGGCCTATTTCCTATAAGAAGAAAGAACTAAATAAACACGCAAGCGTGACTGATGAAAGTGGTTTGAGTTTAGCAAAGATAAAAATTATATTTGATTGCATTTTCTTTTTTCGTCATCCATAAAATTCGTCATTGTGGTGGTAAGATCTGGGACACGCATCCTCGTGCAATCAATATCTCACATCTCGCATTGAAAAGCCTGCAATTAAATTTCCGCGAAGGATAAACTTTTTGTAATCAAAGGCACATTAGAACTTTGTATCGTTTTCATGACGGTGAACTAATGTGAATTTCATTGCCTGATTCACTTGATGGAAACATTGGAGATGCGCGAGATTTAGAGACAAAGCGTTTCAACTTCCACTGTCGCTTTGCCATCACTAAATTCGGTACAATATGCGTGATCAATCCCCAAACTGCACACAAGCAGCCGGCATTTGTGTAAATGGTTGCCAAAGATTTCTTCCGCTTAACTGAACGTGCCGTAAAAAGCCAGCGTTATGTGTATCTCAGTACATTCGCTATCAATGAACAAACTAGTCGTTTGCGTGTTGTATCTGTGGCTGCAGGGAGCAGAGGCTAATACAGGTAGGCTGCATTACCCCACGTTTGACTACGGTAATCAACTCGAACAGCTTTAAAAAAACGCATACACGTAACCCGTGTATGATTATTCTAGCATTAATTCATATGTACCATATTGTATCACTGCGTGATTTATTTTGCATTGAAACACTGCATGCATTGTCTGTATTATCGATATTAATGATCTGTCGATATAACAATTGCAAGTTGGGCTTCGGGCTATCTTTGCCTGTATTCCCAGTTTTATTAGTTGCCATCACGGTTGACTGACCCGTGGATGGCACTGCTAAGTCCTCAGGTCACATGGATATTGCGGACTTTGAGGTGACTGGGCGATGTGAATGCTACGCGCGTAACGTTCAATAAGTTTACCTCTACATGAAATGATGAACAATTATACTTCTAACGCATCTAATCATCCATCACTGACGAAGTCCTAGAATCCCGCATCCTGCACACCTGCAACTGACGTTAACAGTTCTATAGGATGAATATTTCTTTTCAAGCAAAATTGCGTGGCAAAATATATAGGATAGACGTTTTTATGAAATGACGGGGACTTAATAGCTTCCTGTACATTTATTTTAAAAGTTCAAAGTAAAAGTGATAGGTCTATTGCAAAATCTCTCCAACGTAATTACTTCGGTGAAGAACTTTCTCTCTCTCTCTCTCTTTGTTATACATATAAATAAATAATTATTTCATCTCACACGAGTAATTGCTATCTTGTATATCAATATACTATCATCCGAGAGATGAACTAAGGTGCAATGTTTTATGCAAAAGAGATTTTAACTGCAATCAACCTGATTTAAACAAATTATCTGTGTTACATGTACATGCTTATTAATATAACTCTTCTAAGCATACAATATCAAGTGCAAATGGTAGACAGCAATATTGTGTAATCTGTTGGACCACTGATGAGCTACATTCAAAATATCAAAAGATAAATATAACATACTGGTACATGGCACGTTCATTTGACACTATATGCGTGTTTTGTCTTAATATCTGACCAGACGACTGAAATAATGTATATGTGTACTATAGGGTTTAAGTACATTCTTGCTTAAAAGTATAGAGAATAACCCAAGAATATCAAAGTTGTGATCGCAATAAGTTCAATCCAAGGAAATATGTCGTTCATCTATTTCTGTCATGATGTGTACGAGTAGGCACCAAAATTTGCTGGACATAGTAGAGTGTATCTGCACGCGACAGAGCCACAGGGACCTAATGTACCCGTGACCTTTCATTCTATTCAGAGTTGTCATTCGGGTACATAAATTGTGTTTACTCAAGACATTTGTTGCACATCATTACAATGAAATTACTTAAGTTAGGAATATCAGGGATTTTGTGAAAACTATCATAGTGAAATTGAGAAAAACCATACATTTTTAGTTTTCGAAATACTTCTCTCCATGGCGAAAGATGAAACTACTCTTAAATCCCTAATGCATACATCTTAATTACTATGACCCGATTTTTTCAAGCAAAATAATCAAAACGCGGCCATAGTAATATTTGTAGCAGTTGGGAAATAAAAGACGTGTTCTGAAGGTGCCTGTATGACCGGAGGCGCTACTCCTTCGACGTGGCCGTTTAAAAGAAATTTTTGATTATTTCAAATTATAGCATTGGTTAAAAACGCTTATTATTGTACCGCTGCGGGCGTGTAGACAATTGGTTTTGGGGCTTGGTTTTGTCTAACATCTATAGTGTATTTGACCGCCGTACTTGTGTTCAATTTTCTTTGTCTGATCATGCGCCAGATTTGGACAGGCTCGAAAATCAATCAAGACTGAGAATTGTCCACAACTGCCTCATTGCACACCCTGAAATAAACAGTCTAGAACGGGGTTGTAAAAAATAATGTACGGAAATGTCACTTTTGTCAAGGCAATGTAAACACATAAAGAAAGCCCGTATGCTTCACCTTAAAATATGTTGCATTGTGCTCTGAAAAAGAGAAAGACTATGAATTCATCTACTGTGACACGAACTGTTGTGCAAGATGGATTATTCCAGATTTAAGATACACATGTACTAATATGCAGTTAGTTTGGAGGTACCTTGTTTGTATGACACTAAAGATTTATTAAAGGGACAGAGTTTGGTCGTAATTAAAATTCGAACAAGTTGTAGGACGGCTAATCTTCTCTATCCTCGGTGATGATCTTTTACGTGACCTTGGGCGTCTAGGGCCCAAGCGCCTTGCTCCGTTCAATATTTCATTAAAGACCTAAACAAATGTCAGTAAATAGTTCCAGCTACCAGTCTTCACGTTCTCGCAAAACGAGGGCTTGTTATCTTAGTACCAGAACTTTTTACTCCTCCCTTTGTTTTGAAATTTTTTTTCTCTTCAACTTATGAATGCTGAAATATGGAAATTGTGGTTTGTTCTTTGAGGTCAATTTCTCAGGAGCATTTTCATCAAATCGTTAAAATGAAATGCCACAAAGAATATGACAAACAAATATGTCACTTTCTGAAACAACTCGTCAGCTAAAGATCAAATCTAAGCTGGCATAATTATTTTGGCAGAGGTATGATACTGAGAACATCGTATTTATCTTTTTGATGTTATACGTTACTGTGCACAAATTTTCAACCAGACTGTAAATTCTTAAGGATAATAGGAAGATGGTGGGAAATTGGGTTCATGAGATTTATGAATTTATGGAGATGCTGCTGGTGGTAAATAAGAATGTACGTTGATGCCCAATCCCGGTACTAGTAGATATACATGGTGGATGTGTAATATACTGTAGGGTATACAAGTATACGAGAAAAAACAACCACGAAGGCCTCCAAATAAAATTTGCTCTTCCATTTTGTAACATCTGCAACTGTGACTTACTTTTATCTAACAATAAACATTGCATAATTATTATTATTATTATTATTATTATTATTATTATTCGTCATGTTAACACAGACGGAATAAGTAACTTGAAGAGATACATTGATTGTGATTCAATTTTCAATACAATAGACAGAAGAGAAGTTTCCTTGTCAACTTTGACATGATGTGACATTTGAAACTGCTGGAGTCCTTGTATTGTGGGAAAATGAAGTAAAACTCAATAACCAATTATGAAACATTCAAGTGTTTTTGACAGTGAGCGGTCATCCTTAACATATTACGTGGTTTTGCATGTTTTCCCTAACCGCTTATGACGTAAATACCACTGCAGCAATTTATTAAGTTAGTGGAGTACATGCTGCCTCAAAACAGCACGCTGTAACGGGCTTGGTGTGAAATAATGACAGACTGCCTTCAACTACCGGTGTCTAGCATCATGCAGCGGTGAAAGCCTCCCTTTTCACAACCACGTCAATTGAGATTATACAAAAATTATTATTTGATTAAAAAATCTTAGCTGTATTGAACGAACGGTGATACTCGAAGTTTGTATAAAAATCTGATACCCCCAGTATTGAATGATTCACTCCCGCTGTTCTTTGATAATGCATGAATATATACCAGACTAAAGTGCTGTAATAAAATGTCGTATATTTGTGATTTATTGAAACTGAGAGTGGTGATGAGAGCCCAGTGCATTTGTTCCTGGATGCCAAACATTAATGACCGGCAGTCAATGTTGGATATTTCGCTAACAATTATCTTTAACGTATCTACTGTTAAATGCATTCATTCATGTAAGAAAAAAATCCCACTAGCCATAAAAAGTCAATTTTGATATTAGTATTTCCAAGAGTTGTTTTAGTTCACTCTGACTCTGGGATGCGGCAAATGCGTGGAAGTTTATTGAATAGATGTCTAGGAATAATAACATTTATTTGCTATTGACTTTTTTGTGTAGATTATAAAACTCCAAAATATTCCGGATTTTCTGGGAGAAAAAATTTTAATGACCGTGAAGTCTCCATAATTTAAACTCAAGGAGAGACAATCATTTTCTTTGCTATTTCTTCAGTTGATTTATTTTCAAATTCAGCATTAACTTCGGATTGTTAGAAAACCATGAAGTTGCAGATAACGCAAATGATTGACACTAAGTAGTAGCATACGGCTATCGCCACTGAGTGGGGGAAGAGGAGGATGCACTGTGTCTGTTAAAGTGGAAAAATCCATACCAAATCTCAAGTAGGCATCGAATAGGGTTCAGCCAGTTCAAGCGGAATAGCACGCCTTCAATAATTTGAAAGTGCAGTTTTATTAAATCGCTCATAAAAAGTGAACGCACTCTTTTAGAGCAAAATTTATCTTTCAGCTGCACATGCCATAGAACATAAAACACCAATAGAGTAGCCACCTTGGTTTGATGTCAGAAATATAGTTATAAGTTGCTGCGAATATAAGTTGCAGCACAACCCAACTAATTTAATGAAAATACTGGGGATGATTTTGTGTCTGCGGTACAGTAAAGTTAATTTAACGGATGGGTCACAGAGACCGACGAGATTACTTTATATCGAAGCTGCATAGAATCCTTCACACTTCTGGGGTAGGGGGGTGTATTTCACCCTTTCAAAGAAAGTGTATGCCCGACAAGCGGACGCCATATACTTTTTACTATCTCTTCCATCTCAAACTCAGAATGGCATCTGAATACAGCCTGTCTCGGTTATTAAGAAAGTTTAATTTATACATTTAACTGTTATCATTTACTCAGTAGCGTCTAAAACTCAAAATTCAAACTGTTTTCTCGAATTATATTCTTATTAGAGTTATCTTTCATTCATCATTTTTCACGGGAGCAGGCTGGGTTAGTATACGACAATGACAGTGCCCTCTTTCACTGTCGCCACTATATAATGTGAAACCTTACATACTGTTGGAAAAAAAATTTGCATTATCATCTTATCAATCATTTATTGTCATTCAACATACTACAAAAGGTTTCCTTTCATTCCATGGTGGAAAGTGAAACGAAATCTATAGGAAGAAAGAAAATAAAAAGGTTCGAAAGAAAGTACGTTTATTCAAAATGAATATTGGGAAAAAAGTCTTCTATATCAACATTTGTTGCAATCAAGATTTTTTTATCAATTGCTGACTGTCCCGAATCTCTGACGTCATCAGCATTGATGCTTATTTCCTAGAAGCGAGGAACCTTTCATAGATACAAATAATCTTGATTGCAACTCAGATCCGTTCTACTGTTTTGACCAAAAATCCCCACAGGCTATTTTAATGATCTTACCCTTACGCGTTCTTGACATCAGACCAATCAAATAATTGCAGCGACATAAATCGCAATTTTGAGCGGCTACAATTCGCACACCTGTCTATGAACACATTGAAAGCTAAAAGCATCATCCACGTTTCGCTAGCATCGTAATATTGCAATCAACTATTTCAATTTTTTCTGGGCATAAATGTGTCTTAGGAGATTGTGTGAAATGCGATATAATCAAGGCATAATGCCAACGTAGGGGTATCACACACGAATAGCATGCATGTAAAGACCAATATAAAAATATGGAGTGTGTATACCAAAGATTTAAAAACAAGGATACGTGTCAAGGGGTCTCGTCTTTGGGCGTATTCCCAGAGCTTCTAGATCGATCTATCTCCGCGGGGAGTCTCACTAGATCACTGTCAGATAATCCGGCTTAAATGTCCGTCCCGCCTACTACAAGCTGTAAGGGGGTAATTAACTTTCGTGCCCACTCGGCTGACAGCTATTTAGCGTGAACCCCCAGGGAGTTAGGTCGATCTAAAGTAGATCGATCTAATCTCTGGAAATGGGGTATTTTATAACAAACACGTACATGTATCTCGTTTATACGTACAGTCGTACATGTATCCCAACGAAGCGTCAAATCAAGAAGTAGGGGGTGACACCTGTTAACATGCGTACTAAGGGGGTAAACACGGAAATCTGCGTACCAAGTTTAACAATTTAGTAAACAAAGGGATAACATGCATACCAAGGGGGGCAAAACACAGGGATAACATACATACCAATGGGGCAAAACACATGGATAACATGTATACCAAGGGGGTAAACACAGGGATAACATGCATGCCAAGGGGGTAAACACAGGGATTACATGCGTGCCAAGCGTGTAAACATGTAACATGTATACCAAGGAGGTAAAGACAAGGATAACATGTGTACCAAGAGGGTAGACACAGGGAAACGTGCGTACCAAGGAATTAGGAATTGTGTAAACAAAGGGATAGCGTCTCAATGGGGGTAAACACAGGGATAATACACGTATCAATGAGTAGACACAATGGGTGACATGCGTATCATAGAGGTAAACAGGGGGTAGTATACGAGCAAAGGAACACATTAATAAAATGGCTTCTCAGAATTGTATTATCAGGCAGTAGGTACGTGCTAGATACAGAAAATACAGAATGTTACTGTACGAATGGTCGTAACAAGCCGACCATTTTCACAATGTCGTAGACAGATTAATTTTATTGTATCAGAATTTATTGTCATTTAGATTAACAGGTTTGTATCTCCTTTTCAGTTCGTATTCCAGATGAACACCGTCTACTGGAGAAGTTGATGAAAAAGTATGAGAGTGGAGCACGACCGGTCATCAATGCCTCAGACAGCGTTGTAATCGAATTTGGAATGACACTCATCCAAATTATCAATATGGTGAGAGAGAGAGAGAGAGAGAGAGAGAGAGAGAGAGTTATCTGGGAATCGGCACCATCTAAGCTGTCATCGCACAGCGTCAGTGTACTTGGAAATTATTAACACCTCCTTTTGTTTTTTTTTTTAATGTACGTAAACATTGGAGGTTTGATCTATTCAAAACATCCTACGATCTCGTCTTTTATAACAAACGCGTATCTCGTTTATACGTACGTGTTTTCCAACGAAGCGTCAAATCAAGAAGTAGGGGGTGACACCTGATTGGCATAAATTGGGCCTCATCCCTTATAAAACATTTTAATTTGCGATCATGGCTTTGACAAAACAATCTGGTTGTTTATATAAATGTGTTGCTCCTTAATAGTTCCCACAGTTTAAATTGATGCACTGTCTCAAACATTAGTGATATTATAAGGTCACTTAATCATTCAAGATCGAGGGTAACAGACCTGATCCAATATTATTGTTTATTTTGTCTTTTTAAAGTGCATGCCGTGATATATACTGTATCACATTTCAGGACGAAAAACATCAAGTCATGGCAGTGAATGTTTGGCTTGAACATGTAGGTAGGATTAAGGCGAAGTTATTAAATGCATTTATTGCTCATTTCACTTGTAATAGGAATTTAGCTTACTAAATAGTACAATAGTATTCTGAAGCATTTCTACATTCTTCGAATTAATCAAAATGATTAGGCAAAGGAAGTAACACGCTTTTGCAGAATAAATTGGAATAAATGATCTATCTATGTAGTAAAGTAAATGTACTTTAGTTTGGTTTATCAGCCTTATTGCTGCTTTGTACCAAATCCACATATCAATTACTCTGTTTGCATATCAGGGCTGGGTAGATCAAAGGATTCACTGGAATCCGGATGAATTTGGCGGGCTAACCATGATACGCATACCAGCTAGCAGATTATGGTTACCGGATATTGTGCTGTACAACAAGTAGGTGCTAAAGACTGTGTGCGCATTGGGTTGTGTGCACATTGGGTTTAACAGCGATTCTAAACGAATCTACAAAGGATTTCAACATTTTCGCGAGGTGCTCCCCACCACTATCCTTTAGATGTTCATGGTTTGGACAACATGCTCACCTCCCCCCGAATTAATTGCAAACAAAGCTGTTGAACCAGGGTTTTTGCTGTGGAAATGTATAATTGCAGTTTTACTCAGTCTTGCGTCTCGTTATCCCGTTAATATGCAAGCACGGCTTCTAATTTCAACTGCTCAGCAGTGCAAAATCATCTGTTTCTTTGACATTTGCAACAGTTATAGCGTATTAGGATTTTTGTTTGAAAAAATCTTTGCTGGCAACTTAAGACAGCTGGAGTGAATCTTTTGTCCAATATCTCCATCTTTCATATCTTTAGCCCCGAGGGAATGTATAATTGTCGCTGATGGATTTGGTATTTTTGAGAAATTTAGGCAATTTGTTTGCACACACCCAATTTATCATCCGTAATTCAATTCTGGTCAGAGCATTGCAAATAATTTCATTGACTTCATGGTACCTGTATCATTATATGAGATAATTTTATAATGCTCGACCCTGGTCACAGTCTTGGTTCTGTCAGGAACGAAATATGCTTTGATATCGGCCTATTGGCGCCCTTCGAATGAAAACATCATTTCAACAACTAACATTAATTCCGTGGTACAACCCTGACCGAATAACGAATTGAGAAATATTACAGATCTTTATTGCTATTTGATGTTCTAACTTTTGTTATTATAGTGCCGACGACTACACCACGGGTTACATGCCAGCTAACGCTATGGTTGCAAGCAGTGGGTATGTTTTCTGGTCTCCACCGGCCAGGCTGAGGAGCTCGTGCAAGGTCGATATCTCGCTTTTCCCCTTTGACGTGCAAAAATGTGCCTTGAAGTTCGGCTCCTGGAGTTACGAGAAAGCACAGGTCGACATGAACAGCACTCGAGATCAAGCTGAACTGCGGGAGTATGTAATCAACGGAGAATGGGAGCTGCTGAATGCCAGTATGGTCCGCAATGAAGTGAAATATCCAATCAGTGATATCTCAGTCTATCCTGATGTAACCGTGACATTTGTGATACGCCGGCGCGTGCTGTACTACACATTACACATCCTGTTCCCCTGTATTTGCCTTAATGTTTTGAGCTTGCTGACGTTCTGCCTTCCGCCAGACAGCGGTGAGAAAATTACCCTCGGAATCACCGTCCTGTTGTCTTACTCGGTCTTCATGCTTCTGGTTGCCGATAAGATGCCGCCGACATCGGAATTCGTTCCAATAATCGGTGTGTACATAGCACTTTCATTTCCTTGTGGTACCTAAGATCAAACAGCCGACAATTATGTTAAATCTCCCTGGAAAAAGAATTAATCCAGAGACCTAATACAGTAAAATTTGATGTGCTTATTTGAATACAGAGCACGTGCAAAATAGAAAAGAAACTTCCAATATATACAATACGTTTGTCTGGGGATGATGAAGTCATTTTAACGGCATGGACTGTCTTTACTCTTACATTACCCCTTACTTGTGTAATAATGCTTTTAAAGTAACGAAGTAGGAGCTTGCTTGGTCGAAGTCTATGGTTTGCGTGTGGTCTATTTGGATCACAAATCTATATCAATAACTACCCTTAAAGAACAGTTTTAATTGAAATTGTAATATTGTAATATTTTTTCCAGCTATATACCTAACTGTGTCAATGGCAGTTACTTCTATCTCGTGTGTGACGACAGTACTGGTACTGAAGATCCACTTTGCATCACCCAACCCCAAACCGGTTCCTGAACTGGCCAAGCGACTCTTCTTCAGTAAGGCAGATTGCGCCCGCGCCAGAGAAACGTCTGTGTGTCTAGGCTCTCGCCAACAAAAAGAAAGTGACTTTTCCTTTAAAAGGCGATCGGGTAAATATAGCGCCGATAAAGGGGGTGTTTCTTCCAGATTGTTAGGGGACCCTGCTCAGAAATCTCCCATTCACAACGGTTGCCATATTGGCATTACTACCTCTAACAATAACTCAGCCAAGCGCTTAGCCAGGCAGGAATCACTGTCGGATGACGAATGCATCGTAACGAGACAGGCTAAGATCACCCCTGGGGATCAAATGGTCAAATATTTGCAAGGTCTGGTAAAGAAAAGAGAACTAGAAGAGAAAGTACAAGTGATGAGCAGAGAATGGAAACTGTTGGCCGCCAAAGTGGACAGTTTCTTATTCTATTTTTTCGGCGGTGGAATGGTAATTTCCACGCTGTTGCTGTTGGTTGCCGTTCCTTTCAGTACGTCATATAACTAGTTTTCTTACTACATATTCATACCATGTTGCTTTGCATCTTGCTGTGCTTTAAGTCGTTATAAATAGTTCTCTAAGATAAAAGGAACATACATCGTAGCATGAACAATACAAATGGCACGGCTTGTGTTAGACACAAAGTGACGCAAGGAAACCACTGAAAGGAAAATAATATTCACACATAGAGACAAGCACAGAGGGGCCTACAGCCAGTAGGCTAAGGGGAATGTAGAAAAAAGCTAACCGTTGCCAATAAGATATTGTGCTTTGCACCTGATTATGTTATACCGGACTGATTGAGTTTTCATTTGGAAATACTGAAAAAGGGCATACCGGATTATATCTGATTGCATATAATGTTCATTCCTCAGCTAAATGAATACATATCATTATTGTTAATTTTAAGACGAAAAGATGTAATCGGCCAATTATTTTCCCTTAATTTATGTTTATATGAGTTAATTTGATTTTTGGTTTTAGCAGATTCTTCCAGCTGTGCGTGCCACCATTTTATTCGTGTTTATTAATGAGATATGCAGACACTGTATGAATGTAAAATATTTTGTGTGCGATTGTCTTATGCAGCTTTCATTTGCTGGGTCTCATTATTTCTCCTCTACCATGAGACTTAATAATTTAATTATCATCTGTCTATGAGAATAAATTGACATGAGTTTTCGTCGCCATTGATAACATTGACGTTTCCATTAATACCCAACTTTTTTTATTATGAAATGTTGGTGAAAGACGCTATATGTTTTAGGGACGTTATAATGATGATAAAAAGCAACCCAAATCAAACTAATCATTTATAATTTACACTTGTTTCTACACAAGGTTCATTTAGTACAACTGGGGCATTAACACACGCGTATTAACACTGCAGCTACTAATAAAACGATGACTATTTTAAGTGATTGAATTAGGGGAGGAGGGAGCGGTTGCTCGAAGAGTTGACACAAAAACGTCACGTACTTTTAGTGTTTAACAAATATACTTCCGAGGCGTAAGCGTGTATTTAAAGTAAAAGCACAAGCAGTTGTTTCAGTTAACGGCCGATACAAATTAACTACAAAATGTCACATTATTGCTCTAGGTCATACTTAGATTTTAAATTAAATAAAGGCCTTTTAGGAAACCAGTGACGATGGACTTCAGTGATCAATTGTGACCATATTACACTTTACACTGGTCAGTTTTGCCACATCTTTTCTTACCCTAGGCTAAGGGCCAAAGATAAAAAAGTTGCTCAAAAGGCAACTGAACAATTTTAATGTTTGAGGCTAACAGAACTATATTTTAAGCTTATTATTGTTGTTTGTTGGTTAATTAAAGCAATTCGACCAAAAAATTGAACGACTCCAGTCCCTTATTTTCATATTGACAAGGTAACTGGCGCGTTATGTGGACGGCCATCCGAGTAATGAGTGCATTTAGAAAAAAATATTCAGCAGATAAAACAGCCCCGTTTCCTTGTATATAAATTTGACAGAGCATCAACGTCTAGAAAGCCTTCCAGGAATTTCTAATTGATACTGTATCTTATTGCAAAGATGCTACTTTATCTTAGATAGACAATTAAATAATGCAGTTATGGCATGTAGGCTGGTTCCTCCATGTTAAACACTTACAGATTTAAACGTTAAGCATCGCTGCTTGTTTAACGTTTACCATTTTTGCGGTTGTTTATGACTTAGAGCGCCATTTAAAACAGGTAAGAGGAGAGTTCCATTCTTAAAAATGAAGGTTTCAATTGTTTTTCTTTGCAGTTCACTTTTAATAATTAGAGTCTAGACTCTTACATATCTTCAGAGAAATTGCCAAGCGCGTTATTCTTTGTTTGCATAAGGGCCACCGAGTGTAATCAAAATGGTTTAGACAAACGTCAGGAGTCATGGCTTCCTGAAGGATTTTGAAATTGAAAATAGGTAAGGTACGGCTTCCTTGTGTGAGTGCAGTGCATAAAATGAAAAGGAAAACGATCGATACTCCATTATATATTTGTGTATCTTGAATACCTTAAACAATTGTGAAATCTCTGGGATTTGAAAATGCTTAACAGTGTTGAATATATGGTTTAAGGATGAAACAGCAAATTATCCTTTACGAATATCAGTCACCTACTCCGGTAAAAGCACTATGTGCCCGCTGCCTAGGCGGCAAAACCAGTTATATGCCATTTACGTTTGGTTTCTGTCCATAGTTTTCTTTATAGGAATAGCACAACTTTTCTATTTATTGTGAACTAAATAGTATAGTAAGAATAACTATGGTGAGAAACCAAAGAGGAGAGAAGCAAGTAATAAACATCGACACAAGCAAAGTAATCATTAAATAAGTCACGGTTCAATTTTCACCCCATCGAGTTGCTGCTTTGCTTGTAATTGTGAACATAATCATAGAGTAGCATAAATCGATCTTTAAGTTTTTTGTGCTTTTTTATGCTTCACGACAAAACCGCTAAATGTCCCATATCCTGTCAATCGTAAATCTGTTCTTGTGAATTTGAATACCAGCATCAAAATTGACATTTTTTGGCACGTTCCACACTGAACTGCTAATTGAGGTTTGATCCCTTAAGCTATTATTTGCGGTGAGACAAACCATACTCTTTCTCTCTATGTAAGATCTTACAGTTTGACAGCTAGCTTTGAGGAGAAGATTATCGATGACTTGGTGAGTCTCCCATAGAATCCCGGTTCTGGCAACAAACGTGGAAGTCTGCTTTTTATTAAACAAGACGTTAGTGTTTGACTGTTGCGGACGTGAAAAAGAGTTCATTGAACAGAAACTAATGAAGTCAAACGTCTGCATTGTTGTATTTGTTTACAGCATGCTTTCGTTAAATCTGTGCTTGATTAGAAAAGACGCCTTAATATTTTGGCAGGTCTTCAGAACTATTGCATGTTAATTAGACTTAAGAATTGGTCACCCCTGAGGATTGTTAGCTTGCAATCTGCACATCCACCAAGCAATTATGTTTTCCCATTATCCTTAGTTTGTTTCTGGATCAAAATTGGCGACATGCGATTACTGTGACTAGTCTACTTCGTTGTTTGTCATATAATAGAAAGCATGTTTCATATTGAAAGGCCCGTTTAACATTCTCAGAAAAGGGATGCGTGTATTTAAAAATCACACGAACACTAAATCGTGTCTGGCTAAATTACAGGTAATCTGTGTACCTGGAATTCCACTCACCAACCTTAGGAGAACCTGTCAGATAGTTAATAGACTGCGCTTGTGCGAAAGCAACCAACCATCGCACAGACAATCCACTGGAAAACAAGAGAACGTGAATGTACTGCAGCTGAAAAGGCTAAAATAACCGGAAGGTAAGTAATATCATGATTATACTGTGCACTGTATACTGTTATTACAACGCCGTATTCATCAGTACATTATTTATAGGGATATTTTTGTAACTGAACTTTTCCAGTTTAGAAAACGTACTATATAGTACATGTACTCATAAAAAGAATTGGAAAGGATTGCATTGAAAAGGGATTGTGTTAATGGCACTAGATAATACTCACCACTTCCTTATCCCTTAATAGTCTTTCCATATACATAGCAAAAAAAAGATAATATGTACGTGCTTTGAATAAAGATGATATAATGAATTCTGCTGGTAACACAAGGGGGGGCGTAAAAATCGGTGCTTATCGCTGTTATTATGGTGCAAATCTGGTATTAATTGCAGTATTAAAATGATGCAGATTTTTACATGATTAAAATGTCTGGTGTCTGTAATTTCAGAGACGAAGAAAAATTTCGATACACAATTGAAAAAAATGAATGTAAACAGCAATTTGATATGTTTGAATATAGAATATTTCAGCTGTCTGAAACGATTATAAGAACAGATCGATTAAAAAAATGAAATTAGATAAATTGATGTTTGTTTGTTTTTTTTTTCATAACTTAAAAATGGGGTTTTAAGACGTTGTACACTAATATTTCGAAATTAATAGTCAAAATAGGTAAGAATGCCGAAAGAGAGACAGATAAACATACACACAGTCGGGATGGCGGGAAATCAGAAAGAGACACCGGCAGGCCGGAAAAAGCATTTTACAATCTCTCTATATAAAAGTCAAGACAGCGACCGTTTACACTTAAATTGAATTTAGCGACATAAGCTACATAGTAGACTGCTGATAACGTACACTGTATGTACTTGTATGCGTACACGCACTGCGAGTTAGCCTTAAGAAGCACAGTAAGAAAAGTTGCATGCATGAGGAACGCAAGGATGTCTTTTTTGTGTGTATAATCTGATTATCATTAAACGGTGCAATACGCTGATTTTCATTTACGGACGGATTTCACGAACACCATTCCCCAAAACTAAGGTGGGATACTTGGAACGTCGCCAGTCACCTTTCATTGATATCCTTACGGAACTCCGTTGGGAACAGAGCAAATATATTAAAACAATGGGTTCTTAGGTTAAAATAATAAAACGTAGAAATTGTTTGATTTGAAGGGACTGCTCACTAATATGCAAACTAGAAAAAAGTTAATAGATGTTTTAATGGATATGGCTTTTATCTAATTTAAGTGTTTATGCAATTTCCAGCCGGTGCGTTATACAAGCGAATAATCCGTTGCGCAACTGTGAATATTTCACTCAAATGCGTGCCCCACAGCTAGGGAAATATACAAGGGAATGTCAGTTCTTTGAGACGTTTGTTTTGCATTCTGTCCAGCGTAACGATGCGGCAACATTTAATTAAACGTCATTTCACTCAACTGCATTAAAAACATTCACTGTGTCAACAAAAGAAATAGACCATGCTTGGTCAAATCAGATGTACTTGATCCGGTTCAGTCAGCCAAGAAAGTTACAGCCTGTTAGGGTTGACTTGAAAACATAAGCCGTCTTTAAAGCCGAGGAACCTCTAGACCATTCATGCAATTTGCGAGGGGCACAGTGACAATTCGTCGTGCTGGCTTTCGATTGCCTTCGTATAGGATTCGCCAAGAAGGTGGGGTTGAGATAGACTTAAATAGTGTTTATCCCTAAATCCATCTGATGTAACATATAAAGCAAAAAATGTTATACCGCGATATATTCCGACCAAACTCTACGGGTTCAACTTAAAACTCTGAAATTTCCAGATTAGTTAATAAATTGCAGTCCCGTTTAGTACTGACGTACTCTAACCAATATTATATTTTACATTTCACACTGAATGTTATCATTATAATTTAAGAATATTAAGTTGAACTCCTTAAGTCTTGTCCGAATGTATCGTGGAATAACATTTTTGCTATATCATTCTCAACTTCACAATGACCAGCATTCAAAAGTGAAATATGATCCGAAGTGCGTGCAAATAAAATTAACTAAATGGCATTGTAAACAGCTACTATGTTATGGCTTTGAAGTAGTATTTCCTAATATTTCGTGAACTTTATGACTCTACGTGGTGTGAGCCGCCCTGGAGGTTACACTGCAAAGAAATTCGTGTGCTTTCATTAGAAAAACCTGAATAAAGTTGACTTTGTAAATCTCTTTGAACCTTTACTGTTTTTGACCTCGTCGAACAAAGCCTTGCAAAGTCTTTGATAAAACCAAATAAAGTAAAAGCATTCGTGCTTCAAAATC